CTCAATTTCATTAAAATCAATTTTTCATAAATTGCAATAAAATTGTAGCCTAAATTACCTGATATCTATTCATGTATATTCTTATTGATATTTTGTTTTTAATAATTTAGAAGTACTTTTAAGGTAGGTGGTATAAAGAAACTTTATTTTAAAAATTGCAGCATAAATGTTTATTTTCATTCAATTCTCAATTTCTATATTATATATTATTAAAATGATTGCAACAGAGCATTTTGTTTAGAAAAATTCCTTATCTACAGGATATATCGTATATATTATTTTAGGATTTTATCAATTCAGATTGTGCAATTAGTTTGTTTTGCTTAATGCCCTATCCTGTTTTTTCTCTATTTTTACTAGTAGTTACTGTAACAGGTGTCGTTTCTGATGTTTCGTCTATCGCTGCTGTTGAGGGTATTAATTGCGGTCAAATGTACAAAGTTGTTCGTGCAGAACTCAAAATTTCGTTTGATGCTGTTGGTTGAGCAGCTGTCTTGTTCTGAACATTTGTTGATACAAGTATTCTTGTTTTTTTTTTTTTCATTCTGCTGTTAAAGATTGTTTTTACTTTGCTTAAATTCTAGCATTTGTTTTTTATTTAAAGGAATGATTTTCTGTTGTTTTCCTTGTCGTTTTTTTTCTCCGAAGCTGACATTGATACCTTCTTATTTTGAGATGATAATTAACAGAAATACTTGGTATTCATACTGACAAGTGTATGCCATTCGGCTGTTCTGTGGGATCTCCTAGTTTTAAAAGTTTGTTCTCTTTTTGGAACCGTGTTTCAAACAAAAGAGTCAATCTGATCATGTAATCCACTTTCTCTCGAGACAAATCCTTAGGTCCTACAACAAATTGGTATTTTCAATTTTTGTTACAGTCGCAGAGAGTTTTAGTATTCAATCAGATAGCAGACAGTTTTATTATTTCCCATCGCGTAAAAAGTTAAAGCAAGAGATTTCCAGTCTCTTGCGGGTCAACAAAACTTCTGCATTTTGGGCTGAGCATTTTTCGGGTGCATGTATGCTTCCACAGTTTGACTTCCAGTCTTATAATTAGAGGCGTGTTTCTGTGGAAAAGAAGGAAGATATACAAATTAAGCTAATGTTTTCAAACATTATATGTAAGAAAGCAGACTGCGTCATCGACTTTCAACTAGAGTTGTACGCAGATAGCACTGGTTCGGATAAACTAGGTTGTGGGAGTATTTTTCGAACTCATTCGGCTTTTTTCATGGCGAGGGACTAGCATATTTAGGGACATTGCATTTTTGGAATTGGTACTCATAGTAAGGGATTTGTCTACATAGTATTTGGGGAGATTGATTGCAAGAGGAGGAAATAGACAATATTAAAAAGTCCTATGAAAGCAAAAACACTCGGAAAAACACAAACTGGAGTGTTAGTACATTTCAGGAATGGAGAAAAAACAGAATGCAAATTACTGGAGCGTTCATGCCTGAATTGACTCATATAACTAATGAAACCGAAATGAATGACATAATGACAAGGTTTGTCCTTGAGGCGAGGCGTAAAGATGGTGCGCAGTACCCACCAAGATCTCTGTATCAGTTGTGCGTGGGCGTCCTGAGGTATCTTCGAGAAAATGGAAACAGTTTAAACTTTTTGGATGAAAAAAAAACTCAATTTTCAAGGATTTCGACGAGCACTGAGTGCGAAAATGTCTGAGCTTACTGCTCAGGGAGTTGGAGTCGTAAAACGGCAAGCTGAACCCATGTCCGAAAAAGACGAAAAAATTCTTTGGGAAAAAAACATTTTAGGAAATTCGTCTTCAAAATCATTACTTAATTCAGTCTTTTTTTTTAACAATTGCAAGCTCTTTGGTTTAAGAGGTGTCGACGAACATAGGAACCTATCGATTGATCAGTTTGAGCTTCACGAGTCTTAGAGCCAAAACGCATCAAGATAAAATCAGAGGAAGCAACTTCTACTATTTCTGCATTTGCCTCCCCAGATCCGCCACCCTCCATGGATACAGACGCTCCCAGTCCAATTTTCACCCACTGTACCTTTAATTTCGGTGGATTTTAACTGTACTACGAACCAGGTGTATACTCATTAATGATCTCAGTGAAAATAAAAAGCAAAATTACTGGGAGACATTTTTTGTTACTTTGAGAGAAAAACTCTCTTTTTTGTATGTTTTTCTTTTTAAATAACTATAACAAGAAAAAACGGTTAATTTCAGAGAGAGAGAGAGAGAGAGAGAGAGAGAGAGAGAGAGAGAGAGAGAGTTTACTTTTGTACTTGTATGTGAATTAGTATCTCATTAAAGCATTTTTTTTATTTTGAGAGAACAGATGTGTGTGCAATGGTGTGTTTGTTTATTTTTGTAATTTTGTTTTGAGTTGTATTCGATAAATACAATAAACGTTGAATATTCATTTTAAAAATGTTAACTTTACTAGACCGCAAGAAGGCGGAGTTAAAAATAAGTGGGATATATATTGATCACAGAAAAGTGTTGGTTTGCTCAAAATACACCATAGTTTCGAACAAAGAAAATGTGGTGTATAGATGTTCAGCTATGGTACAAAAATAATTTAACCCCCTTCCCCGCAGTCACGCATTTTAATGCATATACCATTTCCTATTTCTAACGCAAAATCACGAATGTACCGTTTCCCCGCAATCACGCATTTTCACGCACTTTAAAAAGTTCATTTAATCGTTCATTTAATGTCAATTTCCTTCTATTTTGTACTTGCAAAAATCTCATCAAAGAAGAAAAGTCATTTTTGTATTGAAATATAGCGTCATAATATTATTTACGCTAAACTTTAGAGAAACGTGTACCACGCTAAAAGGTGCTTGTGGGGAAATGGTAAACTTCTATTTCTATGACGTGAACATTTAGTGTATGTTGTATAACAGTTCAGTAAGTTGTAAAGAGTTAATACTTATTTACTTACTGTAGATTTAACGTTGTCCAGATCATGACGATTTTTCTTCATAATAAGTGTACACGTAATTGTTCAGATCCATTAGCCCACTTAATGAAAATGAAAACCTCATTGCTTATCTACAGGAAACCATATATTTAAATTTAATAGATTAAATGAATGCTGCTTAAGATATACGAAAAAGTTAGATCAAGAAGAAAGTTCGACAGACCATGGTAACACCATTAATCGTATTAGAGTATACTTTTTAACGTAATTTTCTGTACATTTTTTTCAAATAGCTCTATCTGTGTACACAAAAAGACTAAAATGACTGAAGTTTTAAAACTTTATTTGTTCGGATCAGAAATGTAAAGATACATTTTTTAAAATTTTAATTTCAGAGGACAAGTAAAAATTAAGAAAGACATTTTAAAAAGTCTAGTAATATGATCGATAGTTTTTAAGCCGATGTTACACAAATTAAGCCGCGTTGTCACAAAAGCTAATCTATCTCTGCCCTTGATTCAAATAACATTTTTAAAATGATTTGGATAGGTAACTGAAAACGACAAACAGAGATGACAGGAATTCATATGTTATCATCAAAGAATTATAGTATTATTAGGGTAACGACATGGTGTTTTAACAGTAACAAGCACTAAACAAAATTGACCATACACCTGGTCTCTACTCGGAGAGCCGTAATTACCTCCAAGGCAGCTTAAATAATTTTGTTAAGCGCTTAATTATCAACACTATGTGCAGAATTTTTTTTAAATGAATTTTAAGAAAAAAGTGTTCAATTTGAAAAATACTTTATTTTTCCCGACTTACAGTTTACAGATATTCTAACCGATTTCCACTGTTCTGACCGAGTAATCGGTTAACCGGTTACAAAGTACCATCCCTAGTCTATTTATATGTATAAAACACAAAGCAGAAAAAAGGGATAATATACGCATTTTATTGGCATTCTAAACACGTGGTTAGTTAATAGTTAGGAATTTTAACTTTCAAACCCATTTCTAGTCCGAAAATAAACGTTATAATTGTGGTCTCCTTTGAAGTTACAGCATTTAGTGTTGTGCTGGATGAATTTGTTAATTCTTAATCTATTACATGTTGTAAGTCTGCAAGCTAAGTCGAGAAATGTGAAAAACAATCAATTTGAAAACCGAGGCAAGCTACTGACGGCTTTTAACAACCTTGTTCAAGAAAGTACAAAAAATCAATGAAATTTTACTCATCCGAGAACCTACATTTTGGATCATGTTTTGTCATCTACGTGACTGTTTGTTACTTTAGTAAAGACAACGTGATATTTGGAAGTTTTAAAAGGATTTTTTTTTTGTATAATGTCATGTTCATATTAAGAGGTCAAAGGTAAAATGTAGTAACATCTTCTGTTAAATCTTCTAATTTGTCGCATTGGAATTATTTAAATTGCTTGAATATCTAAAACCTTTCGTCCAATTTTTTCTAATTTTGATATATCTTTATTTGGATTCCGTTTCATTAACTCTGCTGATTCTTTTTTGTTGTTTTTGTTTTTGTAAAAACTGATTTATACTCGTATATTTTCTTTAAATAGTCTGTCTACGTGAATCATACATAAAGTATGACTAATGAAGGCGATGCTTGCTCCTCCTAGACAACTGATCCTTCTTCTGGTGTTTCCGGTGGTGGTCTGTGTTTTTCCTTCTATTTTGACGATTTATCTTGTTTACTGGATTTATGAGGTTAATTTTTCAATCTTTTTAGAGGATCTATTCTTTAAATTGGTGTTGAGTCTGATTACTGTTTGTTATTTTTTTTTATATTTCACTTCAACTTTTGCATTCATGTATTGAAGTGCTTTCAACTTTGATCTATTATAAACATTGTAAAAATATAAGCAGTATATGTTTTGTTCTTAACAGGACGATTAAGAATCCATTGTTTAGATGGTGAAAATAAACATCGTTTATGTCTCATTCAAGAAGAGCAGAGAGACATTAATTTAAAGATGAAGTATTATATATTTCATTAATTTGATCGATGGATTGTGAAATTATTATTCTTTTTTTAATTTTTAATGCTTTCCTTCTCCTCTTACCAGTAGTTATAACAACACTTGTCATGTTCGAGGTTCCAACAACCTCTTCAACTTCGGGCAGTGGTGGCAGTGAGCTGTACCATGGTACTGGTGTAGATTTCTCAATCTCTTTTGACGTATTTGGTATAGTATCTGTTGAATCCGGAAAAATTGCTTTTACTGTTTTTCTTGTCGTTACTTCTCTTGTAGAAGGTGTATTTGTAGAAAGTATTTTTGGAGTTGTTGCTTTGATTCTAGTCGTGGATTTATGAGGAAATGACTTTTTTATTGACGGTGTTCTTGTCATCTGTGTCTTTAATAATGGAATCGTAGTTGTCAAAGTTGTTTTTGTTGTTCGTCTTGTTGAAATCCTCAATACTGTTATAGGGCAAAAAATATTTTTCTCCGTTATATAACCGGATAAATAAAAGCAATTTCTATCTAGATCTCCACATCAAATAATGCAGAGTTGTAAAGACTTCATATGGTGAAAAATTAAAAATTAAATGCACGTTTGTATAAAAATTAAATCACCCACTTTCAGGATGCAAGTCTATCAAACTTTTAACCAAGCTAGGATTGTAGAAGATGAAGAGTCTGTTGATTAAATATTATATATTCTTTGTCTATATAGCTAGGAACATTAGATGGCCAACCTAGAAGCAGAATCACTGATCTCTCTATATTAAGCTTATACGACTTGTCAAAAGAAATTGCAAACATATTTCAAAAATGGCATTCTGAAGTTTAGACTCCGATAAAATTTATATCAATGAAAATCTTGTTTTATTAGTTTATTCATTTTTGTATGAAATAAAAGATCTACCAAAAAAATAGATCAGAATTTCACCTTTTTCAATCAATTATTCTTTTAATTTTAATTATCTCATTCTCTCATGATTTCTTATGAAATAGATATAGATATCGAAAACAATGATAAAATACTTACCTTTAAGACTTAGTAGAAAACCTTTCGCTGTAAATATGTCCTGGTTAGAGTAGAGAGTGATTATTAGTTTGTTTTCTCTTGCTATTCTAAATGTTGTTCGTTTCCCACATTGTTTAAAGAGTGTGAAGTAGGTATTGATTTCCTCAATCTAGTGAAATTTGTTTAAATGTTATTTAAAACATATTTTTAAGAAAACAAAAGACTTTGCTTTAAAGCAAATGAATGATCTTGCATGCCCGAGGTTCATTTTTTTTTTAAATGTCATATAATAGACATCTATAAATGTCTAATACATGACTCTTTAAAAAATATATATACTAAGTAAATGTACGCGAATCACATTTCAATTTTTTATGATTTATTAAATTTTAATTATTTGATTGTTTTAATTTCTTTTATAAATTTTATTCATGAACTTCTTATTTGTCGAAAACCTACTTTAAAAGACCTGTAAAATAAAATTTGAATCAAGATTGCTAAATTAAAAAAAAATAGTTTTAATTCAGAACCTCACATACATTATGTAAAGGACGCGATTGCACGGCGTCACGTGATCACGTCATTTGGTGAATTAAAAAAGAATGTTTGCTGTAACTATTTCCGGAATAAAGAGCGTCATATGTTTGCGCTCATGACAAAGGGGTTTATTTTTCTAAAGTAGAGAAATTAAAAGATATTAAAGATTGTTACGATGCACCGAGCGTGTTGGTGACCGTTGATCATAATTATTATCTACGTGCATGTATTGATTTAACACGTCTATCTATTGTATATCTCTGAACATTGAAACCTATTTCATTAAAAATAAATTTGATTTATATCTTGAGGTTAAATATCTTCATTTTAAAATTAGAATTTTATTTAAGATTGTTGTTTATCATCGGATCTACATCCATGTATAGATAATTTCCAATAAAAGATTCAGACGGCTTGATTTACTAGATGCATGTATAAATATATATTGATGAACGATGTCGATTTTGATAAACATGTTACGGCGAAGACCACTTATGCATAGAAGACATATCTTTTAAAAAATATCGCAGAGGATTTTGTTTTCTCCCATAAGATCTTTTAGCATTTTCAGCAGTGACATCGACCGTTTAAACATTCAATCATCGTCGCACATGTATTGTAAACGATTGTTGTAAAATGTTTTATGCGTCGTATTGAAACACAACACACTTCTTCTGAAAGAATACCAGGGAAGATATGTACATAAATAAATAAAAGAAACATGTGAACTCATCATGCTTATGGGAATACATTTGAAAAATGTTTTTTTGTTTTAATTTATATGGACATGAAAACAGATGTCTCACTCCAGCATATATCAGAAAGCGACGGAAAGTTATTTCAATCAGTGATTATTTTTGAATCAAAACAGTAGATCTATAGTTTTGACGTCAATTGTGTCATTATGACGTCACAATGGAGATAGCGCTCATCCATGTACAGGAGAAAATGATGTGTAGACATCAGCTTACTTGAAAAGAATCGGAAGGAAAACTATTTGTAAATTAATGTGAATATTTAGAATTACTATAATTTGGCCTATAAGATTATTTATGGATGAATACATTTATTTAAAAAAAATATAATGCAGTTTGTACAAGTTATATAAAATAACCTCTTTTCATTCAATGTGTTCAAATGTCTGCCCCCCCCCCCCCCCCCCCCCGATTCCAAGTCACTAAGAAGAAACATCGCTGAGTGTTCAAAGCATGAAGAATAAGGCCTTTGAGGACTGTGCACTGGTTTATAATGTATTATTTATTTATTCTGATATAGTGACAAAATGAATGTTTTGGAGATGAAAAACTGAGTTTGAAAAAAAAAAATTATTTTCGTGACCACTGTCGGTGAAAAGTAAATCATTGTGCTTCACATATAAAATGAGCATCAGCTGCCAGATTTTAAGAGAAAAAGTATTTATTTATCTATACATATGGCCTTTATTGTCTTTAAACAGATTATGCATATTTAAGGTCCAACAACAGACCATCATATGAAAATCTGTGAAATCTTTTAATATTCTAGGGGGGGGGGTACTAAAATGCGTGTAGCTTCAAAATTAATCTGATTACCTTACTTCATATTTTAACCATAACTCACTTATAATGACTAGTACAGCATACATTAGTTTTGGGAAAAATCATTGGATATTTTTTTGTCTAGACGTTAAAAACTGCTATTGAGGTGAAAATATTACTGCAAATTTACAATTAATTCTTCCCCAAAAAATAATGGCATTACTACATTTATCAATAGTTTCCGTAACAATTTTTATTTTCAATAAATATAAAGCATATTATTAAATATCTGCAGGAAAATATTTAATTTGTTTCAGTTTTGTTGCGTGTATGGCATTATAAAACAATTACCTTATAAATATCAAAAGATTAAAAAATGGTGGTTACCATGGCAACTATAACTTCCTTATAAGCCTGATGACCATGCTTGATACTTTGATATAATGGTATCACTGACATTAGGAACATTATTTGTAAAAATGAGAAAAATTCATTGGGCAGAACTTTTTTCACGGACTCGTGCAATCCTTTCCTTAAGGAGGCTGGCGGGTCAAAAATTTAATCTTAAATTAACCACCAGATTTAAAGCCGCTTGGTCCGATTATAATCGCTAAAAATATATATATTCGATTTTCTTCTTGAAAAATAATTGTCCATAAATTGTTTCAAATTTTGTCAAATTATATCCCCAAAGTCCTTTTCTTTTAAAAGATATCAGAATTCAAAAGTTTAAAAAAATTTTTTGTTAGGTCACACAATAAATAATCCTATGTTGATCATTGTTGATATCGTGTGAAATGACCTTCGAAAAATTAAATTTATCGCTTACATGTTTATCTCATGAAGAACACACCCGAGCATTTTTTTTTTCACAACAAAGTACATATATTACCTGTACACGGACAATATTTTAGCTCCTTTAAAAAATCATTTAAAATATCTGATTTTCCTTTATTCTTTAAATATGCATATTAATATAAAAATTACTATGGATTATATTCAATTAATTTCTTAATTTTGAAAAGATGTATTATGACTAAGGCTTCTAATAATATAGAGAAAAAAAATACTCGGGTTTGAATTATCTTCATTATTAGATATATCCGATAAACTTATTTTTTTTCAAAATTGACTTCACAACAGATCTTAACTTCCGTCAGGAACTACTGTTTGTCAATAAGGTTTTTGATCTGCGTTTTCCATGTAAGGATTGTTGTAATAAACTATTAAATCAATCTTATAATTTATTTTTATTTATTATTGCCCTGTTCACACGGAGAGTTTAATTCGAATTAAACGTAAGTTTACTGCGAATTAGCTTCGCTTAGCGTTCACACGGAGAATTTAATGCGAATTAGTTTACTTCGCATTAGTTTACTGCGCATTAAATTACTTCGCATTAGCTCCGTGTGAACGCTAAGCGAAGCTAATTCGAATTAAATTTTGGGGCATGCGTAATGGCAAAATTAAGTCAAATACGTCATGTCGGTGGTAAGCTTTAAGTATTTGTGCTATTTTTGAGTGAAAAACTAAGAAAAAATGTGTTAATCACTAAAATATGTCTCCAGACACTGTGACATTATGTCAAATATATCTGCTTCTGCATAAGGTGACATGATTTGCAAATGATGTCATAATAGCCTTCCTCACGCCTGACTGTCGAAGTAAAATTTTAATTCGCATTAGTTTATTTCGCATTAGCTGTCGTGTGAACGCAATTTAATTCGCATTAGTTTGATTCGCATTAGTTTACTTCGCATTAATTTACTGCGAATTAAACTCTCCGTGTGAACAGGGCATATCTATGTAATGACGTACTTTTATTGTGTAAGATAATATGTGCCTGTTTCGGGTTAAGCGGCTTTAACTATTTTTTTAGATATGGTATATTTAGCTGTCAACTATCATTTGGCAAAGAAAAAATTCATATATTTTAGTTTTAAAATTTTATCATTTTGTATATCTTTATATGGAGCTCTCCTTTTAAAGGAGATTGAAATAGTCTAAAAATGGCTGCCACCCCCGAGCCTCGTTAAGTACCGATTATCAAAAAAAATCATCACGTGTAATATATACATACTAAAATAATACATTGAATACTAAACCTTTAGGTAGTCATAGCATAGGAATCCTGGATTGTAGTGAATATCCATTTCTATCCTGATATCTATCGCTTCTGTGACGTCAGGTGCTGTCACCGTCCACGTATAAGTTGTGTCCCTCTCGTAGTTTTTCATTGGATATCCTGGAGACGTTATCGTTATCTCCTCAGATAAAGGGAGATATATTTCCTTTGATATTGTGTGAACTCCGGAACAAGTGTCTTAGGCATGAAAATATAGATAATGTTGTACAAAAGAAAAATTGACATTTTAAGGTCAAGATCTAGTAAATGACTTTGGAATAACTTTTCAGTGCTAAATCCATTATGACGTCATAATCACTTTCAACTTTCTTTTTCCCGTACTTTACGGCTCTAATAGAATTATGTAGAAAATAGAGTACTTCCATGGAATTCAATCTGAAATCACATGAAAAGTAGTCCCGATACTTATCTTAAATTTGACATTATTTTAAAGTAGAGACTAAGAACATACAAATAACCGTTTTCTGAAAAACTGTAGGCAATCTGGATACATTTTCTTTGCCTGATATGGAAAAAAACTCCCATTTTCAATACTGGTTTAAATTTCTTAATTTTTCGGTTAAAATGACAGTTTAAAATATGGTTTTTCATCTTGTTTTTCTACAAATTATGCCCCGAAACATCTATTTTGACCAAGCTAATATTATAAAGCATCATTAAAGGAATTAATTTCTTAAATTTGAAAAATCTGTAGGCACCTTCCATTTACTAGATCTTGACCTTAACATGAGAACATTCTAAAATATTCAAACGTAAATATTCTTAGCTCAATTGTCCATATGAAATGAACTGTCAAATAACTGTTTGCCAGAAATATTCAGTCTTTAATTCTAATTTCAGTCAAAATTAAATCAATGATATTTTGTAGAACAGAAGTAATGGATATGCCCGGTAATTTGCATTTTTTGTTTTGCAAACAACTTTTTTTAAACAATCAAATTTTAACAATAATGTGAGTCAATATCCGCATACATTTTATAAAAGTCTCCCAATACTTACTGAACCAAAATATAGCAACAACAGGCAGATAACATAAATGCATAGTGTTCATGTTCTTCTCTAATAGGATTTCACCATATGTATATCTTTTACCATGTCCTTGTTCAAAACACGAATTGAAATGATATACATACGAATGAGTGCTGTGACCCTTTTTATAATTATATAGGAGGGGTTTGATAATAGATCAAAGTACAGAAATTGGTTTTGATTTTTGAAATCGAGCCTATCCATATACACCAAATGTGAGTGGGTTTTGTTGTAGGTACTTCTATTACACTACATACCATTAAATTAAATGTGAAGAGAAAAAATTAGAAACTTAATATCTAAATTCTAGATTAGAGAAAGAAATAAGGTACATGTTTTCTACATGCAAGATCTGTAACCATTTTGGGAGTATGTAAACAGTGGTAAAACAATAAATATTTATAATTAATATAATTATATAATATATAAATATGATAAATTAATAGTGCAAAAACATGGACCTTGGAAATTTTTGCACTATATTGATTTTTCTGTATTGTTTTGTTTACTGTTGCATGTCAAAAAATAAATATGGGTGGACTTTCATTTTAAAACTTTGAAAATTAGGTTAAATCGCTTAGACTAAAAATAATTTCTGTACGGTAAACATGCTGAATAAAACATATTTCTATACGTTCTCCGAAAGTCGCCTATTGTTTGCAGTCCGCTGTCCGTAGTTCGATGTCACGTGTCTGAGAATCCAAAAATGTTCTATTACTGGCGCTATTTTCATTCTGGTCATTAGTGTCTAGCAAATGTTTCAAATACAAAAATATTTATTGAAGCTTTAGATAGCGGCCAGGGACATACGTACGCCCTTCCAAACATAGAGCGAGCTGTGATATTATGAAGAATGCCATTGCCAATTAATTCTGAGACTTTTCATTTGACATGTTTAATGCAAATAATTAAACTGATGTTATTTTCTGAAAAGAGAAAGAAAGATTTTTTTTCATCTAAACATAGCAACTGTATCCAGATCCCTTAAAAACGTATTTGTTTGTAAATTTTAAAATTAAATTTTGAACTAATAGATAATATTTTTACATACGAAAGTTTTTGAAATAAGGAAAATTGGACTGAGGTATTCAAATTCTTAAACTGTAAACATTTTAGGAAATTTAAATTATTCAGTGTTACACGGACTTTATTTCCTTATTATTCCGTACACATTTGTAATATAAACCACCAGGCGTTGTTAAAATTGTAATACTTACACGTGACATCTCCTGTAGCCTTAAACAGGGCATAGGAAACAAAACTCACACTTTTCGGTATAAATATTTTTTATAATATTAATAAAAACATTCAATGTCAAGTTATTTTAGAATTGTTTCGATGAATTATTACATTTAAATAAAATTTATATATCGCAATACACACATTGTATGTAATGCTACATACTTGAAAACTTGCTTTGAAATTTGTCACATTTTTTTTCGTACAAGAGGTAATCTCAGTGAAATTATTTATGAATTATTTGCTGCCAAAGCTGATTAATATTCATTCTCACATACATTCTACACTTATTTGTATATACTTTCCATCTTCTGTTTAAAATGTCATTATGAAATTTTATGCATTAAGATTTGCTTGAAAACAAAATCACGTGTGTACAGTTGAACAATATTTTAAATTTTATTTGAACGGTCAGACATTCACTTACTTTTTTTGGATTTTTTTTTTCTATAAGAATATGTTGGAAGTACAAAATTCCCAAGAATTCTATTTTAGTTCATTTCTTTAAAAAGTACAGGAGAAAAAAAGAATATTACTATATTGGCAACAATGAATGACAATTGTAAGAAAAATAATAAGTTGTGGCATGTTTTTGTCATATTTTTTGAAAATTTATTTTTAGAGAATCCTCTTTAGCTTACATTCTAGAATGAGTTTGCGCTATCCAAATGTAATCAACAAGCATGTAACGGTCTGTTATTAAATGCAGTGTAACTTTTGTTCCATAAGTAGCAGATAGCTGATATTTGGACACAAATATAATTAAAGTACAAATTCGGGAAGCATTGCTGGTCATTAAATATTTAAAAAATATATATAACAACCATGTGGCTGCTTCACTGGAAAGAAATAGCGAGAACCAAAAACTAATAAGTGATATCATGAAAATTGAATGTATAATATTAAATTTCATTTTGTACGTCGTCATTCATATAATTAAAAATTTAACAATGGAGAAATTATGCTCAGAAATAATTTTTTCAACATCCATACCGTGTTTATATATCTCGTCTATATATTTTGCTGTCCACGGATTTTTCAGTCATAAAGCAAACAAACAAAAACTAAACAAGCTTGTATGGTAGAAAAAAAAACAAGTTAAGCTATAAATTAATTTGTTTTTTGGTTAGAATTTTTTCAATATTACATTTTCACATGCAAATATAATTGATATGCATTATGGAATAGGTCAATATTGTATGATTGTTATACCTTTAGAAATTTGTTCCTATACAATTCTATACAAAAAAACGTCTAACATTTTTAATGTTTTGCTGAGCGGCATAAAAAAATCGATGTTGGACCGCTCGGAGAGATGTTGGACCGCTTACGCCACAGAGTGGGCGGAGCTTAATCTCATTTTCATTCGCTGGTGTTAAACAGTGATAGATCTGATGTTACATCACGGAATTAAGTACAAAATACGTGTAAATATATATATATATATATAAAATAAAATAAAATGAAAGGTATAACAAAACATTTATTGACAGAGTTCTCGGGCAAAATGCGTTTTGTCGAACCCTCGAACCAAACTGTCTGCCTTCGGCCTAACGGCCTCAGGCAGACAGTTTGGTTCTTGGGTCCGACAAAACGCATGTTGCCCTCGAACTCAGTCAATAAATGTATATTAAAACCCATTACATCTTAGACCGGTAGCTTTATTAATTTTTATATCTTATAACAAATTTATTATTTTTTAATATTGTTAATTATTGATGAAGAATCTTAAAAAACTTACTAATATAATAATCTACATTACTAATAGGGAGCTCCCAGAAAAACAAAATCCGACTTCTTGTGCAAATGACTGTGGGAAATCGCTAGTTTTAAGATAAGCAATATAACATAAGGATGTATAAGTAAATCATGTTGAAATACATATATCAAAACATGAATATCACCAAGTAACTATTTACATAGTAGTCTAAAACAATTGCAGGGTTGTTTAAAGCCTAAAAACGTGTAAAAATTAAGGTGGATTTCCAAAGTTCTGTTTTAATCGTGCATTATTGATACGCATATTATACACGCTTTCCTTGTTTTAACTCATGTTTATATTTTCTTTTTACGCCTAATCAGGTGTCTCCAATTCAAACCTTTTCAATCGTTTCCTTCCTCAAAGGCAATGGAATGTTTTCTTCTATTGACTTTCTTTCATTATGGTTTGATTTATGAAACAAATGTAAAAAGAAACTTCCCCTGGAATAATTACTCCTTTGCCTATTGACATGAGATCGTCTTTTTGAGGTTGTATCGTAAACCCCGTCAGAGAGATCTTTATATGGGTTTTCATCGCTCTCGTCAAATGGAATGGTGTCATATACATTATCAATACCGAAAATGGTTTTTCTGGAGACAGGTCTACGATCATTGGCTTCTTTTGAGGTTCTCTTCATCGAGCTCTTTCTATAAAAGTAAAAAAAATGTTAAAATGCTTTTGAAAGAACAGACATCCTTTGCGTTTTTATTTTTGAATGTGTCTTTTTCATATGTTTATATGTACGTATTAACAAGGAAAAGTTGTTGTAATTGCACCTTTGAAAATAACAGTCACTGAAATAAGAGAAAAATATTATTTATATTAATGTGTTTCTTACCTCTGCTCTCTAAATCGCTTGACCGCTAGGATACCCACAATTATTATCGTAACCTCCACCACTCCAATTCCCATCATCAGAATCTCTGAAGACGATTATAGCGATGAATTACAATCGTGAATTTGTATAATTCAGAAAGATTCACAATAATACATATTCATAAGCATCGGCAAAAAAAAGAAGGATTTTTTCCATTCCTAAATTCAAAGTAATTTTCAGAAATAAATTTTAATTTACAAAAAATTAAAATTGAAAGTTTTTATATGAAATAAAAAGTAGAATAGAATGGAAAATGTAATTATCTTAACACTCGATAATTCAAGGATGCTTCAGAGTCAACTAATTAATTTTCAAACCAATTGGTATAGATTCAGTAGTGGACATCGGTATAGATTCAGTAGAGGACATTGGCATAGATTCAGTAGTGGACATCGGTATAGATTCAGCAGTGGACATCAGTATAGATTCAGTAGTTGTTGTTTCAGTGCTCAGCTTTATGCTTGATGATATTGATGGTGATGTTGCACTTTGCAAGGAGCCTACAAGAGCAGCCAATAATATAGAGATATTCTTGCTAAATTTTAGTTTAGAACTAAAACTTATTAGAATCGCCCTTTTTATTGGATGGGTTTTAATGTTTAATTATAAATTGAATTAAGTTTACCAATAATAATAATCCTGACCTTAAAGACAATGTTTATATATTACTTGAATATTTATCTATTAACCACAAACCAGGAGGAATAATGTGAGATGGAAATTTAAAAACTTTAAAAACAATTTCAGGATGCTTTTTAATCAAGGAATGTATTCTCAAACCCAAATCTTGATTGTGAGAAGACCCTTTCGACATCGGTATAAATTGAGTTGATATTTCAGCATTTGGCTCTGTGTTTGATGACTGCGGCTTATCTTGAGACATCGTACTAGTATTTTTGGAGTCTGTGAGAGCAAATAAGTATTGAAAGAATGTCTTCGCAACTTTTATATATAAAATTAAAGCTTGTAAAAATCGTTCTTATTTTAACATGATTTATTAATGTTAAGTATACCGGTGTATTGATAAAGTAATATATAATAAAAAATGAAAATGGCATATTTAACGTTCAAAGTACTTTTTAGATTTTTACCGACAGTCAAGTATTGAAGAACTCAAAATTATACTTGAAAAACTTTAAGGAACGAAAATGGCTAGGAAGGCAATTAACTTTCTAATAACAATTTATAGGTTCTTTGTAGTCAAATATTAATTTATCAATTTATTATTTCGTTGTTTTAAAGTAATTCGTTTGACGACTGTGTGGTTCCCGCTGACTCGTCGTTCAATTTTGTACTTGATGATGTTGGTTTTTTCGAAGAATTTGTATTTTGTAAGTCTATAAGAGCAGCCAATAACACTAGAAAGCCTTTGTTCATTTTCAATGTAATCTTTATTTATTTTCTTATATTCACAATTTTAAAAAAAATCGTTCCAATTCTTTCACTATAAAATGTTTCAAAACTGTAAGTAAAGCTTCTAGTACTTTGGTCATTTGTGGGTAGAATCATGGATCTTGTTGTTTTTATATAAATAAAAATATTTAATTGAAAGCAAAAATTGAAAATTTGAAATAAATGTAAGGAACAGTGATCGATCATAAATCCGGTGTAGAAGACAAATCATGAACAGGAATAAAACGCGGACCCCAGTTATTATCAGAGAAGGAATTGGGTACCTAGAAGGAGTAAGCTTTCCCTGTTGACGGTCCCATCCGCCATCAACTCAGTATCGTTCATGTAGTCAATTTAGTATAAAAGCAAACACCTAACAAATGGTCAGACAAAATGTAGGGAGGTTAAATAGTTGGAATCTAGCCTTTTAATTATTTAATGAGTATTTCAAATTCAATATCCAAAGTACAATGGAAAACAAATTTGAATAATTTTTTTGATTAGCTAATTAAAATTAGAATGTAGCTAATTCTTGTGGCGTCTTCACCTTCAACATGGTTAATTAGGAATATTTTTTTTCTTTTACGTCTACTTCCAGTTTAATTTAAGAGTCTTTAGGCAATATCTATGGCCACAAAAACTAGTTTGTAATCTGATATTGAAAAATCCAAGTACTGGGAGTATTTAGCTTCTTAAATAACCCATGTAAGCTTCATTGGTAAATAGTGAAATAGTTTGCGAATGTGATGTAAAATTAAGTGTTTATTGATGGATAGTGATAACAAATGAAATATATGGAGATAATGAACAGAATTCGAGCTCAAAGGTCAATTCAAACTTCAAACAATACAAATCAGGAGCAAAGCAAACAGGACCTTTAAAACATCAGAGTATTGATCAGGTGCTATGGAGGAGTGAGACTCCCCTGCCGACCTGTCACACCCGCCAAGTGCTTTAAGTCTTGATCATGAAATTACGAAAACAAATCCGTCGGCAATGCAGTGTGTAATTAATTGCCTAACAATTAGTATGAAAAACCCCAAATTGTTTACATTTAAACCGTCATTTAAATAAATGACATTATTCATCTCTATGAAAGTGTTTTATTTGACTTATACAAAATTAGCAAAAACAAGCTGCGGTGAGCTTGCCTATAAGCATAAGAACACATAAAACAACGATTTTTGGAATAATAATTGTATTTATGTATTGAATGCGATAACTTAGTTGGAGGTTTCCGGTAGGATTAATTTTGGTAGATTGTGAAAATTCTTAGATCCACGCCTTGGTTGATAGATTACATATAATAGGTGTAAGGTCACGTGGTCAGCTCAGCGAGTCATTCAGTTGTATTGTGATAACCCGCATTGCTGACCACGCTAACATCGGGCACGTCTATTTTGAAGACCCTCCTCCACCCCTGCATTCCTACCCCTTAAAATGGGTATTAATGTGTCATGTAAAATCATATATTTGATTGGTTCTGATTTAATTTGTTTATATATAAATTTTGTTATGTACATGTATTTTGTTTCACTACTATCCTTGGCCTATTTTGTTTTGATGTGCCATCTTTTTGCTAACTTTTTCATATGATGTTTTGATTGTCTTGTCTTGGCCTATTTTGTTTTGATACATGTGCCATCTTTTTGCTCATTTTTTCATATGATGTTTTGATTGTCAAGTGTCTTACAGATACTTTTTTCTAGTCAGTTTTGGGGGGTCAGACATTATCATATTTTACGTAACTGCTAATCAAAGCTTGTGAATCTGATCCCCTTCTTGTTTGTTAAATTGTTCACATTTATACCTTCATTTTAATAAATGACATTATTCATCTCTATGAAAGTGTTTTATTTGACTTATACAAAATTAGCAAAAACAAGCTGCGGTGAGTTTGCCTATAAGCATAACAATACATAAATGATTTTACTGAAGGAAAGATTGCATTTTCTGAATAAAATGAAAGTGTATCGACCATAAAGCATGATGTTTTTAAACTAGACAACTATTCTTGAAATTCGTGTTTCATCAACTCCTTTGTCAATAATTTACCCCCTTTTAGAAACCGTTTATATGTATGGCATGTTCTTGCGTATTTAATCAACGATATAGACACTACAGTAAAACTCGTTTAGTACGAACACGGTTACATGTATAACGAATACACGGATATAGCGAAATCTACGGTAAAATTTTTAACAAATCCCTATAAAATTTTACGGTTATAAAGAACTCTGATATATAAAGAATTTACGGATATAGCAAACTGATATTAAGTCCCGTAGAGGTTAAATGTAATGAAATTTACGCCTTTTATAATGAATTTTCATAGATCTCAAAATTTGATAAATTGAACTGACTTTATTTTGATCAAATATATGAATATAAAAACTAATTCATAAAAAGACCTTAGTTATTCAATGCATGTTTTGTAATTATTGCTATTCTATATGATAATATTGAAAGGAAAACATATTGCGAATTCGCTGTATATATTTATACGAATTCGTTATACGAATGACAAATAACGGATATAACAAATTAAATTTACAAGTCCCACGGACTTCGCTATAACCGAGTTTTACTGTACATTGATATGACGAATAGTATTTTAGCTCAAAAGTCCATTAAACAATACAAAATAGGAAGAAAGCTAACCTGGACCTCCAAAACATCAGAGTTGTTTTTCTAGTAAAATATCCACAATATGAAACAGATGTGTAAGACTTTGGTATCTTTTATCTCAAGCTCACCGGGATATATCACATTGACATAAGAATGGAAATTACCATTGTTAATTGACAATATGTTCGTTGATAGACCTAAATGTCAAGTTGAAGGAAAATGCGTTAAATCTTTTTTTTTCTTTTCAAGTATTAAGTTTCGAAACAAATTCTCCTTGATATGAATACAAAAAAATAGGTCTGGCAATAACTGTGCGCAATTGGTACTCATGGGGATTCAATTCAAATGAAACATCGTGTATATTTGGTGTGTAAACATACAAGGGAAGTAGCCACTTATATCGACTTAATGAAAAATTGTAGTACTTCAGGTCTATATACATGAATATGTTGAGAGCACAAAGGAACTTAGTGTAAGTTTTGCTAAGTGTAGTTCAAGTTTCAATGACCCTGTAGTACTTCCAGTTTTACAATGGTGGTGTTACTAGCAATTTGTACCGGTTCATTTTGTTTTGTATATATACCTTTGGTGGCAACAATTTATACCTAACGTCACATTTCATATTGCCATCCACCAGAAATATCGGAATAGACAACAATATGTGCCGAGATGGACCTTTTTCTCCCTGTGGAATGGGCGACAATGTTTGCCTTTTATATTGGTTCATTTTGTGATTGGCGGCGATAAATTATTCAAACATACACATGCAGAAACATTCTTCAGCAACCAATAAATGTAGGGCACCAATATCTATAGTGAAGATAGGCACATATGTCTTCGGCGGCAGTAGGCGTATGATTAAATTTTTCAGCCGACGACAAAAATTGTGACGACCACAATATACAGTGTATAAGAGGAATACATGTAAATGTAGCGTAGCTGTATGTTCCTTTCAAAAACTATGAAAGAAGGATATGAAGATAACGAACAGTTTTCAATTTCAAAGTCCATAATACAAAACAAAATAAGAGCAGAGCAAACACAGACTTCCGAAACATCAGAGGTGGGATCAGGTGAATAATTACCTTGTCCCTCAACATGAGCAACTTGAATACTAGTAAGTCATTGTGTTTATTTTCTCTCTATATATGTATTTTCTATAAATATACATGTATGAGAGTTTTGATCGTTTTGACTTCGCATGAAGTACTTGTTATAGATTTGGGGAAAAAAATGTAGCGCTTATAAGTATGTTCATCAATGTATTTCCATTTCATTTCATATTCAATACCTCTACCTTCGTCAGTCAGTCAAGTTCCTCACAATAAAGATATGTTGTGCACATAATTAACATATTTGATATAATTATGTTTATAAAGAATAAGCCCTTTGAAATCTCTGGAGTGTAAATTTTCGTTCTTTTCACCACATTGTTTTTATTTCATTATTTTATAGTACTAAACATTCTCTAAACGAGAAGTCCCATCAAACCAATATATTTTCCCTTTAACCTCGAAAATTTGATCCCACGAAATATGCAATTTTACAGTAAGTTATATTGTTATGCTTTCTCTCTTACCAGTACTAATTAAAACCCGTTTAACAGGTGTCGTTTTTGAGGTTTCGTCTGTAGTTGCTGTTGAGTGCGGTATTGGCGATGAAGTGTACAAAACTGGCGTAGAACTCAGAACTTCGCTCACAATAACTTTTGGCGTCGTTGATTTAGTGGCTTTCCAACTAGAGAAAACAGTTGAGATTTTTATTTTTCTTGTCTTTCTTGCTGTAACTTCTGTTATTGGTGCTGTTCTTGTTGAAAGAATTATTTCTTTATTTCCAATGTTTGGTCTTTGAGGATCTTCCGTTTTCATTGTCGTTGTTTTCTCCTTTGCCATTGATGTCTTTGACATCGATGATGAACCTATTGTCGACTTTGACAAACTTGTTGATATCTTTGATACTGTTATTAAATTAAACATCTTTTTATTTTTATTCCGTTATATATAAACAAAAGTTAATTTTCATGTAGAACTGTAAAGACGCCAACATTGAATTAACATAATGAACATGAAAGCCATGTTTGTTTAAAGTTTAAATCAGCCAAGCAAAGAAAAGGTTCTAAGGTCACTGGGAATTAACTTGCTTGGTTACATGTACGTGATTAAATCCTGTGATGCCCTTTCTTAGTAGTTTTGAACACGTTACAACCAAATTCATTCCCGAGTGAACATTTGATCTTGGTTTTATTAATTATAATTACATTTGAGACAAATGTTCGAATAGAAATATTACACGATTGATCCGTCAAATATCTATGTGATCAAGAAGTTAATAGGCCATCAATGTGTGCTTATCTCAAACATTGGAATATATGTTCACCAGGATGCCGAAATATAAAATATTATTTACATGTGTATTTATCACTAGTTTTATACCATTTCAAATACGTCCAAGCTAGATCAACGGAACTGTATATTGTAATTCACTTCAATGACTCTTTATTATTACTTCAAGGAAACTTTTCATTACTGAGTGTTCAGGCGCCTATAGCTAAAACAATTTATTTGTAGGAAGAATTCATTCAAATAATGTCCATCTAGATCAGTCATTCATGTTTATAAAGTGAAAAGTCTACCTTATTAAAAGGTATGATAATTGATATATTTATCAATCTTTTATGCATGGTTTGTTTTCAAAATTTCAAATCATTTTTGAAAACTTATCGTTGTGAATATTTCAAACGTTTGATTTGAACATATTTTATTGTAATATAATTACAAAGGGATTGAGCACAAGTTTACAAATCTCCCTATACATGTAAATTACACATTTATATTGTCACAGTTAAACATGCTATAAAAAGTATTCAGAATTTGCATAAGTAAACAAAATGATGCATTTTGCATATATGTATGAATATAAAAAAGTTAAATAAATTCATATATCAATATTGGTAAAGTAATTAACAAGGAAATCTACCAGAATGCTTAATAAATGTTTGAACTAAAGAAAAGAGATGTTCATTCTCTGCAGCACTCAGTGATTCAACCCCCCCCCATAATAAAACTGTGTATCTAGTATGTGGATTGTATCAAATTGTAAAAAATTATGTAAAAATTCATTCCTGGCGTTCACATACTTTGGACATACGAAAAAATAATGATATGTGTCCTCAACTTTACCGCACGTGCACAAGGGACTTGATATTAAATTGCATCTATAAAGGTCGTTATTTAATACACAATTATGTCGTAGTCTGGTTTGAAGAACATTTAGTCTTCTGTTACCGTAATCAAAGTAAATCAATAATTTTTTATTACTAATTTTAGATTTGAATTTCGACATTGACTGTAAATTTCGAGTTTCAAGTGGAATGGAGTTCCATTCGTTAACTACAGTGGGAATAAACGTAGACTTATAAGTTTGTAATCGACACTTTGGAATATCATAATTTTGAGAATTTCTTGTCGAGTAGATAGATGTGTTACAGCGCATATTTGGAAGGATGTCCATTAAGTATTCTGGCACTAAATTATTATGAAGTTTGAACATTGTTTTTAATCTAGCTTCTTGTCTTCTACAACTTTCCCATAGTTTCAAAATAAAGTGAATCTTTGGAAGCTATAGTTGTTAACCCTGTTACAATTCTAGCTGCATAAAGTTGAAGTTTTTCTAACTTATCACTATCACCCTGTTGACAGCAAAACTGAAGCGTATTCATTGCGGTCTTATGAATGATGTATACATGAGTGAAGTGTTCAAACGTTTCAATTTTTATTTAAATTTGACCTGAAGTTATACATTAAATGTTAAATGGTTTGCTTCAGATAATATTGAATAATTTCCATTAAATTTCTGAAGAAAAAAGTTAAACATTTTCTTTAATTACCAGCAAAAAGATATTTACCTTTCAGACTTAGCTGAAAACCTTTATCTGTAAATCTGTCATGGTTAGAGAAGAGAGTGATCCTTAGTTTGTTTCCTCTTGCTATTCTATATGTTGTTCGTTTTCCACATTGTTTAAAGAGTGTGAAATAGTAGTCATTGATTTCCTGAATCTATTACAATCAATAAAAATTATTAATACATGTAAATTATTAATATAATTACTTTATAAAGCTAAAAATTAAAAACAAAAACAAATTTACAAACAAGGCAACATCATAATAATCATATGGCATCTTTTTAATTTATAGTGTATAATTTTTATTTCTATTCTATAATTTTCCATTTGTGTTGTAAAATTTTTCATTTGTTACATTAAAGTTTGAGAATTCAGAAATTTAAAATAACAATAACAATTAATTTTAGATTCTCAGAATTCTAAAACTTGATTGAAACACTTTTGTATTCTATAATTTTTAATTATGTATTGTAAAAAAAAAGTCTTATTTTAAAATACAAATAAAAAATTGCAAACAAAACAAATGTTAATATAGAAATCAAAAAAAAAAAAATACAATACAAATGAAAAATCATACAATTCAGTGAAAAGTTATACAAAACAAATAAAATTATACAAATAAAAATCATAAAATGCAAAAAAATTATACAATAAAAATCAAACGGAAAATTATACAATACAAAAAAATCATACAATACAAATAAAAATCATACAATACAAATAAAAATCATTCAATACAAATGGAAAATATCGAATGTTGTAACATTTGACATGCCATAAAATCTTTGTCTTTTGTGTTTATTGAATCTTCAAATGAAATCGTTGAAACTTTAAAAACATTTTTTTTTCCATTTTCTATATATTCACTTTATACTTCGACTTAAATTTAATTTTTTTTTTTTTCATTTCTAAAAGTTTTAGTTGGTTTTGCTTGACTAAAATTATTTGGATTTTTTTGTCGTCGAAGATATGTGCGATTTTTTAAAAAGGCCATGTGGACTATAACTGCATCAGATATATTGGTCTTCATTTCTTGTTTGTCATGTAGACCTTCTATATTTAAGGAATAAGATATCATTTTAAGAGTTTCATTGGGGTATGACATGAAGTCGGTCACGTGATCAAATTCTATAGGGCGTTATAGTAGATTTGATCACGTATCGACTTCATGTCATATCCCAATGAGACTCTAAACAATGATATTTTATTTTTTTATATTTATATTTTACGTTTTCATCCATGTTGCAAAGAAATATAACAATTATTTAGACTTTGATTTTGAAAAGCAACGTTAGGTTACAACGACGTCATGTGACCGCACAGTCAGAACTTTTTAGATTGCTCGTGCAGTTTGCTTTCCATACGCAAAAAAGTCTGATCATGTGAAGAACTGCATGTCATTGAAAATTGAATTTCAATTTTATTAGCACTGTTATATAAGGAAAGATATTTAAATGTAAATATATGAAATTAAATACTGAACCTGTAGGTAATCATCACATGGGTATCCTGGAGTATAGTGAACATCCATTTCTATCCTGATATTTATCTCCTCTGTTACGTCAGGTGCTGTCACCATCCATATATAAGTTGTGTCCCTTTCGTAGTTTTTCTCTGGATATCCTGGTGATTTTATTGTTGTTTCCTCTGATATTTGGAGGTTTATTTCCTCTGGTATGGTGCGAATTCCGGAACAAAAGTCTTAAAATTAAGTATATTATTTGTGTTGTACCAAAAACAGTATGTACTATTAAATTTTCTAGAGAAGAAATTTTTACACGGTCGGCATCTACGCTCCGTTAAGGGACGACCATTTGATCCTGGGGGGGGGGGGGGGGGGGGGGCTGGCAAATTTTTTTGAGACAGATTATTTATTTTCATGCCTGTCGAGGACAGATTATTTATTTTCAAGATTATCAAGGACAGATTATTTATTTTCTTCTATGTCTTACCGTACATTGATCAACTGATTCTAAAAGACTAATCATTTGTATACCATATTCAGATACAGGATTTGGGGAGGGGACAGGTATAACGTTGTTTAGGCAAGAGGTCTTGGGCCGCCGTAAGGGCCACAGTGGGTCCTGGGCGAAGCCCTGGTGGAGGCAAAGGGAGTACACCCATCCCACCCCCGAAGCTCTTGGGGTTTCGAGTATATTAAGAGTAAAACCAGGCACTATTATAGTGGTATTGGTTATTATGAACCAAAGTATGACATTATTATAATACTGGTCATACCGTACTTTGAGTGAAGTAAGTTCAGGGAGCAAAGCCACCTGAAGCTCTTGGGTTTTTCATTCAATACCGGTATGTATAAGAGTAAAACTTTGTAGGAATTGGTTAGATGTGTACCAATGTATGACATTATTAAGTCATATCATACTTTGAATGAAAAGCCCCCCCCCCCCCCCTGCCCCCTGAAGCTCTTGGATTTTTGTGTATTTTAAGAGTAAAACTAGGCACAAAAAACATTGGTATTGTCCCAAAGTATGGCATTATTATTATTATTCGTATCATACTTAGAAATTTTAAGGGAGGGTCTGGTATCCGCCAGTGTATATTTTGTAATAATTTAATTTCAGTTGTAACACGTCATTTGATTGGTTAAACGCTTTTATCCATTTCATATAACATAACTTTCCTACGTCACAATGAGTAATGTCAAAAACGTATTACTCCGCTTGACGTTACTTTTAAAATAATGCTCACTGAGAAGCCTTTTTCTGGAGGAAATATTGTCTCATTGTCTACATTAAAACTAAATTATAAAAAGTGAAGTTTATTTCAACTTATGTTATCCGATATAACAAAACTTGGGACAGTTTACGCTTATTTATAAACCGCTTTGTTATATCGGATAACATAAGTTGAAATAAGCTTCATTCCTTAATTAATTTATCTAGAAAGTATGATTATTCGACAAGAAAATTTATCTTTTGTGGTGTATAAGAATTGGTTTGTATTTAAAGTTATTCATCACACTTACTAATTAAGTGCACATTGTCATGCATGTTGTTAAACTGACTTTTAAAGTATCCAGTCTGGTAATCTGATTTTAAATACTATTTGGTTCTAAAATGCGAGCGAAGCGAGCCAGAAAAAAAAATTTGAATTGAAGACTTTTGAGATTAAATTACACGTAAATAAAAAAAGGTATTTTTACAATATTTAATTATCAGAAGTCAAGGTCAGATTTTTTTTTCTCTGCAATGGAGGACAGATTATTTATTTTCAACATTTTCAGGGACAGATTATTTATTTCCAACTTCTGCCAGGCCCCTCCTCAGAATCAAATGGTTGTCCCCTTACATATTGAGTCTCTAAAGGTCGAGTCTCATCAATATAATTTGGTGAATGAAGGAATAGGGATTATATTTTTAAATATTTATTCTTTGTCTGAGACAAAACTACAAATAAGGATTTAACTTTATATATCTTTATAAAACGATTTGACCAGTATGTAACAAAACTGCATGCTTTCTCGCTTTGTCTAAGTTATGCATGGAATGGGGCTTTCAGACTTAGATTTTAATTACTGAACAAAAATACGTGTTTCAATTTCTTATTGAATTAATGATAAAGTAAACATGTAAAAATAAGCGATAGCCTTTTTTTTTTTTTTTTTTTTGAGCAAGATGAGGATGATCAGTCATTCTGCTCGCGTGTTCATCTACACATAATCACCTAACCAAACTGATTGATCACATCATTGTTTAAGAATTGGATTCTAATATAAACATCAAATAAAGTTTGAGAATCATAATAAATACATGAAAATCGTTCAATACTTACTTAAACATTTTGTAGCAAATACGGCCAGATAAAATAAATTCGTAATAAACATATTCTTCAATACATATAGTTGAAATTTACTTTTTTTTTTATTATATTTGGCTGTTCCCATGTACTAATTATTAATTCTAAAATATTAATGAAAGTTTGTTCAGATCCGATTTATACTTTTAGAGGGGGAAATGCCAGTAATTTGTTAATTGGTTAAACGGTAGAGGCGTTGCATTGAAGGTCGAATTGGTTTCAATATTTTTAAATCAAGCTTGTTTGTTAAGTATGCTAAATACAACATGTAAACGCATCTGTTGGACCGCATTACATTCCAAAATGTTAAAAATCCAAAATATATAATAAAAAATAACTTTGAAGAGTGGAAAAAGGGTGCCAAAGACTGGAGCCAAATACGATGAAGAATAAGAGCTATGCACATGATGCATGATCGAGGGAGATAATCCTTATTTTTGAGATTTCACCACAGCAATTAAATATACGTATATTGTCGATTCTTTTGAGAATTTGGAATTTTTATTTTATAACTTGGTTTAATCACATAGACGAAATATATGAAGATAACGAACAGTATTCCAAATCAAAAATCCATAAAACAATATAAAATAGGAGCAGAGCAAAAACGGACCTCTAAAGCAACAGAGGTGGAATCAGGTGCCATGGAGGAGTGAGCATCCTCTGCCGACTGGTCACACTCTGCTCCTTCTTATGATTGGGAATTAACATGAAAATCCGTCAACAATTCAGTGTATGAATAATGGTCTAATAATGAGTATGAAAAATGTCAGTCAGCATTTGACTCAATGATAAACTGTATTTGCTGACAAGGCCATTGTCTCGACCGTAGAACTTAGGAAATGATACCTTCAAAGGAGACTGCTGATATTCTTGTTTCGAAATCAACTTGTTTTTCAATAATTTACTTCATTTTATAAATGGTTCATATGTAGAGCATGCTCTTGCATATCGAATCAACTGAGAGACATAAACCCGTATAAAGGTGATGAAGGTATATTGCTGCAAAAGTAAGGTATGTTGACGATTGAAAAGTTAAATTCATCATGCTTATCATAGAGCTTGGATTTTAGAAAACCGTTAACATCTTTTTCAAGTAGAATATCCAAATATGAATCAGATGTGATGGATTCTGTGGTATTCTTTATATTGAATCGACATAAGAATTCAAATAACAGTGTGTTAACTGAAAAAATGTCATAGATATACAAAATGTTGAGCTGAAGGCCACAGCAAGTGCTATTTCATTCCAAGAGATCAGAAAATAAATAAACAGATTAAATATATTATTTCATAGATTTATTGGGTTGAGTAATTTAAATAAAATATACATTGCATTATAATACACTTATTGTTTGTTTGTTGTTGACATTTTTTTGTCTTTGTTAATGGTCCTGGTTGCATTATCTTTGTTATTTATCCTGACTGTGTTATTTGTCTTTCTTTGGGTTTAATTCTGTATCCAGATCCTCTGTTTGTGATTCCATTTCCTTGGTTAACTCATCAATTTTATCAATATCCTTCAGAGAAAACTGGGCTGATCCCCTTTGTAATGGTTTGGGCTGAAAAATGGCGAAACAAGAAATTAGCTTTGTGAACCATGTGCAGCAACAGATCTACATTCTGGAGAAATGTGAGTAGAAAATATATAAATAAAGCTTAAAAACATGTGGGCAAAAAATTTTACAAAAATTACTGTTTGAAACTTTAAAAACCTGTTAAATATTTCTTTATCAGAGAATTATGACTACATTTCACATCAAATAGTTCAAAATATTGCGGGGAAAAAAGTCTGGCTCCATTGGGCTCAATAAGTGCCTGAGCCTGTATTATAAGATGATCTCTGTTAGACTCAGGATAAATTGTGTTCTCTGATAGATTTTAATATAGTTTTAATTGTGTGTAACTAAGACTGGAACTGACCCAACCTGATACTTTGTATAACTAGAAATATAAAGGAATATCATATAAATACCTGAGAAGGATGCGGGGACCAACCAATGAAATTTACAATCTGAAAGGTAGCCTCCAGTCCCTCCTCTGAGCTGTACATTTCTACAACAAAATTACCATATACATGTAATTGGAGTCAGTCACAAAAAAAAATCAGAGATAAAGAGACAGAGATAGAGAGATTGTGTGAGGGAGAAATTGTGGTGTGTTTACACAATTTTTTAATAATTAACTAATATACTCTCACAAGATTAAAAAATTTCTTTTAAAGAAAGTCTGGATTACATGTACTTGAAAACCTTATCATAATCAAGATTTTTACTCAATGTTTCTATTCTAAAAGATGAGCTTTTACAACGAGAATTTTACCTCTGTATTTTTTCTCAGCTAATTCTATTGTTTTACGATAAAGCATGGGCCTCCTTTCCCAGACACAGTTATTTTCTGCCATGCCTGATATTAAAATAAAATCATTACTTTAATGTTACCAAAGGCATTCCACTGATAACTAAGATAAATTTAGCAGAAGTATTTATTGGATCATGATTCTGATACCTTTCAAATCCAGCATTAAGGACAACATGTTCTCATAAGTTGTTTTTATTTCATCAATATCCTGTGAAAATGAAAGGGAAAACTTAGAACTCATAATAACATACATGTATTTGTTTGACCACTTCTTTATAAGTATGATACATGAAAGCAAGAAAACCTAATTCATGAAAATATGCTATGTTTTATACAATTGCCACTTGTTTAATTTTAAAGCATGCTCCTTTTGTGAACAAACTGAATACTGCTTTAGATCTATCTTTTAGTATTTGTATAACTTCTCACTTTACCCTTCAGTACTATCAGTACTTTGATTTATTTGGCACACTTACAATAGTTAACATGGTGAATCCTGCTCTGTTTAATAGGTTACCTAGATCACGGACATCAGTGAAAGGTGAAATGTGTGGACTAATCCCCTGTCAATCAAACAAGTACAGGAGTGATTTGTCTTCTTTAATTGCATTCATTTTTCAATGAGCTTGGATAATGCTATGGACTTTGTATGAATTAAAATTAAGTTTCATTCATGCTTCACCATTTTCTTTTTTTGAATTTATGAAAGTATTGAGTTCTGTGTACTGCCTTATTGTTGAGAACCAGTTTATCCTGGTACCTACCCCCTGTATTTCCTGTTCTGCTAACTGCAGAGAAACCCTGAGTTCAAACAGCGTGTCACCACCAAACATACTCCCAATAAATGGACAGTCCGGTTTTAAAGCCTTCTGAGCCTGTTCAAAGAGACAGTAATGGTTAACATTTTCTAGACATTTCTGGACATGGTCAAGCACAAAAAAGCCTATTTCATTACCATGATTACTGTAGTATTGCTCACTATATTAATCTCAGTTTGCAGATTATCAACTTCCATTGGTCTTTAAAAGTTTTATATTGCAATAATTAATTTTTGTACATTTTCTGTCCAAGGAATTCAAAAAAATTGTTTAAAGATACATGTTCATTTAATAATCAATCAAAAATGAACTTTATTCATACACATACTAGTACATAAACACTTAATACTTACAGCCTTGAAACACCCTGGTAAATCATTGACCCAGTGTAAGCTGTCAGCAGACAAAATAACATCTTACAAATACAGAAAAATAAAGACCACTTACTGTTTTTCATGTGGAATATTTTTTTTTTTAGTGCAAGGTTTAACACAGAAAAGAGAAATTCTGATACTTTACATATGAGGATGAGAATATTCTTCCTTGCTATAGCTTGACAGAAATAACTGTCTCTTATCAACTTCTGGCCACACTTCGATCAGTACTCACCTTAAACTGCTCACAATTACATCCAAAGAATTCTCTTTAAATGGGAGAAATTCTTCATCAACTATCAGTTTTTGAGTAGGAACTTCTGGTGAAACCTGTGCTTGTCTCTAAATAAAATTTAATAAACTGTGCTTGATTGTGACTAACATAGAAAAAGAATTTCTCGTTTTTAAGATACAAAATAAGTTGCAAATGGATTACCCGGTATATAAAAAATAATTATGGGAAAAAATGCATGGTTTCCTTCATTAGGTGAATCATTTCAATTGAGTATGCATTAGATAATATGCATTTAAGTTACCAGTAATTTTTCTGAGAGTTCACACTGATATAGAAATTTGACGGTATCTTTTAAAACATGACGGGAAACATATCCAAGTCCAGAACCTAGATCCACTCCTATGTCAAATTCTCTACAATTCAAAGAAGAAAAATCATAACAGGTATTTATTGTTATCTATTTAACTTTTGGGGGCACTTTTTGTCTTTTTTAATGTCTTAATTTATTTGGCTGGGTTTTTTTTCTTGCCTTTAAGTTCTTTTAACAGCTAGGAGATTAATAATGTGTTTTTTACCTTTTTATGTCTAAAAGTCTATCATATGTTCTGTACCCAATCTGAATGATGAAAGACAAAATATTATTACACAGTTTCTAAAACATGTAAAAGTAACTAGTTACTCATAAACATTTCTACAGGTTTGGCACAATCTCTTGATTTTAAGCTGTATAGCGTGGTTCAGCTTTATTGTGTACAGTGTACATATCGCTTTATTAAGCTATTCAGGCCCCAAGACCATAAACAAAATATTCAATTCTTTGTAACATATCTTCATAAAATGTTGCAGGTTTGTGTAATATACTATTTCATAGGTATGTGGAAAATTTTGTTTCACTATCAAAATTGTTTCAAAACTTCTGTTGATTTTAAATTCTGACTTAAGTCTGTTCTCAGTTTATGGTCTTCTGGTCTTGGGGCCAGAATAGCTTGATTTAGTTATTTTATTACATACTTTTCTCAAATGAGTTATTTTTTAGCATGTGAAAAAAGTACAAATAATGAAAACTGAAAGCTATATGAATAGTCAAATACTTGAGACTTCTCTATTTCCTACAAAAACATTTTTGTGAAAAACTACATGTAAAAAGTTTTATCAGGTGATTGTTCTGATTTTAATGTTAGCTTTGCATTTATCAATTGCTAATCAGCAAAATCAAATGAGTCCATGCATGATTGCATGTCACACTGAACAATCAAAAATTAAGGGTGCGTCGATTTACCGAAATGGACACAAATGGAACCCAAATGGACCCAAATGGAAACTCAAATGGACCCAAATGGAAATCAAATGGACCCAAATGGAATATAAAATATATATACTATATCGTATTTCAAGTTTTTACTTATCTAAAATATAGAGAATAATGAAATTATAACAAATAGAGAATATTATAACATCATTATTTCTTCAGTTGTATTTGCAAAAATGCGATTTAATTCTATTTGCAGTAACTATTTTTGAACATACTTGATACAAAACTGATGTATTTGATATTTTTATGGCCGTAGGAACGGAGGGGGGGGGGGTGTGGAGGCCATGCCACCCCCTGCCCCTACCCCCAAATAATTTTGCCGGTTTATTGGATACTATGAAAACTTCATGTTTCAAAATACAATATTACAGATTTTTAAGCTAAAAAAATCCATTTGTAACTGTAAGTTCATTTATTTTCATCATTTAGATAAGTATCAAAATACGATAATACATATTTAATATTCCATTTGATTTCCATTTGGGTCAAAAACATTTGAGTTTCCAAAGTTTGGGTCCATTTGGGTTCTTTTAACTTCCATTTGGGTTCATTTTGGTAAATCGATGCGTCACACCGAAAAAAAAAATAGATAAAATTGATTTTACATTGTGACTTTCAAATTAGTAAAGAGGGAATCTCTTCAAGTCTTGGCCACAGGGACTTAAGACAGTTTTAGCAAAAGTTGGGTAGAGGCTATATAGTCTAGAGTCTATATACTACCCAATTTTGCTAAGACTGTCTCAAGTCCCTGCATGTGGTCTGGAATGGCTAAACAAATATGCATACCAAGCATAATGTCAATCACATCTGTGGTTCAATTCTTCAAGTTTTATTTGATAAACAATGTTACTGAAACTTCTAAAATATATAGAGCTATAATCTAGATTCAATGAATTATTCGGTCTGGTGAATAAATATGGCATCAAAATAATTCCAACCTCTTCTTTTAAGAACTGAGAATCCTCAAAATTTGGCATCATTGTAGACCTATCTCTTTGTAGCCGTTTGGCTTTTCTGTCAAATACATTCATGATATTTTCGGTCTGTTTTGTGTAACATCTTTGTGCAGTGAGTTCGCGTTTCCTCTTCAAAGTATTTAAAAACAAGTGTTTTTCAAGGTAAGATATTGCTTGACTTAAGATGTTTCTAGCCATTTTTGAACCCAAATTTACATAACAATTGGAGGATAACACTATTTGCCAAGAATTTGCATTGCAGAACGGTATAATGAAGTTAACCACTTTTCACGGTCAATGTTGTGGACATGGGCGCAGCCATATTGTTTTTTTTATGTGAATAATTTGATAGCTTATACATAAAATGGCTTAAGGTATTGTCTTGAAATGTTCTGAATAAGTACTAACTTTGTTTTGAAATTACAAATAGCTGGGCCTTAATGCAATAAGTATAATAACAATTCGGTGTCAAAATTTTAATTTCAACAAAATAAAATTAATTTCTATCTCTATTCATGTAATTTTTGAACAAGCTATCTAAAACTACGTGAAAATCTTTCAAACGTTTGAAAAGGGGGTTGTTACAACAGCAAATCATAAAAAGAAGGTTAACGCCGATCAACAACATCAGCGCGCGAGAGGGACTATGTTTTCAAAATAACAGAAATGGTTTGTCTTATTTTTGCAATGATATAAAATATTTCACACACATTTTTTATTTTACCTTGACCATGTCATCCTTTAAAAAGTATTGCAAACATTAATATATATCCACGTTAACATAGGTAATGGAAAATATACATGATATAGTTCACAATATTGTAAGTCTCGTTTGTATTTTTAATTTTTTAGAGAGACTTGGTTCTTAAAGTGTTAATCATAATGCAACTTATCGCCCAGTTCCAATATGTTAAAAAACTCACCTGTCAATGTTCTTTTGTGTTATTTAACTTTCCACATCCCAAATTGAAAGAAACTTATTGGATTCTTATTTTTGGGGTTTTTCAGTCTTATAACAGCAAAAAAAGGTCAACAATAAAAAATGATTTGTTTCATGTACTCTGACCGACCTATCAAAGTCATGCCTATCCAATCCTGACTTTGAGCTAATTCATGTAATTTTTGCTTACAAGTGCCTTTTGTGACTTAAAAACTGTTCTTTTGTGTTGTGCCGATATATTATCATGCAGGCATAAAGTATGAAAGATGTAAAAGTTAAAACAATAACAGTGTGCAAAACAAACCAGAAGAATGAGGTAGCCTATGGGACTGTTTGTAATTTAAACACACACAAAAAAAAGTAAACACGTAAAAATGCACTCTTTTTTATATTCATGTTTATAATTTTGTACATTTTCATTCATAAATATACAGGCATATATTTCTAATCGTATTTATTTTATTGATGTAGTTTATATACCTATCTGTTACATTCTCATTTTTACCTTCTCAAAATAAAGTACAAAATCAGTGTCCGTGCTTCACAAAATATGTGCCGTGTTTATTTTCATATTCGTTGTATATGAACTTCATTCAAGTTTATGTTTGTGAAGGACACGAACTGTTAAATTATCTTTGTTGCCTTCCCTTTTATGACTTTTCAAAGTTCACTTTGTGTTTAGTGTCACCTTCCAGTAAATATTATATTTTATTTTGAGATAATTTAACACAAAATATACAAAATATAAAACTATAGATTATTTCATTTTTAACTACATGTTTGATATATTTTGAATAAAATTTTGTCACAAAAAATGTTTTAGAAATGTATATGATTAGGGTTAGCATTAGGGTTGGAGTATTTCAAAGCTCAGAGAATGTAACTGTTTTAATCATTTTGGGTTGGTTTATGAAATTTTTGCTAATAAAGAACAGGAAAGTTTTTCAAACAAAAGTTTGGATGAATCAATCTTTGTCAGCATACAAACTTTAGCGCCATATTTTCAGGGACAGGTATGCTAGAAGTGTTCCAAAAACATTAAAGACTCTCCGAGTTTGCGAATTTTATATTAGATATATACAAAGCAAAAAAAAAAAAATTAAATACCTACCTACCTAGTACCTACCCACCTTGAAACATGTGGGTCAGAGTACATCAAACAAAAAATTTTTAATGATAGCCTAATGACATCCAAAAAAAAAAATCCATGTTCAAATGGATTTCTAAACTTTTATTAAATAATGCATGAAATTCCTAAGCTGTAATACGTGAGACTGATTCAGAAAGAGATAGACTTCTGTACAAGCAGTTGAGTTAAAATGCATGATTCTCCTCCGTTTTCAAACTTCATTATTAATTTTTTTTATGCATTTACAGGAGAGCTATTTGTCCCTATCTCATGCAACAGAGTCAGAGTTTTATCTTCCTCACCCAGAACAACGTTCCTTTTTGACCAGTACCCCCGCCTACAGCTACTATGGCAACCGTGACCACTCCGTTAGATCAGTTGTACCCCAATGTCACCTTCAGAGGCCCCCGACAGAGACACACAGGCTGCAGAGCCAATCGTGTAGGCCGATACTGATTCACAACCAATCAGAACACGGCTATCAAAATCAGACAAATCTAAGAGACTCCTTCAGTTCCCATGGAGGATGGAGAAATTTCCAGCAACATGAGCTGCGTACAAAGTCATGTAGTGTGGATCTATGTCAGGACAGCTTTTGCTGTAACCGGTTTCCACAGAACAACGTTCCTAGAAATGGTTTTCACAGCCCCCTCCCTCATCAGCAGCCAGTGGCCGGGGTGATGCGGGTTATTCACGAGAACATGGATGATAAAGTAATGTCCACGTCGGATGAGAACGAGAGTTTTTCCGAGGCGTCAAATATCTATCCTTTGCGCAACAATGAAAAAGAGAATAGTAAGTGTAGGAAGAATCTTATAAATTGATTTTTAGATGAAAATTTTAAATCTGATTGTTAAGGGTTTGTGTCCATTTTATAAGAAAAAGGGTGATTGAATTGTGATATTGATCTGAGGAGGAACAGTCTAGTAAGATAATTAGCATGGTTTCAGTTTTAATTTTTAAATGAGCTCCATCATAAATTATCGATTTAAAGTGTATACACTTATTATGTAATCTGTGTTTCAGGTAGTCTAAAAGGGAATTGTGGGAGTGAGGTAAGATATTCATAAAACTCTTATTATACAGGCCGGAGCTTATCATGTTTTAAGTTAAATACCATTTTCACTGTGAAGTTACCTATCTGAGGAGAGTAAAATTTTTTCTGTATACCTGTTATTACCTTTATATTTTCCATTGCTGATGATTTAGTCCCTTTTTCAGGTGACTTCTATCCCAGAAGCCCAGACTCTTTACTCTTGGATCATCAAAGTTTTACCGGATAACTCAGGTCCCTGTGTTGAAGGAAAGCTTAAGTATGTCACTGCATGTACCTCTCTAGAAAATTTTCTATACCTGAGTCAGATAAATTTGTTTATATTATTCTAGTCCCAAGTATTTAGATTTACATGGATATACAGTCAAACCTCATTATATTGAACTTAATAGGATCGAAAAAAATAATAAAAACATTGAGTTATCCAAGGATTCAAGATATCGAGGGTACTACATTTACAGGCTTTTTTTAGTGCTAATTTTATTGTTTCATATGGTTATCTCTTATTGATCAGCAAAAATTATCTGAACTTTTTCTGTTTATCAAAAATATATATTTTTACGAATACCAGTGACCATGGTGAAATGGAATTTAGTGTTATCATAGAATATCTGGCAACCTTACATTTGTTTATTGTAATTATAATCTGTTTTAATGTTTTCCTATTGGTTGATTGTAGAGAGGATGATGACACGTACTGGCATTCCAGTCTGATATCGGACAGGCTCGAATCTCACCTGGTCATTACTGTCAGCGGCAAGGTGTATCGCTTAATGGGAGACATGGAAATCGAGGACGCTCACTCAGGAGGTCAGATTTAGGTCAAAATTGTATGTAATTACCCATCTAGGCATCTACTGTAACATTTACCCATCCAGTGTAATATTTACCAATCCACTCTAATTTTAAATCTTACAGTGAAATTCAAAACAATGATTTGATTGTGTTGTATTGTAGGGTTTGAATGATTTGGTTGTGTTTCATTGTAGGATTTGATGATCAAACAATAAGAGAATTTCTGTCTGGTTTCCCTGTTCACTGGAGAGAGGTGATGGACATGTTCTTCTCTGGGTAATTATCTAATTTTCCCCCCCTTCTTCAAAGAATGGAGGTTGCAATGTTGAAATGAAATTTGGTGTACAGATTTATCATGAGAATATCTAGGCCAAGTTTTGTTTTGGGTATGATCAAGTCAATTTGGATAGAGTTATGCCCCCTTGGACTTAGGAAAATCAATGACTCCACCGTTCTTCATATGATGAAATGTTTGGTTTGAAATACATGCATTTAATTGATATCTTTGAATTTCATGAAACATATCTTTTCAATAAAGCCTTGATGCTCTTTTAAAAGTTTTAGCCACTGAAACTCAAAATTTGCATTTTAAAGACACATATAATAAATTTCTTCTTTATATTTCAGAGGATCGTCAAAGTCTAAAGTTAACCTATCACAAAATGGTATCAATTTTACATTTCATTTTTATTTACTGTAAACCAATTATTATATGCGTCATTTTTTATTCGCGACTGACCGCTGGAGAACTAATCCGCGACGATTTATTTCTGCAAACAAGTGGTCATCTTTTTTTTATTTCCACAAGTATTTTATATTTTGCATCAAAATTTCATATCCGCTCATAAACTAGGTAAAATGCTACCGTGAGTACTGCTTATGTATTATTTAAGACATTCTGTGGATTACATCTATTTAAAATCTTATATCCGCACCTAAAGAAGGTAAAATGTTACCATGAGTATACTTCTTATATACGCATTATTCACGACGCTCGAATGAAAATTGTTTTAAAAAATCGAAGAGATTTAAGTTGGTTTAAAACTTTCAAGTGTAAAAGTACCTCGTGCTAATTGGGTAATTGATGCTTTACAAGACCTACATAGCCAAAGGGCAATTATTATAAATGGTTGGGACGGAGCAGGACTAGGCCATAATTAAATTTTATCTGTCTGTGACAATAAATGATTAATAATAACATAAGCTGAAATATTTATTGACATTTTAATCGTTTTAGACAAATATTTTTAGATTTTCCATTCGTTTATATATTTTTTCTGAATGTTTGTAATAAAACTTCAACTGCTTCTAGAACAAATTATTTTGCTAAGTATTTGTAAATAATGTTTCCTCTATCACGAAAATTAATTGTCGCGGAACTCGATGATATTTATCGCACGCGTATAATACTTGGTTTACAGTACTTTATTTTACATTCTTAATTTCGTTTTTTGATTGTGGAAATATCTGATCAGATAAATAAATCTTATTAGACAAAATTTTGGAATACACAGCATCTTGATTATAGACAAGTTTCCTTGTAATATTGTTGAATAATTGAGATTATCATAAAACTGGTAATTACTGTTTTCTGTTTGATTGATTTATCATTTTCACGACGTAGATGCTGCAGTCGATGATGATGTTGAGGACAATGTGAGTTTATTGGATGAAACATTAAAACCCTCAGAGAAAACTCTCAACTCAGAGGAGGAAAATCAAAAATCAAAAGACGTAGCCAAAACAACAAAGAGAAAGGAGAAATTAAAGAAGGATGTCCCCAAAAAGCCAGTCACAAAAGTCAGGACAGTTAAGTCAAAGGAGAAAGTCAGTCAAGTGAAGGAGCAGTCATCTATAAAGTAAGAAATGTTAGAGCTGAGGCTAAAATAGATACCCAGGTGGTGTACTATTTAGGGCTGGGTATTGGCCCGAGATTTTGTATTGCGATATATTGCGATATTTTTAACTGTATTGCGATATGTATTGCAATATTTTCAATGTCATAAAAATTGCATTTTCTTACTTTATTTACTTTAATTTACATGCAAAATGTACATAACATGATAAGTAACCAAGGCAAAAATAACAATGTTGTTTTCATTTAAGATATGCTCTGAAAAACTCCCACAAAACAACTTCTGTCTTACTGTTTGGCTTAATAACAAACTTTCATAAGTCCATTTTTATATTTAATGACAAAATTCCTTATCTTAGCATATTTTAATATATCGATATTACAAAATCGTATTGCGATATGATATTATACAATTATGGACTTCAGTGTAGGTCAATATGTGGTTATAAGGACTCATGGCAATTGATATTGACCGAAGACACAGAAAGTGATAGTGACCGAGCCTGCGAGGTCGCTATCATTTTCTGTGTCTGAGGTCAATATCAATTGCCATGAATCCTTATAATCACTGAAGTCCATAATAGTTATATTATTTAATCACTCAAAGTGAATGCACTGACACAGTCCTAACTAAACAGACTTGGCTGTCATTACTTCACAATGGTTAAAAACACACTTCTCATACTATGACGTCACGTTTTACATAACTTCAGTGCAACCGAACGCTGTGTTGTGCGTTATCATTTTCCGCCAACGCGCTTTCCCGTCGTTATCACAAAAGGAGGAATGTCACGTGACGTCCTTTCAGCAAAGGAAATCTACGAAAATAATCCTCTTATATAATATTTTTATACCCCCGCAAACGAAGTTTAGGGGGGTATATTGGAATCACCATGTCCGTCTGTCTGTCCGTCTGTCCGTCTGTCTGTAGACAAGATTTTGTCCGACAGAAACTATTGGATGGATTTGTCTTAAAATTTATACACTTATTATTCACCATATGAAGGTGTGCACCTGGGATTTTCATCATGATTGGATGATTTTTCTGCATTTTACAGGCGTTTTTTGTTTTTTATTTTGTGTTTTTTTTTGGCTCATAACTAGAAAACTATGTTAAAATCATCAAACTTGGACAATTTATGCATCTTGGGTAGACGGTGTGTCCCGACCTATTTCAAGGTCACTGTGACCTTTAATTTAAGTGATTTTTTAAAAAAAACTAAGTGTTTAAAATTTTAAATTTCATAATCCTAAAAAATGTAAAAATATAGTTGTATCCTTATTAAAAAATGCTAAATTAAGTAAAAACTTATTTTTTATCATATACTTTAAGGCAAATTCTGTAACAAATGTTAATGATTTGAGAGGAATTCAGTTTGTCCCAGGGGCATAATTATCAAGCACTGGTCAAGGAGAATTTTTGATAGCAGAAATGTGCATGTCAAATTAGAGAGAAATAAATGAGTTCATTGTCGGGAGTTAACTGGCAAGAGCATCATGCAGTATTATCTGAATTCATCTCTTGGGAGTTGGGCAAAAAGAAATGGCCTTATAGTTGCTTGTGTTAATTAAGAGTTCTTGATGGCTGTAGTTCAGATAAAGATCTTTCAATTGGTGTAATGTAATTAAAACAAACTGATGTTTTAGTGTATGATTAAAACTGAATTAGTATTGTATAATATAATTAAAATTAATTATACATGTGTTCATTGAAAAAAAAAATTACATTTTCAATTTTTATATATTTGCAACAAATTGCAGTCATGTCTCACTTAGAATTTTATAGTCTAAAGAAAAATTAATTTTTGATTTTTTTTATTAGACTGTAGCATTTCCATTATTTTATAAAATATGCAATGAACAATTTAAAGCTGCAGATGGATATTTGTTAAGCTCTAACACAGCCAGTTTAGAATTATATGATGTCTTATTTGTTTTAATTAATCCCTACACTGTAAGTCTCTTAGAGATGTATGTACAATATTTTAAACATGATAAGAAATGGAAATTAGATCATTGAAATCTGTGTCAATCTGTTAATCAAGGTTACTTGATTTTCTTGACCCTAACCAATTTATGTGTTCGATATTGATGGGCGTATCATGCTGTGGCGGGGCACTTTATTAGACAATAGTGAACACCTCTTACTAGATCCATAAAATATTTCTGAATTGGCACCTACTGTGTTAAACCCATGTGTACAGTTCTAGTTTGTTATTGTATTGCTATATATTTAAATATCGATATTATTGCCCAGCCCTAGTACTATTGTAAATGTCAGAACCAAGACTAATTAAGTTACACACGTAGCTAGTGTACTAGTATTGTAAGAATGAAACGTGCACAGTGTATGTGAACAGGGCACAAGCTCTGTTATTGTTGTTGTTTACGATTCACCGGGTGCGTGCTAACAATCTATTTAGTTGTACTTCTGATGATTTGTGGGCAGGAAATTAATTAAACTGATTAATTTTAGTTTGTTTGGATTTCAGGAAAGTGGAACAGGTTAAAAAGAAGCAGAAGAAAGAGGTCAAGGCTACAGTTCCCAGTGGAAAAGTCACAGAGGGTGTGTATTGTTTATAAATGGCATAGATTATGTGTAATATGTACACTAATTAGTAGAAGGTGCAGACTGTGCAGTAAAATTTGTCCAATGCAGATTTTTTTTCCCAATGTTACAGTGTGTACACCTGACAGTAAGGTGATTTGACCTCTGTGTTACAGTGTGTACTACTGACAGTACGGTTATTTGACCTTGTTTTGACTTCTGTGTTACAGTGTGTACTCCTGACGGTAAGGTGATTTGACCTTGATCTGACCTCTGTGTTACAATGTGTGCGCCTGACGGTAAAGTGATATGACATTGTTTTGACCTTTGTGTTACAGTGTGTACACCTGACGGTAAAGTGATTTGACCTTGTTTTGACCTCTGTGTTTGATATTTAACCTCTGTGTTACAGTGTGTACACCTGACAGTAATGTGATTTGACCTTGTTTTGACCTCTGTGTTTGATATTTGACCTCTGCGTTACAGTGTGTACACCTGATGGTAAGGTGATTAAGCTAGACTCCGTACAGACGACCAGAAGTGGACGAGCTGTCAAACCTGTGGTGGGCTGGTACGCTGGTCAGTCAGTCACTGTTGACCCCGAGACCAACTCCTACATCCTCCGACACAGGACACAGTTTGCTGAGAGTGTTTCTAAGGACATGACAGACTTCTACAAGGTCAGAAACTTCAAAACACAGATACTGTTTAATTCTGCTGTATATAATCTAATTGTCAAATTTTCATCTATATTCACACAATTATAGTTTTGACCAGGCCTATGCCATATGGGGACATCAGTGTTTCATGCATATATGTTTTTTCCTTTTTTGTTTTTTCTTATCAAAAGCATTTAATAATGAATTGCTCAAATACCTTTTTGTTTTCAGTCAAGATCAACCTATTTCAGAAAAAATGTGTCATTAAATTCTAGTAGTATTTCTAAAACTTCGAGGGAACATGTTAAGAACAAAACTTCTGATAAAAATGGTAGTGAAAAAAAGGTTGGCAGCAAATCCAATAAAACCAACCACAGGAGGTCTGGTAGTTCTGATAGTGAATCCAATGGTAAGACAAATCAGTCCAAGAACGGAGCAACTTCCAAGTCAAAATCTCAGAAACAAGCTGAAAGTATAAAGGATGGGAAACAGAAAAAAGGATCCAAAGAAAAAGGGAAGGAAAAGGAGTTGCAAAACAATAAACAGGAGGAAAAAGTGAGGAAAAGTGACCTTAATAAAGGGAAAGGGAGTGAGGAGTCAAAAAATAATATACAGGAGAAAAAAAAGAGGAGGAGTGACCTAAATAAAGAGAAAGGGAGGGAGGAATCACAAAATAACAAACAGGAGGAAAAAATGAGGAGGAGTGACCAAAATAAACTGGAAAGGTCTGTATCAAAACCCAGGGCGACAAAAAAAGAAGGAAAAGAAAATCAGCTGGAGGAAAAGAACAAGGAAGAATCGGTGTGGAGGAAGGACGAGGTCACCAGACTTAATCTGTAAGTGATCCAGGATTCCCTCCCTTTGGTGAGAAGTGTAATACATTAAGTTTTTAACAGCAGTTTGTTAAAAGGAAGCAGTGTGTGAATACTTAATTTATTTTTTTAAAAAAACTTTAATGCTAATTAAAGAGTTTTTTGCTGAAATTGAAAAATTGAAATGCTCTTGAAAATTGCCCCATTGCTGTAGATAATGTTTTTTTGTGTAGAATAACAAAGCAATTACACCAGTGTGACCCGCAATTCTGGAGCAAGGTTGTGAACCATGTAAAGACTAAAACCCTAGAGGAATGTCAGGAATATTTCTACAAAGAGATGCCCAGTAAAAAGACAGGCAAACGGGGCAGACCCCCCAAACCAAAAGGTTAGTTAAAAAGGTCTAAGGGTCCATAACAGCATTCACAGAAGCCAAAAAGGAGCAGAAATCAAGCAATCTTCATCTATGTTCAGTTCCTCTTGCTTATACATACATTTACATAGGTGTATTTAGAATATATCGGTAAAGTTTTCATAAACAAAGGGGGGGGGGGTAAACTATAGAACTTTCAAGCATAGACCAAGTGATTTTTAGGATTAAACGTTCTTTTTTTCAGAATTTATCGATGTATAATCTCTGCCTTTTTACTCACAAACTGAATAAAAGTGCAAAGCACTTTTATGTTAAGTTTGTGAGTAAAAAGGCAGAGTTTACACATCGATAAATTCTGAAAAAAGATTGTTTTATTCTTATAATTCCAATTTCAAATTTTTTAATTATTTATCTTTGAGGCCGCCAGAAAATCCGTTATTTTGTACGGCGAAGGAATACTTTATGCCGCAAAGAAACGTATACAAAATGAATATCGAAAAAATCCAACTTAAATTGTCAAAACAATCAATAAATAAACTTAGAAAAACTCATTGAATGTTGTTTAAGTCAACAAATATCATAAAAACGCGTATTCTCCAGAACAAATTTGTCCTTAACCATGGTCATGTTGACATTAACAACCATACTCATAGCGAAAGTTGCAGACCGACGACGTCCTTGATTTGCTCTGGTTCGTTCAAAGATTTAGGGAGAATATGGGATTTGAGGATGTAAATATATGAATTTTAAATGCTGATAAGGCAAGAGTCTGAGGTACGTTTCTTTTCCCTATCACAACGATACCAGCTGAGCTGATATTGAATGTTGAGAAAATGACAGCATGATCAGCGATTTTTTAAAATTCACTCTTGAGATCCAACAGTGACATAAACTAATATTCCCGTCTGTCAGTCCTGTTTATCTCCTGTTTTGCTTTTTCTTATTTCAAGTTTCTTGTAATCACAATTTAGCTAAAACGGACAAGAAGTATCTGTTTTCATTGTTTTTACAACAGCCTAGAAGCTCGGTCAAGAAAGTAGTTCTGATTGAAAAATTCATCAATGTGTAAACTTTTTCTTGAATTTGTTTGTCCAATCAAAACACAGGAATCAATAAATAAAATTAAGATTGGAATTATAAGTAATTAAGAGTGGAAGTGTTTGGTCATATAAAGCATTGTCGATACAATTTAGCTTAACTTTTTCAGCATGTATTATCAAGGACATATGTAAGATAAATGTTTACTTTAATACAGAGACAGCAGAACAACAGGTCAGTCTAACAGCAAAGAGAGGAACTCTGAAGAGGAAACAGCAGCTGAGAGAACTGGTGGATCAGTCCAATAAAGTGTACCAGGAGGATCTGTTTGATGGGACACCATACCGGCACCACTCAAAGGTAAACCACACGCAATACCAGGACCACTCAAAGGTTAATAACAAACCATACCAGCACCACTCAAAGGTAAACAACAGGCTATACCGGCACCACTCAAAAGTAAACCACACCATACAGGCACCACTCAAAGGTAAACCCCACACCATACCGACACCACTCATAGGTGAATGATACAAAACCGGCACCACTCAAAGGTACATAACACGCCATACCAGCACCACTCAAAGGTAAACCACACGCCATACTGGCACCACTCAAAGGTTAACAACACACCATACTGGCACCACTCAAAGGTAAACCACACACCATATTGGCACCACTCAAAGGTAAACCGCATGCCATACTGACACCCACTCAAAGGTAAACCACACACCACATCGACACCACTCAAAGGTAAACCAAACGCCACACCGACACCACTCAAAGGTAAATTAAAAGCTATACCGGCACCACTCAAAGGTAAATAAACACGCCATACCTGCACTACTGAAAGGTAAACACACGCCATAATCACACCACTCAAAAGGTAAATACCATACCACACTGGCACCACTCAATGGTAAACCACATACCATATCGGCACCCCTCAAAGGTAAACCACGCCATACCAGCACCACTTAACAGTAAACCACAACATACTGGCACCACTCAAAGGTAAACCATGCCATACCAGCACCACTCAATGGTTTAACCACACACCAAACCGGCACCACTCACATGTTAACCAAGCCATACCAGCACCACTCAACGGTAAACTACAACATATCAACACCACTCAAAGGTAAACAACACACCATATTGGAACTGCTCAAAGGTAAACCACACATCACACTGGCACCACTCAAAGGTAAACAACACACCATATCAGCACCACTTAAAGGTAAACAACACACCATAGCGGCACCACTCAAAGATTAATAACGTGCCATACCAGCACCACTCATAGGTAAACAAACCCCATACTGGCACCATTCAAAGGTTATATACACACCATACTGGCACCACTCAAAGGTAAATAACACACCAAACCGGTACCACTCAAAGGTAAACAACACACCATACCAGCACCACTTAAATGTAGACAACACACCATACCGGCACCACTCAAAGGTAAATAACACACCATACCAGCACCCTTCAAAGGTAAACTACACGCCATACCAGCACCACTCAAAGGTTAATAACACATCATACCGGCACCTCTCAAAGGTAGACAACACACTATATGGGCACCACTCAAAGGTAAATAGCATGCCATACTGGTACCACACCTTATCAGCACCACTTTAAGATAAATAACACAATATCAGTATCACTTGAATCTTAACAAAACTCCATATTGGCACCTCTCAAAGGTAGACAACACACCATATGGGCACCAGGAGAAGGTTAATAAAATTGGTTAAGTGAGAAAAAGGTATTCCAACAAAATATCTCAACAAATCCATGACCTTTAATCTTCTCTGTACATGAAGAAATACTATTTCACCAAATAAAATGATATAAATCATATAAATTAACCCCTCTCTCTTGTTTTTCTAGATGCCCCGCCTCTCTGATGAAGATGACGTCTTCACTGAGCTCAGTAAGAGGAACCCCCATATGATGAACAAGGTCTTCACCCCGATGACTCGAATAAACATGGACCCCATCTCCACAAAGAAAACCCCCTCCTCAGGCCTGGCTGGCATAGACTCACAGATTAACAGGTCAGTTATTCTCCATTCTGAGACACTGACAGATCAACAAGTCAGAAGTCACTCATCCCGAGACATTGAAGTCAAGAAAAATTTCAAGAAACTCAAGGATTTGAGATATTGATGTTAAAATATATTTAACAATTGTGGACTTCAGTGTAGGTTGATTTAGGGTTATAAGGACTCATGGCAAGTGGTATTGATCTCAGACAGAGAAAATGATAGATACCGAGACATGTTAATATATGTACACTATCTGTATTTTAAAAGTAATGAATTTTTCAGAAAAGAAGCTGATCAGTACATGCACAAGATGAACATCCAGCGCCGTAAACTGGTGAACAAAACCAAGCCCAAAACAGCCAAAAATTCGGTAGGTTATGTAATGTATCATTAATTAAATATTGATCTCCTGAGTCTTTCTCTCCAAAGCCAAAGAAGTAAAGTGACCTTTCTGATTGAAAGAGCTAGGTTCACTTTATTCTTAAAATGGCCCTATAGATAAAGATATTCATTCACTAACACACTATATGTCCCACTGTAAACTTCAATATAAAGTAGAGATCTAGTGCTTTCAGTTTGTGTATCAAAGTTTCCTCTTAAGAGTTCAGGTACTGAAAAAACAGTTGTGTTGTATTTTCTTGAAAAGACTATAAATAACAAAACAATTAAACAAGTGTCTGTATTTAGTTCAAGTCATGATCTTTGTACACAGATAAAAGTGTTAACTTACTCAGGTGAGCATTGTGGCTCTTGTGCCTCTTATTTCTTAAGCTATCAAATGAAAGTCTTGAATACTTGTTCAAAAAAATTCTGTGATTAAAAAGTGAACGTCTTCTTTTACGTTTATTACATTGTCACAGGCCAAGGATAAAGTTCCCGTACCAAACAAAAAACTCTTCAGTAAAAGTGACGATCTGCAGAGTTTGTTCATGGAGGATTGTGGGTCTGACAGTAACCATGACAACTCGGAGGAGGAGTCCGATTATTATTTCTCCGAGGAAGAAGAAAACTGACAAAGATCTGACAAACAGGAGCAGCAAAGAACGATGGAATTTGTCGGAAGTCATTACGAGACAGGGACACAAGCTGACTAAGATCAAAGTTGTCAGTTGTTATGACATTATTATGAACACGTCATTTTCATGTACACAGGCAAAATTTGTCAATTCTTATGACATTATTGGAGCGTGTCTTTTTCTCGTACACAATCAAAAATTAGAAAAATCAAATTTTTAAAAGTTATGACATTGTTATTGGAACATGTCATTTTCATCTTCACCGCCAAAAAAATTACAAGGATCAAATTTGTCAGTTGTCATGACTTTGGAACATCATTTTCATGTACACTGGCAAAATTTATGGATTTTGAGACAATTTTTTTAAATGTGTATTTTTGAAAGAGAAGATTGACAAAAAAAATGAATGTAATTTGTATATGTAAAATTTAATTGCATGTAGTTATTAGACAATGAAGAAAACCAATGATATAGTCAGTTTTACTATGATTCACTAAGTGGTAAATATTTAGGAATTTAAGTGTGTATTACTTCCTTTTTTGAGAAATGTATTAAGTGAGTTTTTAAATCTGTGGATTTTAAGTGTCAGATATCGAGTGTCTTGTCAGATATTTTGATGAACTAGAAACAGGAAATGTTGAGGATGAGAAATCGTGAGTTAGGTTTTACTCACAATCATCAGATCTTTTTATGAAGACAAAGTTTTCCTCCTCCGCACGATTTTATTATGGCAGAAATTTTACATTTTATTAGGACACTTTGGTAAGAGATTTTTTTTAACACAAAGAAATCTTCTGTCTTCATTTTATTAATTTTTCACACGAATTGTACATACCTATACATCTGTATATACTGGTATTTAGTGTATATGAGACAGTATGTGGCCATAAAATGTATAATAGTATTTTGATGAGCAAAGTAGGGTCTTACACTGAATTTCTGTGTGTTATGAATACCTTCGGTTAAGAAAATCATCCATCCCTACATGTAGATTTCACTGACATGTACGTGTTTTTATGAACACTTCTATTTATTATTATACCCCGTTCTAAACAAGAGTAGGGGTATACTGTTTTACCCTTGTGTGTTTGTCTGTGTGTAGCTGTATGACTTTCTGTATGTAACAATTTTTTTTTTCATTTTCTCAGCAACTACCCTTGAAATCCACTCTTTGTTTCGGCCTGCCATATGACGGGATTCATTTTTGTATAAATCCAATGTCAGTTTCCTGTTTATCCCTGCATCTGTCTGGACCTGTAAATTTCTAAAGGCTTAAAAATGCCTTAGGCCTTAATTCTTATGTTTTGTTATGGTACACTGTAACCATCAATTTTGACTACATTTTAATGGTGATCAAAGAGATTAACCTTTACATGAAAAAACTAGAGTAAGTACAATATTCTTTGAAATGAAATTGTATACTCTGTATTAGGGGTGAAACGATACGCCTCCTTCACGGTTCGATACGTATCAAAAAATTTGGTCTCGGTTCGGTTATTTTCGATACGATACATTTTTATAGAAGAAAACAGATTCAATGTTATTTTATGCTACCTTTTACTTAATCTAGTAAAATAATTTATGTGTAAAATGGTAAGAATGTATCAATTTAATTGATTTGTCTGTTAAAAATTATTTTACAAACTAAAAGTCCACACAAACTTACGTTTCTGAACTAATTATACAGAAAAGCATGTTTATACCTTATGCCAAACCCGACTGAATGACGATCCCGACCGAAAAACGAACCGAACCGAAAGTAGAGATTTTGTACCGTGTATCGAACCGAGAAAAAATACCGCGGTGAACCGATACCGCGGTGAACCGTTTCACTCCTACTCTGTATATTAATACATGTATAAGAGCATATACAATATATTCACATCAGAGCGGGGGTATGACAAATGAGTGTTGGCTCACAGACATTTTTGTTTATATTTAATTATGTTCCTTATAAAAAGGAAATCGCAATTTAAAAGTCGACAAGAATTTTCAGATTTTCTTTGAAATTCTATTGCCCATTTTATTTATTTCCTCAAAGATAAGCATGCCTCCTCACAAAGAAGCATTTATAAACACTTACGAAATAATCTGTAGATGAACTTGTTTTGAATACTTATCAAATAAAATAATTAAAATCTACACGTGTTAATAATTATATCACAGTGCCTGGTTTAAGGGGGACAAGTAAGTACTGTATAATCGTTTATTTTTGTAAGGTCAGATTTTCATGGTCTGAGGAATATCTATGGGGTTCTAAGGCATTTTATTTCATGGATGAAAAATTGATGAGTAGTTGTGTACAGTAAAACACACCTCTAATGAATTGACGCCTATAGCAAAGTCATTTTTTATTCCTTTTGGGTTTTAAACATTCATCTAACAAATTCCAATTACAATATATGGAGACTCCTAGGGTAGTGTACATTCAAGTTCAAATCAAGGCTCTTTGAATTGGGTCACAATAAGTAATCTGTAGAAGATCAACAGGGCAGAGTTACTAAAGTGAGCTTTGTAGCCCATGATGGTTATTTTTTAATGCTGTTTGTCTCTTTTAAAGATTTCATTTAAATAAATATTTGAATTGAGGATATTTTAAAATTTAAATAGATCAGTGCATAAAATTAAACAGACTGAAGACTTGATGTTTGCATAAAAAGATAAACCCCTTGGGATCAAAGGACCAAACCAAAAACTTGATTCCTGGCTAGACTGATGTGAGGCCTACTGAGCCTATAAATTTTACACAGATAGGGATTTAACACAATCATAAAGTACACACAACATTCGGAATTTTAAAATTTAATTTTTGAGTTGGCTCGCGTAGCGAGCTACTCCCTGTCGACATAGCCGTTTCTGATATATATATGAGCTGTAAAATTTATCACCCATTCATCAAGGTGATCCATACCCCAAATATACTCGTTCTAGCAAAAAATGATTTGGTTTGAATGATTGTATAAACTTAAGAGGTAAAAACTGTATAAAATTTCATACTGTAACATTATTACTTCATGCTTTTAAAGAAATTTTTGATTAAATATCTGTACGATGTACAATTACTGCGTATGAATATATGTTCAAGCATGTTAGGTGGATCAAATCTTCCCATCTGAAGTTTATTTATAATTGACCTAGAGTACTTCCTAACACAAACACCTGCTGCTCTCATTAGCTGCAGCTAATTGTTGTTGAAAATCTATTTTTAGAGTCCAGATTTGCTGTGGGAATCTTTAACCTAATTATTTCATAACACTGACCACTTCAGCTAGTGTGCCTATATTCATTATAGATAATAATAATACAGAAGCCCATTAGTGCCAACCTGTATATATAAAAGAAAGCAATATACACTTACAGACATATAATCTTCAATCTTTTACGATGCAAAATAAACTGAATATATTAAGGTATGGTGCCCAGATGTATGAAAAAGCTCAATTGACTTGAGCGAGTCAACTCGCAGGCCCTTCAGGCCTTTGATTTTATGTTTTTTTCATCTTATGGTGGCGATGTGTTTCTTTTTTTAGCTCACCTGAGCCGAAGGCTCAAGTGAGCTTTTCTGATCACATTTTGTCCGTCGTCCGTCTGTCTGTCTAGCTGTCTGTCCATCTGTAAACTTTTCACATTTTCGACTTCTTCTCAAGAACCACTGGGCCAATTTTGACCAAACTTGGTACAAAGCATCCTTGGGTGAAGGGAAATTTAAATTGTTAAAATGAAGGGACATATCCCCTCGCAAAAACCACTGGGCCAGTAAAGCTGAAACTTATGTGGAAGCATCCTGGGGTAGTGTAGATTCTAAATTGTTCAAATCATGACCCCCGGGGGAAGGGCAGGACCACAATGGGGAATCAAAGTTTTATATAGAAATATATAGGAAAAATCTTTTGAAAAATCTTTGAAAATCTTCTTCTCAAGAACCACTGGGTCAGAAAAGCTGAAACATATGTGGAAGCATCCTGATATAGTGTAGATTCTAAATTGTTCAAATCATGACCCCCGGGGGAAGGGAAGGGCCACAATGGGGAATCAAAGTTTAAATTTATATAGAAATATATAGGAAAAATCTTTGAAAATCTTCTCAAGAACCACTGGGTCAGAAAAGCTTAAACTTATGTGGAAGCATCCTGGTATAGTGCAGATTCTAAATTGTTCAAATAATGACCCCCGGGGGAAGGATGGGGCCACAATGGGGAATCAAAGTTTTATATAGATATACATATGTATGTAGGAAAAATCTTTGAAAATCTTCTTCTCAAGAACCACTGGGTCAGAAAAGCTGAAACTTAAAGTGGAAGCATCCTGGTGTAGTGTAGATTCTAAATTGTTCAAATCATGACCCCCGGGGGAAGGGCGGGGCCACAATGGGGTATCAAAGTTTTATATAGAAATATATAGGAAAAATCTTTGAAAATCTTCTCAAGAACCACTGGGTCAGAAAAGCTTAAACTTATGTGGAAGCATCCTGGTATAGTGCAGATTCTAAATTGTTCAAATAATGACCCCCGGGGGAAGGGTGGGGCCACAATGGGGAATCAAAGTTTTATATAGATATACATATGTATATAGGAAAAATCTTTGAAAATCTTCTTCTCAAGAACCACTGGGTCAGAAAAGCTGAAACTTAAAGTGGAATCATCCTGGTGTATTGTAGATTCTAAATTGTTCAAATCATGACCCCCGGGGGAAGGGCGGGGCCACAATGGGGTATCAAAGTTTTACATAGAAATATATAGGAAAAATCTTTGAAAATCTTCTTCTCAAGAACCACTGGGCCAGAAAAGCTGAAACTTATGTGGAAGCATCCTGGTATAATGTACATTCTAAATTGTTCAAATAATGACCCCCGGGGGGAAGGGCGGGGCCACAATGGGGAATTAAAGTTTCATATAGAAATATATAGGAAAATTCTTTGAAAATCTTCTCAAGAACCACTGGGCCAGAAAAAGTGAAGCTTATGTGGAAGCATTCTGGGGTAGTGTAAATTCTAAATTGTAGGAATCATGACCCCCGGGGGAAGGGCGGGGCCATTATAGGGAATCAAAGTTTTATATAGAAATATATAGGAAAAATCTTTCAAAATCTTCTTCTCAAGAACCACTGGGCCAAAAAAGCTGAAACATATGTACCCATGGAAGGATCCTGGGGTAGTGTAGATTTCAAATTGTCTAAATTATGATCAGTGGGGTAGGGTGGGGATGCATTATGTATAACAAGGGAGAAATCATGTAAAGAACAGAATGGTCAAAGCTTCTCAGGTGAGCGATGTGGCCCATGGGCCTCTTGTTCTTTTTTTTTTTTTTTAGGGGGGGGGGGGGTTCCATTAAAATGCACACAAATAACGTATTCAATAAGGCATGGAGGGATGGTATTTAAAAAATTAAATGTAACATTTTGTACCAAATAACTCGTATAGCTGTATATACAGGGAAAATATTTCAATTTCCTATTTCACAGGAACCTGATTCATCAAATGAATGACAATGTCAAGTGCCCCTAGATTTCTGCCAAATGCCAATCTAAGAAAAGCATCTCTAGACTCTCAGGATACACAGTAACATAGCCCCTCTAAATATGTCAATATTATAAAAAAATATATATATTATTGTTTGAAATCCCAAATGTATTCTGTTTCTGGTCAGTAAATTCACCAACGTACTTGCCGCGGGCGACTCATCAATCATGTAATAATGAAAATACACCATTTACATACAGGCCATAGTACGGTACCTATCACTCACGGTGACTCCAATCCTGGGTAGATTCTACACAAGTCAGATGGTGACAAACCCATACGGGTTTCCAATTACCAATTGTAGTTGTTTATGTTTTGGTAAAGTAACAATAGATAGGCGCAACTGTTTATACGATAACGGTATTCCGGATAATAAATGTCTATCGATATTGAAGCAGGAAGTTAGTCACTCCCATCCCGTACTATGTAAACTTCCTGGTTTTAATCTGTCGTCGTCAAAAAGAAAGTAAAATGAACAGGTAAGGTTTCATTTTCATGTTGTCTGGTTTAATAACTAATTGATTGAAAGTTTAATTGTTTATCGAGATCTCCAACTTTGGAGAACTAGATTTCTGTATGATCGTGCACAGGACCAATCCTGCAACATTCCATTTCCGTTCTTCATGATCATCAACAATAACAACCTTACTAAAATCGCCGAATGTTTTTTTTTAACTCCAAAAGAGAACTTTTTATTATAAGGATTTTAATCAATTATTTTTTTTGTTCCTGCCACAATTTTTTAAACATGGTCACTCAATGATGTCATTTGACAATATCAGCACACGTGTTATATGTACTGTAGTAGTTTTGTGTGAGTAGCACGCGATAATCATGACACATCATAGTTTAAAAAGTACAGACTTATCAGGTTAGCTTTACTATATTTATTCAGAAGGAAGGATCAATTGAAATGTGAAATGGTATTTCCCCCTATACTTAACATGTACATATATATTATTCTCTTTAGAGAAGTGGACAGGCTTTGGCCAGCATACTAGGGCTTGTCAGTTGTTTATAGACAAGAGAGAGAAAGACCCTTTCACAAGTGAAAATAGAGCGTCTGACTTATTTTTAAAATAAAATATTTTTAATAAATGTTTATCATTTATCATGTTTATATCTTGATATTCTTGAATAATTATTGAAATTCAATTTTACTTTTTAGGTGTATTTATTTGTAATATTCATTATTGTAATTATCATTAAACTTTGATAACTTTTGTCTTTGTTCTACAGAATAAGAAGAGCGTGAGAACAAACTGAATAAAAACAACAATGGAGAACTTCAGCTGTCAGCGGTGCATCTGTAGTGACCCCTTCCTAAGGCCACCAGAAGTACCCATATTTGCCAGCACATCACCACAAGCCAAAAAAGAAATGTTAAAAATGCAAGAAGACTCTGTAGTCTATCAGAGTTACTTGGGTAAGCATGCTGCATTAAAACTTTTATGAATGGTTACAATTACAAGTGAGTAAAACATGGTTTAAATCTACAACTGTTAGAGTTGAAGTCAAACTCTAGCTTTGCGGACTTAACTTAGGGATTGTACCCATTTGTTAGTGATATAGAAGGAGCATACAGCTTCACTGCACACAACACACATACTGCATTAAACCATGTGACACTTTCTTATTTCTCATTCACAAGTTCTTTTTTTATATCCCCGAAGAAATCTCACATCTGAGACTTTATAAACAACAAACCCTTAATGTGGATTTTACCTTGGGGACTTCCGTAATATGGATTAAAATTTCAACCTTTAGCATGTTTAACCTGATATGTAAAATGTGATGCTCTTCTGACTGAGCTAATGAGTTTATACACTAATAAGTGCTAGCAGGAACATGGCATCACTGTGCACTGTCACTACACATTGCCAATTCATACTCTGTTGCACTTTAATTAGCATACTTTTTTTTTTTGACTATGGTTACTTTTAATATTCAGGATTTTTGACAGGCATTCAGATATTGAAACCATAAAAATAAATCAGGAATACTTTATCAAGATTTTTATACCCCCCGCAAACGAAGTTTGGGGGGTATATAGGAATCAGCTTGTCCGTCTGTCTGTCTGTCCGTCTGTCTGTCTAGCTGTCTGTCTGTCTGTCCGTCTGTCTGTGCAATCGTGTCCGGTCCATATCTTTCTTACAGAGGGACATTAGAATCTACTACTCCACACTAAGATTGCTCATAACCTAAGGGTGTGTCATGACCTTGACCCAAGGTCATTTGGGGAAGTTCAAGGTCACTGGAAGAAAAATTTCATAATTCGTGTCCGGTCCATATCTTTCTTATGGATAAACTTGGTAGGTTCTCATTTCACACAAAGATTGCCCATGACCCAAGGGTGTGTCATGACCTTGACCCAAGGTCATTTGGGGAAGTTCAAGGTCACTGGGAGAAAAATTTCAAAATTCATGTTTGATACATATCTTTTATGGATAAACTTGGTAGGTACTCATTTCACACAAAGATTGCCCATGACCCAAGGGTGTGTCATGACCTTGACCCAAGGTCATTTGGGGAAGTTCAAGGTCACTGGAAGAAAAATTTCATAATTCGTGTCCGGTCCATATCTTTCTTATGGATAAACTTGGTAGGTTCTCATTTCACACAAAGATTGCCCATGACCCAAGGGTGTGTCATGACCTTGACCCAAGGTCATTTGGGGAAGTTCAAGGTCAGTCACTGGGAGAAAAATTTCAAAATTCATGTTTGACACATATCTTTTATGGATAAACTTGGTAGGTTCTCAATTCACAAAAAGATTGCCCATGACCCAAGGGTGTGTCATGACCTTGAACCAAGGTCATTTGGGGAAGTTCAAGGTCACTGGAAGAAAAATTTCATAATTCGTGTCCGGTCTATATCTTTCTTATTGATAAACTTGGTAGATTCTTATTTCACTCAAAGATTGCCTATGACCCAAGGGTGTATCATGACCTTGACCCAAGGTCATTTGGGGAAGTTCAAGGTCACTGGAAGAAAAATTTTATAATTCGTGTTTGATACATATCTTTATTATGCAAAAACTTACTTCTGAAAAACCCAGCGGGGGGTATTTTGTCCTGATTGGACAGATCTAGTTTTTTTTTTATTTATAAAAAATTTAAACCCTTTTTACGATGAACAAATTCACAATATAAACACATCATACTCCTTGTTAGAAGGTAAATTCTGATGCATGAGTAGATAAGTCTCTGATTTAGTTAAGAAATGTTGCTCATTAGCATTTTACAGTAGATGGATAATCCGATATTGGATCAGATTAAATGAATCAGAATGATAAAATTTATCCATGCCTATTAACTGATTAATAAACAGTAGAGCATGTGTACTTCATCCTCTGAACTTTTGAAGTTGTAAAAAAATGTTACTTATTTTATTTAAACATATAGTAGACTGTCTAAGAGATGCTTTATTTTAACATATTCCAAGCCAGTGGGTCCATTTTTCCATTCTTAACACATGCTTCATGTGGCCTTCATACTCTTTTTCAGTTTTAGTCATGCCTATAATCATGATAATGTAAGAGAAGGTGAATTTAGAATTTATCTCAAAGAAACTTTAATTAGAAATGGTATTATGTAAATCAATGTTTCACATGAACACATTGCTTACACTTACAATGTTGGACATGACAATTGCTATGATGCTAGAAAAGAAAATAAACAACTAACTTAATATATTAAATGCAATGATTGCAAGATTAAAAAATCATCTCCTTTATGTACTTAGCCTCAACTTTTAGATCACAAGTATTCACAGTATATCTGTAAATTGTAAAATTTACAGCACAGGTGGGGGATGGGGTATCTACATCATTCAACTTAAACAGATGTCATACAAAAAATTTTTTTTGACAAGCAAAAAAGAAAAAAAAATTATAAAGTCATTCACTATTAATTTTCCTTTATGCCCCATGTACATGAAAAGATTCAGCATTCTTGTTTGATACAGGTCAGGAATACTGGCCTACATGTTCTCTCTGGTCATGTCACAAAAGTCATAAAAAATCTGTTGTAAGCCCAAACCAAAACAAACAGATACACATTGCCATTTTAAACCAGAAAACCTTTTCTCTCCTGCATGTTTGAATGTCAAACTTTGTCATTTAGGAGAATATCCTCACCTGTGCAAGGCAGCAGAGGTATGCTGATTTATAAAATGACAATTGACATTCATCATTGCCCGCTGTAGCAGACAGAGAAATCGTGTAAATATTTGTACTGGGTCCCCTCAGGGTGCATGTACATTTGTAGATCTAATTTGAGATTTGACTGAGGGGAGATAATGCAGCCAAACTGTGGTAAGCTTTAGGGTATTGGATTGTAAAATTTATGACTGTTTTAAAGGTTAAGTTTCTTTTTTTTTTTTGCCTTCTTTATATATCTTACATGTAGTAAATACTTGATATTATTTTTCAATTTATTGCTTAAATTTTTTTCATCCGCTACATTCCACATACCATGAATTTTAATTATCTTGCTTGAGAGACAAAGCAAATTGCAAAGAGGAAACTGTGTTCTTTCTTCGTGTATACATTTCTCTATGTTCTAGATAAGTTGTTTTTTGCTGCAGTGTTTTGTGCTGCTAATGTTAGTGTATATATATAAGTTCAGTGCCTCCTTGGTTTGATTACTCTAGCTGTGTGTTTGTAGGGAATGGTGAATGACTGATCAGATCTCCACACTTAAAAAAAATAATAATTAGCATAAGTCAGAATAGTGTTTACATCATCACAATGTGTATCCTGGCAAAAAGACACAGAATTCACAAGCGGAGTATTGGCTGCCTTGTCAGTAGCAGCCATACATATTACATCAGAGTTCTCTGAACTCCATTTCTTCCCTTTTATTGTTGAAGTTAATTCACTTTTTTCCATGATAAAAATGGGAGGAAATAAAAATATCATATTCATTTCTAAAATGTATTTCATTACATGATAATAAAGTAAAACACACTAATAGCAAACATGTTTAATATACCAATAAAGAATTGATGCTATTAAAGAGAAAGGGGATTTTGATTCCCTTTGACTTTAAAATATATTGAACACTAAACAGTTACAGATATAAGGAGTTATGAAGTTAATGTTTCTGTCCCTGGCACTTCTGTTATTTACTGTAAATCTATAATCATGTAAAGTTTCTTCATCAAACTGACATAGCATGTCATATTTTCATTCAACATGGGAACATCTAGTTGTCCAGCTGTCTGTCTGTCTGTCTGTATGTCTGACTGGAATTGTAATGTAAAGATTTATCTTTCTTATCTTCTTTTTAATTTTAATTTCAGAATTATGTGGAAACAAAACATATGTTCCAGTATATTCCAAGACTTGTAAGTATATTCAATATCAATGTATCAGAAAAACTAGTGCAACAAGAGCTACTTCCCGTGGTTACTTCCCTTGTTTTCTTTTATTTTATGTCTTCAAGTTCCAAAGGCACAAACCTTGTAAATATATCAGATACTTATATCAACAGTATTCAGAGCTCCTGGGCACTGGGCACCTGTCTTTATTTTAATTTTTTTTAAACTTTACTTTGCCTTCTTTATTTGTTCTTCAAGGATTTTTTTTAGCCAAATATTTTTAGAGTATGTAGAAAAGTATTCATTTTTCTTCACCTGAAATTCCTTGCTTAAAAAATTTCTTGCTTGCAGCTAGCACTACTGCCCAGACGACCATAGTTCCGGGGGTCACGACCTTGAAGGATGTGACAACAGAGGTCACAAATATTACGTCCTTACAAAATGACACCCTAGTCCCGCCTACTTCCATACTAAGCAGCTGTAAGACTCTGCATGTTATATATTCTTGTATTATGAATACACTGTTAATGCCTGGAATGTCACACTGTGTAGGGGGGGGGGTCAATCTTTTTATTTGGAGAAATATTTTTTCCTAACCTTCTTTGGTACCATTGCGTCTAGACTAAAATCAGAGCTATTGATTATGATATTCCCATAATTATTTTTCTTTATTAATGAATAAGATTATTTAATTTAAAGAATGTATATATTGGGATTATTTATGGGCAAGTTAAAGAAGAGTACAAGTAACCAGATTTCTAGTTTTAGTGGTGTGTGTAGGGGGTTTGGGTGGGGGGTTAAATGACAATGAAACTTAAAATACTTGTAGTGACATGTGCATTTAACAGCATGCTTCATCAATACTTTCTATTTCGTTATGTTTATTGTATTATTTTTGAAGGGAGGGGGATGGAAGGGGAGTCACTCTACTAAATCTGTCTCTAGCTTGAGATCATCCATCCCCGTAAACAAGACTGTCATGCATGAGGCATTTCTGGGGAGAAATCATATTACTGTAAATGTTTGTACAGTAATTGATATGAAAAGGTGCCATATTTTGCTCACTTTGAAATAAAAAGAGTGTCTTTAAAAAAAGTTGTGAATACCCTCTCCTGACCAGTGTTATAAAATTGGCCTGTCAAAACTTTTTTTATCTCTAAGAAATGGTAATATATTTTCATTCATCCAGGAATGTATTTTAATTTTCTTAACACCTTTAATTTCAGTTGATTTTGAAAATTCAGTGAGCATTCATATTAACATTTTTAGGGGGGGGGGGGTCCAACTTAACTACTGACTCAATTTTTTTTTTATCTTGAGGCAGGAGATGGCAAATAAAGTTGCGTGGTTAATTAGGCTGTGAATGAGGCCTTGGATTTATGGTTGCTGGAATTTATTAACATCAACATGCATGTTTGTAACATTGGAGAAGGGGAAATATTTCATATATACATAAAAAATGTCTCAGTTACTAATGTAAGACCAGCATATTCACAACAGAAATACAGTGTAACTAAATTTCATATGTTTCCCTGTCGAAAAGAGTTGAGTTATATATTCCCATTATCAAACATTCTAAAAGAGATTCAAATAGATGTTTTTTTTTATACACATTAAATATAATACACAATACATTTCTTGGTAATAAGATGTTTTTTTAATTAACTTTGAATATTAAGACTATTTAAAGTTGAGTACATATTGAACAAGATGTATTTGTGAAACAATGATGCCCCCACATGACTGCAAAAGTTTCTCAAGTGCAAGTCAAACTCCAAGGTCAAGGCTCAAGGGTCAAAATTGTTGTTATATACAAAGGAATGTCTTCTCATAAGGAATACTATCATTCCAATAACAGCGTGTCACTTTGCTTGATCGACCGTGGTAAAAATTTAACAAATTGATTACCATATCATTCATTGATTGGATGTTTGATTTGAATGAAATCAATACTACTTTGCATATAAAAAACAAAATCCAACAATACCCCTATAACACTGACCAATCGTATTGAATGAATGTTTTCCAGCGCGGCATTTGTAGTCACCGGCAACACGTGGTCAGTCAAAGCCCGTTTACTGTCCAGCAAAAAGCACGTGCCATATTTCTTGTGATTTGACCGAATGGAGTTAATTTTGATACGAATGAGAATATTTAAAGCATGAAATAAGTAAGACTATACTTTGAAACTATTAAAATGTAATATTATATTGTATATAGCGACCTTGCTTTGCCTGTCCACATGTGATTATTGTTTACTGCATTCTCGTGAACATTCATTCAATACGATTGGTCAGTATTGTAAGTGGTATTGCTGGATTCTGTATTTCATATGCAAAGTAGTATTGCTTTCATTGAAATCAAACATCCAATGGATGAGTAATATGGTAATCAACATGTGAAACTTTACCACGCTCGGTTAAGTAAAGTGACACGCTGTTATTGGAATGATAGTAAACCTGTGAAATATGCTGGCTCTAAGTGCTAACTGTTCAAAAGTTATGACCAAGGTTTAAGTTTTTAAAAGTGGGACAAATTCTAAGGTCAAGATCAAAACATCAAAAATATTTGTATTGGAAGGTTTAAATTCTAAACGTATCAAATGTATAAACTTTACATAAAATGCTCAATAAGTGGAAATTAAATGAAACTTTCAGGAAAAATTAATCTGTTAGGTGTTGATATGGAAAAAGGTAAATGAAGTTGGCTTTGTGTGTGCTATAAAGATATATAGAAGTCATGTTTGCATTCTTACATGTACATTCAGAATTGAGATTAATTAATGAAGGACAGAGCTGTTACCAAATCAAAGATGACAATATTCTGTAAGGCCATCTTTAAAAAATTGTTTGGTTGCTCTCTCTTGACCGACTGACTAAAAATGGGCCCACTCAAATTCTCCCACCTACCAACCCAGTAATTTTACCCTGAGTTGGGAGAGGGCATGCAAGCAAACATTCTTTTAAATATGGCCTAAAGTCACTTATTTTTGTTGGGTCAAAATTTTGTATATTGATGAATTGAGGAAAAGATATTGGTTCCAGGGGATTAGATTTCATAGGATAAAGAGGAATTTTACACTGTTGTACTGGATTTTAACTTGAAAATTAAACTCCCACAAAAATTAGTGATGTCACAGTATTTACTTAAACAATAAAATGCTTTCTTTTTTGTTGTTACTGGAATGAACGGAAGCAGCTGTTGCAGAAAAAATACATAACCCGCGTAAGCGGGTTATGTAATTTTTTTCTGCAATAGCTGCAACCGTTCATTCCAGTAATAACAAACAAAAAAAGACATTTTATTGTTTATATTTACATCTGTTTAAATTATCATTTTAAGTAGGATTAAAAATATTAATTATTGTGTTAATGTTGCGAACGTCTTTGTACGTTTCATTGATGGAACGGCCATTGATCAAGAAATCTGTACAGGTGATATGCCTAATGTAGTTTATGCAGTGATGAACGCAATGGGTTTTTTTAAGAAATAAAGAAGAAAATATTCAGTGGATGTAAATATATTGTTATAACCATTGTTTGTATATGTTTGTTTTTGTAATCAAAGTTTGCTTTAGTTATGATCGAATCATGGATTGCTTTTTAATAGCATTACAACTGTGGCTTAATTTTTTTCAATTTATCTGTTTTAACACAGACTAAGTAAAATTAAAGTGATTTATTGATGAAATGAACTGGAACTTATTTTTGTAATTATATGGTTTGCTGTAACTAGTGTTTGATAGCTGTCTTTTGCTTACAAAGTTCCAAATTAACTTTCAAATATTTTCTTGATATTAAAAAAAAAAATAGAGAATTTAAAATCTTAAATTATTACAATATTGTCCTTGTCTATGAACTAATTTAAAAAGTTCATTTGTATAACAGTAAAACAATCTGACAAAGTATTTTGAAATTATTAGAAGTATTAATTTCTTATCAAACTTGTACTTTCACAATTATTTATTATCACAGCCTCCCAGGATTCCAATGGCTGGTGGATTGCCCTCCTTGTGATTGGGATAATTCTCCTAGCACTTATAGTTGTAGGAGTTTATGTCTACAAGAAGAAAGGAAAAAAAGGGTATGTATTATATTTAGTGAGCTAATGTTTTGGTATGTGTTTTGGTATTGATGACCTGAGATTAATTTCATATCGACAATTTTTGATAGACATGATTTTAGCAAGAGTTTTTTCCCATTAGTTGCCATATTGGAGGTATAACTATAGCAACTTTTTTTCTATTTTAAACTTGCATGGCAGAAATATTTTAGAGCAAGAAAATTCAAAATACTAAAATCATGAATTAGAGGAAGCTTAGGTTGACATTTTTTTGTAAGAAAAACTGTGTTATCTTCATTCATTACTCCTGACAAGTATGACTAGTTGACATGTTACAGAGGACAACTTTATTTTGATACAATTATGGGAAAATAAAGTCAAAATTCATTGATCGTATGATGAAGGAATTCAGGTTGAAGACCTCCAATATGGCAACCAACGGGAAATAACTCTTCACTGGTCTATAGTTTAGTGTAATGTATGAAAAGAATTTGAGTATAAAAATCAGAAGGGGGTTAAAAAGGATGCATATATGTTGTTAAAGTTTCAATGCACAAATTGTCTGAAACATCAACACATGGTATATTACATTCTGAAATCAATGACATCTTGTTTATAATTGTAATAATTCCTTAATCATTATACTAGTAATATAATCCTTAAATATTGATAAAAGGATAAAATGATAGATACCAGATGATTTTGATTGGTGGGTACTGTTTTATTTTGATTGTAGTCAACACTCAGGTTTGGATTTTAGTTTACTCTGGTTTGAATCGGAGTTAAATGCAGCTGTGTTTCGCTGTTATAATCTTTGTGGTTGGATTTTAAGATGTTATTGGGTATGCAGTGTAGTTGACTATTGTATGATTTACTATTGTGCTGATAATAAAACAAATTGAGTTTTGAGCAGTACATAGTAAACAGAAATTCTCAATCACTATTTCTGTCCTTATAGGTTTCACTATTTTTATGTCGATCTTCTTTTTTCATTTTTTATTTTTGTTTCAAAGGTTTAGGAAATCGGTGATGTATCAAAATCTATCACAGTGTTTCTTTTGGAATAATCTTCCAACACATCAGAATAGGTACATCTCTACCTGCATGAATTGACTACCGGTACCTAATAACTGTGTAGGGGGCACCTGCCTATAGGTGTGCTTCAGTCATCAAATGAGATGCATTATTGTTATGACTTCCATTTTATCAAGCATATATACATACATTTCCCCTCTAATCTTTATATGGAAAGCATGATCAATTTGTCTGACTTCAGAGTATGCCATAATATTTAGAAAACAGTGACATAATTATCATAATGATAACTTTATTTTTTTCAATGTATTAATTGATTTAATTGGTGCATATGAAAATCATTATTTATCGTCTTGGGTGATAATCTCTCCAGCATGTGCTATAGGTCCTTTTATTTATTTATTTTTTTTTTACATGTACTTGAATACTGATACATTTGTGATATTTCTTCAATATTGTTCTCACTTATACTTTTAGGAATTTATTTTCTATTGAGCAGGTTCTTCAATCTTAAATTTGGTTGATTTATTTCATTCACATATTTTTTCTTTTCTTCACCAGCTTGTTAATATTTTCATCTCTGTGTGAAAAAAAAATCTAAATAGAATTGATCAATATTGTGTTGTAATTATAATATTTTCAACTAAATTCATTAATTGTTTTTTTTCAAATGAAATTTCAAGGCTGCCCTGTATATATTCTCTGGGCTCAGTAGCTGTAGAATGTTGCTTTATTTTAGGAAAGCATCGTTTTCTTCTGTGGGGAGTAAAAAATCGGAGAGTAGCGTGGGACAAATTCAGCCAAATAGCAGGATTGACCAAGAGGTGGTTTACTCTACGCAGGTTTCAAATAACGAAAAAGATTTTAAGCATTCTTCTACAGCCCAGCTGATTGATGCACCACTGTCACACACAGATGAAGAATATTCAAACCCTGCAATAGAATGTACTGATGTTAAATTGGACTTGTATGAAAACTCTAGTAAAGTCAGCTTCAGACAGAGTTATAGTTCTGACACACAGACAGACAATAAAGCCAGTCAAGAAGGCAGTAAAATAGAGTCCGACACAAGTCAGAAAGAGGATTCAGAAATCGTTACTAAAGCTGACACAATCTTGTCTAATTATGAGACATGCTCCCTTCAAACAATACCTAAACCCACAACTGAAGAGAAATTGGAGTCGAATATCCATCAGGAATCAGAAGATTCCAGCAGTGAGAAACCCTCCATTGGTACAGATATTGAGAGTGTGTATATTACATTGACTTCAGAGACAGAGGAATCATCGAATAAAAAACCTCAGTTTAACATTGACCTTGACTCACACACTGTGGGTGATGGCAGGAAGTCTTCCCTTCAAAACCAGAAATCAGTGGACAGTGGCTATGAGTCCAAAATAAACTCACCTGAGCAGGAGTGTGTCTGATTTTGAGACCAAAAGAATTGCAATAGAAAAAGTTGATCTGGGCAACATGAAGACTAAAAATTGGACGGTTTTAAAAAACAAATGAAAATTATTACTTATTAATCAGAAAAATTAATCATATGAAATAAAAAAATTAATTCACCATATTTCTACATTTTACAGTAACCAGAAACTAGTACATATATATCTAATTAACAGTGATATGTTAAACTATAAACATTAACTATATAGACTTGTGTGTATTCAATGCCAGTAATTTTTGACCACAGTTGTTTTCTTCTTTCATATATTGGACACTCGATCGAGCTAAATATTTGTACATTTGTACCCAGAGCTTTTTTTAGCTCACCTGAGCCAAAGGCTCAAGTGAGCTTTTCTGATCACAATTTGTCCGTTGTCTGTCGTCGTTGTCGTCGTCGTTGTTGTTGTAAACTTTTCACATTTTCATCTTCTTCTCAAGAACCACTGGGCCAATTTCAACCAAACTTGCTACAAAGTATCCTTGGGTAAAGGGGATTCAAGTTTGTTCAAATGAAGGGCCAGGCCCTTTTTCAAGGGGAGATAATTATGAATTAGAGAAAAATTAATGGCATTTTTGAAAAATCTTCTTCTCAAGAACCACTGGGCCAGGAAAGATGAAACTCATGTGGAATCATCCTCAGGTAGTGTAGATTCAAGTTTGTTCAAATCATGACCCCCGGGGGTAGGGTGGGGCCAAAATGGACGATCAAAGTTTTACATAGGAATATATATGAAAAATCTTTAAAAATCTTCTTCTCAAGAACCACTTGGCCAGGAAAGATGAAACTCATGTGGAATCATCCTAAGGTAGTGTAGATTCAAGTTTGTTCAAATCATGACCCCCGGGGGTAGGGTGGGGCTAAAATGGACGATCAAAGTTTTACATAGGAATATATATGAAAAATCTTTAAAAATCTTCTTCTCAAGAACCACTTGTCCAGGAAAGATGAAACTCATGTGGAATCATCCTAAGGTAGTGTAGATTCAAGTTTGTTCAAATCATGACCCCCGGGGGTAGGGTGGGGCCAAAATGGATGATCAAAGTTTTACATAGGAATATATAGGAAAAATCTTTAAAAATCCTCTTCTCAAGAACCACTTGTCCAGGAAAGATGAAACTCATGTGGAATCATCCTAAGGTAGTGTAGATTCAAGTTTGTTCAAATCATGACCCCCGGGGGTAGGGTGGGCCAAAATGGACGATCAAAGTTTTACATAGGAATATATAGGAAAAATCTTTAAAAATCTTCTTCTCAAGAACCACTTGTCCAGGAAAGATGAAACTCATGTGGAATCATCCTCAGGTAGTGTAGATTCAAGTTTGTTCAAATCATGACCCCCGGGGGTAGGGTGGGGCTAAAATGGACGATCAAAGTTTTACATAGGAATATATATGAAAAATCTTTAAAAATCTTCTTCTCAAGAACCACTGGGCCAGGAAAGATGAAACTCATCCTCAGGTAGTGTAGATTCAAGTTTGTTCAAATCATGACCCCCGGGGGTAGGATGGGGCCAAAATGACCGATAAAACTTTTAAAATATATAGGGAAATTAATCTCTTAAAATCTTCTTTTCAAGTACTTCAAAGCCATGCTTAGTGATATTTATAGGGAATCATCCTCAGGTAGTGTAGATTCAAGTTTGTTCAAATCATGACCCACGGGGGTAGGGTGGGGCCAAAATGACTGATGAAACTTTTACAATATATGGGGTAATTAACCTTTTAAAATCTTCTTTTCAAGTACTTGAAAGCCATGCTTAGTGATATTTATAGGGAAACATCCTCAGGTATTGTAGATTCTAGTTTGTTCAAATCATGACCCCCCTGGGGGGGGGGTGTTAAAAATTCAAGCCAGCCCCCCCCCCCCCCCCCCCCCAGTAAACTTTCAGTTCTGATCTGATCTGTGCTTTTTCCTAGCCAATTGCTCAGGTGAGCGATGTGGCCCTTGGGCCTCTTGTTTTGTCTTAGCCAGTATTTGTAATATCATCCACATCACATATTTATATATTTGCCAAAATCAGGAAATCCATTTCACACATATGCTAGACACCACAGTGCTCATCCGCATATTCATTTAAAATTTTATTTTATTTTTTACATTTGTGTATATGTGTATCGTGTTTACATGTTTGTTTTTGTTTGTTTGTTTTCTTTTTCTTTTTTTTTTTTTTTTGTTAAAAAATATTAATTTAAATGATTTTAAAGGCATTCATTAAAATGTGGACCAGCCTTTAGTAATCGCTGATATGATCACTAGCTCCAAGACGGGGCTCTGATAGACTAAACCAAATGCCAATCCATGCCTTATATTTTGTTTCATGATTCAATATCTTCTCACATTCTCACATATTCTTAAAGTTTAATAAGTTTTTTTAGCTCACCTGAGCCGAAGGCTCAAGTGAGCTTTTCTGATCACATTTTGTCCGGCGTCCGTCTGTCTGTCTGTCTAGCTGTCTGTCTGTCCGTCTGTCTGTCCGTAAACTTTTCACATTTTCGACTTCTTCTCAAGAACCGCTGGGCCAATTTCAACCAAACTTGCCACAAAGCATCCTTGGGTGAAGGGGATTCAAGTTTGTTCAAATGAAGGGCCACGCCCTCATTCAAGGGGAGATAATTGAGAATTAGTGAAAATTTGGTGGTATGTTAAAAAAATCTTCTTCTCCAGAACCGCTGGGCCAGGAAAGTTGAAACTCATGTGGAAGCATCCTCAGGTAGTGTAGATTCAAGTTTGTTCAAATCATGACCCCCGGGGCAAGGGTGGGGCCAAATGGCCGACCCAAGTTTTACATAGGAATATATCAGAAAAATCTTTAAAAATCTTCTTCTCCAGAACCACTGGGCCAGGAAAGATGAAACTAATGTGGAATCATCTTCAGGTAGTGTAGATTCAAGTTTGTTCAAATCATGACCCCCGGGGCAAGGGTGGGGCCAAAATGGCCGACCCTAGTTTTACATAGGAATATATAGGAAAAATCTTTAAAAATCTTCTTCTCCAGAACCACTTGGCCAGGAAAGATGAAACTCATGTGGAATCATCCTCAGGTAGTGTAGATTCAAGTTTGTTCAAATCATGACCCCCGGGGGCAAGGGTGGGGCCAAAATGGCCGACCCAAGTTTTACATAGGAATATATAGGAAAAATCTTTTAAAATCTTCTTCTCCAGAACCACTGGGCCAGGAAAGATGAAACTCATGTGGAATCATCCTCAGGTAGTAGATTCAAGTTTGTTCAAATCATGACCCCCGGGGCAAGGGTGGGTCAAAAATTGCCGACCCAAGTTTTACATAGGAATATGTAAGAAAAATCTTTTAAAATCTTTTTCTCCAGAACCACTGGGCCAGGAAAGATGAAACTCATGTTGAATCATCCTCAGGTGGTGTAGATTCAAGTTTGTTCAAATCATGACCCCCCCGGCTAGAGCGGGGCCAAAATGGCCGACCCAAGTTTTACATAGGGATATATAGGGAAACCTTTTAAAATCTTCTTTTCAAGTACTTCAAAGCTATGATAAGTGATATTTATATGGAATCATCCTCAGGTAGTGTAGATTCTAATTTGTTCAAATGATGAACGCCTGGAGGGGGGGATAAATTCAAGCCCGATGTGCTCAGGTGAGCGCTGTGGCCCCTGGGCCTCTTGTTTTTATATGTAATCTGGCTTCCATTTATATTAGAACCAATACTGGGTGTTTGTGTGTGTGCATTTGTTAAAAATTGTAGTGCTCAATTTGCAGAGCTGGGTTTCATATTAAATCCAGGCCATTTCATTTTCCTTGAGCTATATTTTGTGATGGTTTGGATTGTTTTTCGAAAGACTTTTTTTGTCAGCTATTTAATAGAGATTATTTGAAATCATATTCAAGCTTTATCATTTTGCATGTTGTGTTTTGGAATTTATCGCTATAGAAAGCTGTTAAAATACCAAGGTTTACTTGATGCATAATGTTATCAATTTTAAATTTACAGGTGTATAGGCAAAGACACCCAAGTATGCTTACATTAACACACATTTCAATTTAATTGATAATACTTCAGTACATAAAAATAAATTTAAAAAAAAAAGAATTTTTACAGGACCTATCACATTTTCCTGTTAATGTGCACAGTGTGTGCTTGGTTTGATTTCAACTTAAGCAAGAACTCAATGGATCTTCACTGTAAATGCAAACCTATGGCTTTTATACATATTTTATACATATCAAATCTTGTATTATGCTTTGTAAATTCTATATTTTATTGAATAATAATAATTACATGTATTTATATTATTAATGTTGATTTACATTTAGTGAGAAAATGCAAAAATGTGATTACAAAATATAAAAACATTCTGAACTCATACATAGAAAACCAATTATTATCAAATTGCTTTATATGTACACTTTCATGTAAAATTTATTGTATAATTGTATAACATATGATAAGCTGCTTATTACATGAATAATTCGAAGTAACATCAGCACTCTCTAATTTCTAATTACTTTAAAGCTAAACACAGTGAAACTTGTCTAATCAAGACATTGTATAATCCAAAATCTTACCTAATACGGTGTAAAGTTAAAGTCCTTCTGTTTAAAATGATATTTATAGGGGAATATTGTCTAATCAAGGCAATTTCTTTAGAAACAGTGATGTCTGTATTGGACAAGTTTTACTGTAATTTCAACTACATGTATACATATATATTGTCTAATGGGCCAGTTCTTATAACATCTGTGTTCAGATTCTTCCCTCTTCTGCTTTTACAATTAATTGCTTTTAAATTATTAATTTTAGGAACATTCATAAAAGAAATTTGAGTTATATACATATGCACCTGATCGATGTTAAATTTGTTAGATAAATGGCACATATTGATAAGTATAAATACTGTAGATCACCAAATTTTTGCGACACCTTATTTTCGCGAGATAGTCATTGTCTCTTGATTAGCGAGACAAAATTTTCACGAATTGTGGTTACTGCTGTATATAATCTTAAGGAATACTATTAAACGCGAGAATTAAATTTTTGCAAGCACACTGTCTCGCGTAATTACGCGAAAATAAAGTTCTCACAAATAAAAAGTGATTTACAGTAATATATTGGGGATATTATCCATATTCACTTAGTATTTCTATCATCATTTTATCTTTGAAATTGTTTTATGTTTATTTTGTTGATTTTTAACATAATAAAAGTTTGAAATTGTACATGATTGTTTTGAGATATGTTTTAAAGTTTTAAACTTTAAACCTGAGCAATTGAGGTCTCAAGAACAACAGCTTACAAGAATAATGCCATTTGATGGCTTATGCTATTTAAAGAGGCACGAAATGCAAAATGGCTGCATATAATATTAATATCAAAACTTGTACACATGTTATTTATTAGTAGGTTGATAGTTACCTGTACAATGTAAGTATATTTACATACATGTACACTTGCCAAAAACTATCTTTTACTAACTTGTGTCCAAATGAGATTTTTGTATCCTGTACTTCCTAACTTTTCTCCCCTCTCTGTTACAGAAATGTCACACACACGTACGATCTCCAGACCCATGAAAGTGTGAATTACCTGAACAACAAGGCGGAGGAAGGAAAAAGATGGAGTGGTGCTCACGAGAATATTAATTATCTAGACAATCACGCAGAGAAAGGTAAAAAATGGAACGGGGGTGACAAAAACGGCCTGGAGGGAAGCGGGAAGCAGGGGGGATATGTGGAAAATCTTAATGGGAAACAATTGGAGGATAAAATATTGAAGAAGTCGGACAACGTTAATTACAACAAAAATAACAAGGAAGTTGAAGTAACTTTGAAAAATAATGATTCAGTGATGAAAAGTGATCTTCCACCGAGTGATGAGAGAAAATCGTCACCACAACACAAGCCTCGTGTGAAGAGAGAAGAAGAGGCCATCTATGCAAATTCTCAGTTCGTTAAAGTGGCAAAGGCAGATCAGTTACACAAAAGTGCAGAGAAAAAACCACTGGTGGACACTCCGTCATTTGGAACCCGGGACATTTCACCACCTGTGGACAAAAAGACACATGAAATGTACTATATTGACGAGAATCCGTACGACCGAGTGGATAGCAGGAAGAAACCGGTGCCCAAGAAACGTAACAAAGTGATGCAGCACGATTCAGGAAGTAAATAATCCAGAAAGTAAGTGATATAGGAAGTTAAAAATTAACCAGGAAGGAATTTTAGAAGCTGTGAATGCATATTGATATTCAGTCAAAAATAAGTCAAGTTGATCAATTTCAGGAAAACGTGGTAGGAAAAGGTTGTACTTTATACTTGTGAAATCTCACAAAATCGTTGTATTGTATACATAATGGATGTAACTAGATAAGATTTTGTTAATGTTATTTTGTTTTTGTTATACATGGTTTTTTGACTATTGATTATGCATATTACTTTTAGCTTCCATAATAAATACCCAGTAATCGTGGTATACACTTCCAATCATTTCTTATCCATGACTTAGTGCTTCCAATTTCAAATAGAGAAAACAGTGTCTTTAAAAATTAAAGAAAATGTTTGTTTCTGACGCTTGTACTTATTAATTTTCAAAGATAAATTTATGTTTTACCTGGTTTTTTTTTTTTTTTTAAATATAAATTTTCTTTGAAATTTATTAAGAAAATGAAATAACTTTTTCTGTCACCTTGTACCAGTGATTTACCCATTGATAGATTGCATCAAAGGTTGTGTTAAAGTATTCCATGTATATTATTTTAATAAGGCGTTAAATAATATCTTTTCTTGTACAAGTAGTGTATGTTTATATTTAATTCATGCTTGTTCACATAAAAAGAGTGACTATTTTAAAGAAAATGTTTATTGAGTTTACATTTTGAAATATGACATTGGCTTATTCATTTAAATTAATGAACGGAAAACATTTCAAACCTTTCTAAGGTTGAAATAATCCCTATAATTACTTGTTAAAACCAGTTTCTTTTTGGCATTTTCACCACCCTCTCTGTGGAATTTCTAACAGTATATCTTAATCTATGAAAAAATCCTATAAATCTAAATCTAAAAAATCCTAAAATGCACATCTCTCTCATCTTTCGTTCAGTTGTATACATTTAAAATTTTTTTTCACTAAATAATGAAAAAATACATGTTTATATGTATATGTTTTTTGAAAATGTATTCTGGGCATTAGTAAATAGAATAATGTTTGTATATACGCTGTATATATATGTAGTTTCTTTGTACTCTTAGGAGTAAGAACACAGAGTTATACATTATAGTTATGCTGAATGTACCAAGCCTTTTAAAATAATGCTTCCAATATATTCTAGTCTTCACTGAGTCATTCTAATAAACTGTGATAAATTATAACATCTCACTTGTTATATGGAGGCACTATTTTTATTTATATTTTGTCCATTTGAATTTTTTTTTAGGTAGCTATCTTTTCATTATTTAATGTTAAGATGTACAACATTTTAAAAACTTATTTTTCTTTTTTGTTAAATAATTTTATTATTATTTTAAATTCAAATGATATTGTATTTATTTATAAAGCATGTTCTTGTAGTTGGTTAACTTTAATTGAATAATTCTATTCATTGACAACAAAAATTGTTTTGTTATAATTAGAAATCACCCATGAACTCCTTGAACTGTAAAATAAATACGTGGTAATCTGACATTTGTTAAGTTATAACTTAATTATTCATTTTTCTAAGAACTGTTTCTGAAAGAATTACTCTTTTTTGGTCATTTAATTATGGTTTATTTTATTTTCAAAACTTGCTTATATTGAAATGTTTTCATAGTCATCAAAGAAGTGCTGTGTATATAGCATACTAATAAAGCCCATTCATGAGGGCCTAGATCCATAGATACATGTACAGTGTATGTTGACTTTACAAAAAAAAAAAAAAAAAAAAAAAAAAAAAGAAAAGACGGTAAAACCAAAAAAAAAATGTACACAGTGATAAAATTCTCAGTTAATTATGTATCATTCACTTCATAAGCTAACATGAAAATACCTTGAATAGTTTCTTTGAAACAAGGTTAAATGCAAATTTAAGGAAAAAAAGTTATGAAGCATAATCTGTTCAAAAGAATCTCTTGCTGTAGCCTTTGATTCAATATTTCAATATACACTGTATCAACAATGTTTTATCAATTAACAATATTCATTTTCATAGCTACATTGATTCAGTATATCCCTTTGAACTTAGATAAAACAATTCCACAGAGTAACACATCTGTTTCTTATTGAGGTATTTTACTAGAAAAAGATGTTGATGTAACAATAAACCTCTATGATAAACTGATGTTTTCAACCTTTCAATCATCTTTCCTTTTTTCATGTAGCAGTAAACTGTTGTCACCTACATATGGAGTTTATGTCTCTCTGTTGATTCAATATGCAAGAGCATGCTCTAATGATGAACAATAACGAGGCAAGCTATTGACAAATAAGTTGATGAAACAAGAATATTTACAGGTTTATTTACAGTCAACAATTTGCAAATCTATGGTTGATACATTAACCTTGTCGGCAAACACCGTCGAATGTTGACTGACGTTATTCATACAAATTGTAAAATCATTATTTTCACACTAAATCGGATTTTCCCATTTGGTCAATTTTTTCTGGTCATATGATGAGTACACGGTGGGTGTGACAGGTCGACAGGATATGTTTTCTACTCCATGGCACCTGCTCTCACATTCAGGATGTCTCACATTCAGGATGTTTTAGAGGTCCTTGTTTGCTATGCCTCGATCTGGCAAAAAAAATCTTTTAAAAGGGACTTGTGAGCTGGAATACTGTGCGTTATTTTCATATTTCATTAAAAGGTTTTTTAAAAATTATTTATGTCAGGTAGGAATCCAGTATAAGTTCAAATTCAATTTGATTGTATGGAATGTTACAAGTATTGAAAACTAGCTGAAATATGATTAGCTTCCACTAATAAAACGGTTTTATTTCATGAAGCTTTTCCATTGTATTTGTTATTTGAAGTTTACTGAAAGATGGAGGACAGGGGTCTTCATTTTGGATTTCAGTTTTCTGTTACGATCCCTCAATAGCTTTTAAAGCTATCTCTTCTTTCTGTTAGAGTTTTGAATTGTTCCTTTTCATATTTATCCCATTATCTAGCATATTCATACTAGAAATGACGTTGTATCGCAATTTTACAGACCAAGGCACTTGACATTGGACATTTTGAAATTATTGCTGTTTTTGGTCTTTATGTTTAGCTATATTTACATCATAAGTATTCATGACTCCAAAAGGATTATAAATGAAAGAAGGGGAAAATAGTTTGGATGAAATATATGGAGATAACAAAGAGTATTCCAGATCAAAAGTCCATAAAACAATACAAAACAGGAGCAGAGCAAACACGGACCTCCAAAACATCAGAGGTGGGATCAGGTGCCATGGAGGAGTAAGCATCCTCTGCTGACCGGTCAAACCCGCCGTATGCTCCGTGTTCTGATCAGGAAATAACGGAAAAATCCGTCTACAATTCAGTATATAGATAATGGACTAACAATTAGTATGAAAAACGTCAGTCAGCATTTGACTCAATGATAAATTGCTGACAAGGTCATTCTATCGACCATAGAAATTACGAAATGATGACTTTAAACGACCCTTCTGAAATTCTTGTTTCATTAACTTGTTTGTCAATAATTTACCTCGTTTTAAAAATTGTTCATACATAAACTCCGTATGCAGGTGATGAAGGTATATTGCTGCATAAGCAAGGGAAGTTAACGATAGAAAAGTTAAAGTCAACACGTTTATCATAGAGTTTGGTTGTTAGGTTACCATTAAGGTCATTTTCAAGGTAATTATCTAAATATGAAACAGATGTGTCAGACTTTGTTAAATTTTATCCTGCAACTACCCCTTGCATTGACCTAATAAAGGTAACCTAATAAACCAAAGCTTTATCTGGTCACTGCCCTAATAAAGCCTCGTGCATTTATTCCGACGTTCTAAAAGCATTGTGACGTCACGCATACTGCAATGTTTACGCCATGGCGTCATAGTTTCAACTGTAGAGATGTGCCTAAATCTGTCGGAAATAGCTTGTTTTGGACGTTTAAATGTAAGAAAAATGTTGCAGGATAAACAAAATACATGATAACTGTCTTGAAATATAAGCGATATTTGGGCTCGGGTCGAAAACGTAAGAGGGCTCGGCAAGCCTCGCCCTCTATCACGTTTTCTTACCCTCGCCCAAATATCGCTTATATTTCAAGACAGTAACCATGTATTTTATATTTATATCAAGCTTGCCAGGATATATCGTATCGATATAAGAATGGAAATTACCATTTTTAATTGACAGTACGTCGTCGATATATCTAAATGTCAAGATGAAGGCCACAGCAAGTGTTATATTATCTAACAAGGCACTGTAGGATTTGCTTATTACATAAGGGGTCACAGAGGGTGTGACAGTTCGGAGGGGATGCTTATTCCTCCTAGGCACTTGATCCCACCTCTGGAATTTTTAGGGGTCCATGTCTTATACCCTGCGTACAGATCTCATTTTTTTCTATTTCATTATTTTTAAGCTAGGCCGATTGCTGTTTCGGTTAATTGTATATTAAGGCTAAATTGCACATACTTTTTATTTAGAAATCAGCAATACTTTTGCCTAAATTTATCTCCAAAAAGGCAACCAAAAAGTTCAAGATGGAGAATATTATTTGTGTTTTTAACGATGCTAAAAATATGTGCTAAGTAAACTATTGCACAGAATCACATAGAAAACGAGTTTTTTAATATACTAGTAGTACTATTTGATTATTAGATTTACAAGGTCAATGAAATGCAGATTATGAGGTCAGGAAGGAAACAAATGACAGAAAAATATTAACGAAACATCTGTCTATTTTTTCGAAACCCTGCGCACAGTAGAGGTTATGTGAAGCAGATGTGGATACTCAATTAAAAAATACCGAGGAACTTTTAGAAAAGTTGAAATCACAAAATCTTACCAAAATCAACAACATAAAACCTTAAGACTTTTCAACTTTATATGCAACCATTACCCATCTATCTAATAACAACCATTTTGATACCATTGACAGATGCTTTTTCAGTAAAAACTCGTGGTTTTCGGAGACAATGTCTTCCAACAATCTATTAGAATTCCCATGGGTACCAATTGCGTCCCGTTATTAGCAGATCTATTCTTGTAATTTCCAGGTTATTTCCATTCTTTTGTCGATGCGATATATCCCGGTGAGCTTGAATTGATAGATATCACAGAGTCTGACTCATCTGTTTCATATTTGGATATTTTTCTTGAAAAAGGTCGTAATGGTAATCCAACAATCAAGCTCTATGATAAACATGATGATTATAAGTTTCAATCTTCAACTTCCCTTATTTATGCAGCAATATACCTTAATCACCTGCAAACAGGGTTTATATATCTCAGTTGATTCGATACGAAATAACATGCTATACATATGTGCATTTATTAAAACGAGGTAAATTACTGACAGACAAGTTGATAAAACAAGAATATCAGCAATCTCATTTAAAGTCAACATTCTATGGTCGATACAATGACCTTCTCAGTAATTGTTTGGCCATTATTTACACACCGAATTGTCGACGGATTTTTCCGGTACCGGGTATTTCCCGATCATGACAAAGAGCACACGGCGGGTATGACCAGTTGGCAGTAGATGCTCACTCCTCCATGGCATCTGATCCCACCTCTGATGGTTTTGACGTCTGTGTTTGCTCTGCTCCAATTTGTATTGTTTCCAGAGCTTGAATACTGTTCGTTATCTCCAATATTTCATTCATATACATATATAATTGTGAATTGAATCAAGAAAAAATGTTTGTTATCATTATTTATTGGGTTTTTTTTCTAAATCGTGATACATTTACCCAGATATTTGATTTTCTTTACTTGTCTGTTTCTCCACTGAGCAACATACAGATAGTCATTTATATCTGTACAAAGTCCCACGGGGATCACTCAAACCACATTCTATGTAGCGGAGGAAGTGTCCATCCTGGTCTATGATGTGGACACAGTCATTGTTATCATCAGCTGTAAGAATGTGACTCTGACTGTCTGTAGTGATTCCAAGTGGAATGAATGGTTTGTTCTTCGGAGCAGGCGTATGTCCAGTGTATCTGAATCTCAGTTTCCCAGCATGATTGACCACAACTACAGCCCTAACTTTATTGTCAGATACACAAATATCCAAATTCCTATTTTCTGTTATACACGTGTAAAGCGAATAGAGAGGTTTTCCTTGATTATCAAACTGAATGGTTTGTTTCTCTGTGGAGCCAGAGTAACGGACAATTTTTGATTGTTTGTCATCATGACTACACATGGTAACTAGGAGGTCACCAGAGAAGGTACTACAGACACCTCGAGGTGTCCAGTTCTGGAGTCTGATGACGTTTTCTATCTTCTTATTCTTCATAATGTTCACAGTTCTATCACTAACATCAGTGTAAACTAGATCTCCACTTTTCGTTACTGCAATGTCCAATGGTATGTTCCCTGACTTGGTTTTGATTGACTTGAGAAGTGATCCCTGATTGATGCTGTAAAGTTTCATAGTGCTGTTGTTTCCTCTTGTCCAGATTTCTTCTTCACTCAGACAGGCTACATTGATAAGGTATTCGTACCCAGTTTCTATAATTGTTACAATTTCTGGTTCGTCACGCAGCTGTTTGACTGGAGGAGAGAATCCAGCTTCTGGTGCTTTATTAATTTCATGCTGTAGCCATGATCATCTGATGTTAAAGAACTTGATGATAAGGCTCCAAATACTTTACTGAATTCTTCTCCTTGTATTTTTCCAGGAATGAATTTTGGCAGAGAAGGAACAATTTTTTGTGGAAGATTACTGTATAAATGTGCATTGGATGTTACATTAAATAGTTTCGACAAGTCATTAGCATCTATTGCTCTTTCAATTGAAATGATTTCATTCTTAATGTCAGAAATTTTCTTGTTTCTTTCATCCAGATGTTTCTGTAGAGTTTGTAGCTGTGTATTTTTCATCTCATCAATTTCAGCTTTGAGTTTTGTTGAAAGTTTGTCAATTTCTCTGTGCCAGGCCATTCCATGTTTTGCTATTGCTGAAGAAAGAACTCCACACTCCTTTTCTAACTGATTCATTCTACTTTGTACATCAGAGGCAATGTTCTGGTAGGTGGGGTAAACTGTCTCATATAATTCATTTCGTTCTTTGATTAATTTATCTTTTTTTTCATTGACAACTTTTAAGATTTCTGATATCTGATGAGTTTCATGTTCATCAGATGCAAGACACTTTTTACACGCTGGAATGTCACATTTGTTACAGTACATTGTGCAATGTTGCTTGTTATGAAATTTACATTCAGGGTAGAGGCGGGTAGGTTTCCTGGACTGATATTTAAGGAGTCTGTGATCCTTGGATTCATCAGAGATCATGTGTGCTCCCACACAAGCCTTACAGAGATTGACAAGACAGGAATCACAGTGTATCTCTACCTCAACAGTCTCACAAAGGTCACATTGCGTGATTTCCGGGGCACTGGTAGCAGTATCCATACTTAAACTGATAACTCTGAAATATAAATCGGTTGAAGTTTAAAATTATTTTAAAATTTTTGTAGGAGAAAATGTTTTACTAACTTAAATTGGTTGTAAAATGTATAATTATTTATTGTGATATTTGATAGTTATAGTTCAGGTTTTATCCCCATGTGAATGATTCTGTACCCCAATGAATCTGTAGCTATATTTGCAATTATGACTCCCTAAATGCAATTGCTCTCATATTGGAAACAGTTTGTTTTATCATTTTTTAAAATAATGTTTTGTAGTTTTTTGTCAAGAGGGTAAAGTAGGAATGAAAATGAAAATATTCACGAAACATGATTGGATTTTTTTTTTTGTTTCTTTGTTTTTAAAGGCGAGGGTGGGGTGGGGGTGTATCCCCTATCGCCCATTATCTGGCGTTGGCTTGGGAAATGTGTTTATACCATATCTCATAGGGAGTATTGTAAACCGTAAAGATAAGGACAGTTTGATAATTTTATATCTTCACTTCGAAAATAACACTTTTTTTCTCTTGTTTTCACAGTGAAACGAACAACTCTGTTAAAATATCATTTTATTTGAATGAATTAATTACATCGTTTCTCTATTTAAAATGTAATGAAATTTATAGCTTTAAAGCACAAGAAGAAAATATTAAAATAATGAAAATGGTAATTAAGTTAGAGTTATTTATATTTATATATTTTTATTGTAAGCTGTGAGGGAAATCGTATACATGTAAATGTAATTAGCAAAAAATCACTGAAGTTTCGTACATTTTTACACCTAAAAGGAACACTTATTTTTCATACACTTTAAAGACATTGTCTTGCATTTTATTGACACTAAATTGAATGAAAAATATGCAAGTATCAATACAAAATCTTTTCGTTATATGCATCAGAAATAAAGTGTAGTTGTTGTAAAGGCATGGGAACTGATAACATCAGTTATTGCTATGAATCATGACGAGCACAATAGTACGCATATGCATTTCCTTTGTCATTCTAATGCAAAAACTATTAGTACAGATAATAAATATAAAATACATGGTTACTGTCTTGAAATATAGACGATATTTGGGCGAGGGTAAGGAAACGTGATAGAGGGCGAGGCTTGCCGAGCCCTCTTACGTTTTCGACCCGAGCCCAAATATCGCTTTTATTTCAAGACAGTTATCATGTATTTTGTTTATCCTGCAACATATTTCTTACATTTGAACGTCGAAAACAAGCTACTAGTATTTCCGACAGATTTAGGCACATACATGTATCTGCAGTTGAAACTATGACGCCATGGCGTAAACATTGCAATATACGTGACGTCACAATGCTTTTAGAACGTCGGAATACATGCACGAGGCTTTATTAGGGCAGTGACCGGATAAAGCTTTGGTTTATTAGGTTACCTTTATTAGGTCAATGCAAGGGGTAGTTGCAGGATAAATATAAAATACATGGTTACTGTCTTGAAATATAAGCGATATTTGGGCGAGGGTAAGAAAACGTGATAGAGGGCGAGGCTTGCCGAGCCCTCTTACGTTTTCGACCCGAGCCCAAATATCGCTTATATTTCAAGACAGATATCATGTATTTTGTTTATCCTGCAACATTTTCTGCACATTTGAACGTCCAAAACTAGCTATTTTCGACAGATTTAGGCACATCTCTGCGGTTGAAACTATGACGCCATGGCGTAAACACTGTAGTATACATGACGTCACAATGCTTTTAGAACGTCGGAATACATGCACGAGGCTTTATTAGGGCAGTGACCGGATAAAGCTTTGGTTTATTAGGTTACCTTTATTAGGTCAATGCAAGGGGTAGTTGCAGGATAAACAACGTAATTCAGTGAATATGGCGTGGGTAGACTTTACTTTACCGGTTTCAGATACGCAAGATCCTCGCGCTGATTGGACTATGACGTAACAACTACGTCACTCAACTGAAATGGGTTAAATTTGCACACTATTCGACTGATTAGGGTTAGTCTTGCACCCACCTGAGAGATTAGGGTTAGTCCTTGCACTAGTATTCGACTGATTAGGGTTAGTCTCGCATTCATCCGAGAGATTAGGGTTAGTCCTCGCACATTATTCGACTGATTAGGGTTAGTTTAGCATCCGCCCGGGAGATTTCGTCTGAACGTCTTAGTCCTTGCATACCATACGATGGATTAGGGTTAGTGAATCGTTCTTTTAGTAAAGTTAAGAGATTCAGTTCTTTCTGTAATTTTTCCAAGATAATAATTCAGATTCATAGGCATTTCCTTCGTTTGTTTACATGGAAGATTGGCTAAGTCCGAAAGAAATGACACTAAGCATGCGCCGCACGCGCTTCGTTCAGAATTATTCTTTGTCAATTTTTTCCATGAACAAACAACTATTTATTAATTTTTTTCAGAGAACGAGGTTCAAAAATTTGTTTAAAAACAAAGTTTTAAACTAAACTTTTAACCGTAGAACTCAATTTTGGGGTCAAAAGGCCAAAAAACCTCGTATTTAAATTTTTTTTCGATCGCACACGCGATCTCATATATACTGAAGTCGCCTTCGGCGACACTACATTTTAGCGCGTTTTTCTGGGGACTGGTAAAGTAAAGTCGTTCCTATGGCGTTATGCATGAATAGCATTTGCTCTGTTGGAATATTTTTTAAGATCACACGATTACGTAAATCACATTGTGATCCATCACCAAAGGAATTGTTAATTATAACAGCATAGGTCACTGAAGAATGTTTGTACCTTAATCATAGTCTAGACCTCTCAAACATGTGTTTTTTTATAATGTAGACATTGTTTAAGTTTAAAAGAGATTTTCAAAATAAGATATTTTAAGTGTCAAGGTAGTTAATTGGTCAAAGTTCCCTTTTTTGTTGAGCGAGATATCATAAGATACATTTTGTATCTTATTCAAAGACATATAAAGTTCACTCCATTCATGTCTCTGCTTTACCTTTTACGAGACTTTCTTCTTTTAAAGGGTTTTCAATTTTGTAAATTCATTACTAATAAAATGCATGACTAATCTACAGCAAAGATTCATTATAACTAGTAGAAAATGTCAAGAGTATTTCAAATTTTCAAGTAATATAAACTTTACCTTGACAGGAAGAGAGTATGTAATGGCTGCCGTCTTATGTAAATTGGTTGTGTATCTGCGTCACATGATCGATATACCAGTGTCGTGTTTATGGATTTTTTTTTTTATTGAATTGGAGTCTTTGTAATGAATTTAAATTGACAATAACTTTAAAATCTGCGCTGATTAAAGATGTCGAGAGGCCGATATTTACAAATAGTATTTCAGTTTAAATAGTTTAATAATATCTTTATAGTGTCTTTTTAAAAAAAAACGTTGTTATAAAAATTGGTGTTTTTGTTTCTCTAAAAAAAATAAAGGATTTTTGTAGATTTATAGGAAGTCGGTGATGTATTTCCTTTAGAATGATCCTCAGGTACATAGAGACGAGATGTTTACCTGCACAATTAATTAACTCATTTTATGCCGTTTGAGACATCTGTCTTGAAGTGTGCTCATACATATATACAGTACGTATTTCAATGTAACGGTCGGTTAGTTATGCACACATATTCCTTTTGCAATCTTAGTTTAAAACCTTCCAAAGTAATTGGCTTCTTTTGGAGTATGACATGCAAATGTACGTAATGTATGCCAAAATAACTTCTATATGACACCCCCTTTCCAAAATGAATAATTGAATAAATGTTGAATCAACTATATCATATATTTCAACATATAATCAACGTTGATTATCAATGTTGATTCAATGTTAAGACTTCAACGTTGATACAAATTTTCAAAATCTAACATAAAATCAATGTTGAATCAACATAGAAAAACAACGTTGATTTAAAGTTTATTCAATGTTGTGTGCCTGCTGGGTAAATATTTAAACAATAAAATGCTTTCTTTGGTTGTTGTTACTGGAATGAACGGAAGCAGCTGTTGCAGAAAAAATACATAACCCGCGTAAGCGGGTTATGTAAATTTTTCTGCAACAGCTGCGACCGTTCATTCCAGTAACAACAAACAAAGAAAGACATTTTATTGTTTATATTTATATCTGTTTAAATTATCATTTTAAGTAGGATTAAAAATATTAATTATTGTGTTAATGATGCGAACGTCTTTGTACGTTTCATTGATGGAACGGCCGCTGATCAAGAAATATGTACAGGTGATATGCCTAATGTAGTTTATGCAGGGATGAAAGCAATGGGTTTTCTTAAGAAATAAAGAAGAAAATATTCAGTGGATGTAAATATTGTGTCATAATGATAGTTTCCAGTACTTTTCAATGAAAGGTTAAGATCTATCTATTAAAAAAACCTACAAACAATATTAACATTATAACATAATGTAAACAAGGTAAACTGTATAACACGGACCCCAGAAAAAATTCACAGATGTGAACAGGTGCCCGGGAGGAGTAAGCATCCCCTGTCCACCAGTTAAACCCGCTTTGAGCCATTTGGAAAAGATTGTTTAATGTAACTTGCACATGGTGTACATGTCTCCCAACCTATTAAATACCGACGGGTAGGGTACGATCAAAGTTGATTCTGAGGCAAACTACTGGTAAAATAAGTTTATAATACAGGAAATCATTAAACGAAAGCATTTCGTAAATTCTGTAATCTTATAATGACCCTATTACCCAATACAACACATCATTTGGTCACACTGTTAATATTAAAATCTGTTGTAATGACTTATTTGTCAGTATCCTTCCTCGTATAAAATCATACCGCACTATTGTCACTGTTATTTCATAAGTTGGGAGACTTTAACACCATTTGCAGATCATAGTGGAATATTACTACATAAACAAGGATAGATGACCATTAAGTCTACTCATTAGAATAGGTCCTCAGTACACCCTTGCTTGTCGTAAAAGGCGACTAAATGGGGCGGTCCTTCGGATGAGACCGTATAAACCGAGGCCCCGTGTCACAGCAGGTGTGGCACGATAAAGATCCCTCCCTGCTCAAAGGCCGTAAGTGCCGAGCATAGGCCTAAATTTGCAGCCCTTCACCGGCAATGGTGACGTCTCCATATCTTTGAAATATTCTGGAGAGGGATGTTAAACAGTATACAATCAATCAATCATAATTATAGGGAACCCCAATCCTTCAGCTGGCGTCAGAATTTAGAAAATTACACTAGGCGATGGACTTTTATATTGAATACTGTTCGTTATCGTCATATATTTTATTTGAAAGCTTATTAAATTTACTATGTACGATCCTAATTTAAACTTTAATTAATTACTTTAAAAAAAATTATTTGCCCATGGAGCCCCTTCCTCTTTAAGTGTATAAATATTCTATTTATTTGTTAACTATATTTACAAATTTCTCCAAAGGACCCCCTTCAGAAACCATACTAATTGTGTTGGCACACTCTTCCAATTCAAACGCCGCATACAATGTAACTTTTCCCTAAGTTTTTGTCCCCCGCTTTCGCGAAAGCGAGGGGACATTAAATCTCATTCGTCTGTCCGTCTGTCCGTCTGTCCGTCAGTCTGTCAGCCTGTCCGTCTGTCCGTCCGTCACAAAAACTTTAACCTTGCCCATAACTTTTGATTAAGTGTAACTATGAAATTCATATTTCACATGTGTTTTCCTTGTGACAAGACCTTTCTTTGGGTACCACCAAATTTGACCTTTTGACCTTGACCTTGGAGATAGACCCACTTTTACATAAAAAATCCTAACTTTTACTTTGGCCCTAACCTTTGAATGGTAGATACTAGGACTTTCATATTTCAAATATGGAATCTTTGTGGCAAGACCTTTCATTGGATACCAATAACCTTGACCTAATGGCCTTGACCTTGGGGATTTCTGTACATGTGATAAAACTTTAACCTTGGCCATAACTTTTGAATGGTAAGAGATAAGACTTTCATACTTCACATATTGAATCAATGTGAGAAGACCTTTCATTGGATACAAAGAACTTTGACCTTTTGACCTTGGCCTTGGAGACAAACCCACTTTTACATAAAAAATCCTAACTTTTGCTTTGGCCATAACCTTTGAATGGTAGATACTAGGACTTTCATATTTCAAATATGGATTCTTTGTGGCAAGACCTTTCATTTGATACCAATAACCTTGACCTATTGGCCTTGACCTTGGAGATTTCTGTACTTGTGTTAAAACTCTAACCTTGGCCATGACTTTTGAATGGTAAGAGATGAGACTTTCATACTTCACATATTGAATCAATGTGAGAAGACCTTTCATTGGATACAAAGAACTTTGACCTTTTGACCTTGGAGTTTGACCTACTTTAAAAAATGTCATAAAAAATGACATCTCACTCACAAAGACACCGAAAGCGGGGGACCACAATTCTTTGAATTTGCTTGTTAATCTGTAAAAACAAAAAGAACACAAACAGAAAGGGAAAAATTTTTACTCCTTAAAAACATGGACAGGTTTATATTTCTATGAAATGTTTACCCTTTATTTAACATTGTATTAAGTTATCAATGAAGACAAATGTTTTTTTTTTTTTTGAATTAGGTAACCTAATTATATATTAATTACTCAAAAAACAAGTTTTTAAAATAATAATAATGATAATGATTGGATTTATATAGCAATTTTAATTCATATTAAAAGTAAAATATTAATTTTCTTTGGTGGGCCGTTTTAAATTTTGTCTACTTTATATAATTGAAAATATTTCCTCGTTGTCTAGTGCTCTGATCAGGCTATAAATTCACGAGAAATGTATTTTATATCATCTGATCCAAGGGATCGGTGAGTTTTCGGATCAATAATTGTCCTTTGTTAGTTGTCGTTGTCGTTGTTGTGGTCCTTTTTTTTTTTACATTTTCATCTATAGATTCAATAGACTCATTTCGACCAAACGTGTCACAAGGTTTTTTTTAGTAAAGGGAATTCTATTTTTTTTTTCAAATGAAGGACAGGCCTTCTTTCATGGGGAGATAATTATGAGTTCGCGAAATGTACATGGATAAATCCTTTGTAGCTGACTACGTTGGAACTTAAATTCAAAATATATGTAAGAGAAAGATGTATAATTAAATAAAGGATCACATTGGACAGGTATTGAACTATCTGGGAAACGACATATTTGTTGCTGTTTAATTTTCGTTGCAGATAAATGTTTCCTTAGGGGCAAATTTTACTTCATACAAATCCACAAATATTGAATATGCTGAATCTACAACTCAGAAATGAATTATTGCTGCTAGCATCATTATAGAGTGTACATTACATTACTTTGCTGAAAACATTCATTTTCTTCATATGCGATTTGTTATTGTAATTTCCAAATCAGAGATTTTATCAAATACACCTACCGATTTGATATACATGTACATGCAATGGTAAATATCATCAAGAAAAAAACATACATTTTTTATCTATACTTGATGCTTCTGACCAGATATTTGATTTTCTTAACTTGTCTCTTTCTCCACTGAGCAACAAACAGATTATAATTTAAATCTGCGCAAAGTCCCACAGGTTCACTCAGTTCACAGTCTAGGTATTGGAGGAAATGTCCATTTTTATCTATAATGTGGACGCAGTGGTTATTATCATCAGTCGTAAGAATGTGACTCTGACTGTCTGTGGTGATTCCTATTGGGATGAATGGCCTGTTCTTCGGAGGAAGTGTATGTCCCGTGTACCTGAATCTCAGTCTCCCAGCATGATTTACCACCACTATAGCTCTAATGCCATTGTCGGAGACACATATATCCAAATTTCTATTCTCAGTTATACATGTATATATCGAAAAGAGAGGTTTTCTGTGATCATCATACTGAATGGTTTGTTTCTCTGTGGAACCTGAATAACGGACAATTTTCGAGTGTTTGTCATCATGACTACACATGGTAACCAGGAGGTCACCAGAGGAAGTGCTACAGACGCCACGAGGTGTCCAGTTCTGGAGTCTGATGACGTTTTCAATCTTCTTATGCTTCACAATGTTCACAGTTCTATCACTTACATCGGTGTAAACTAGATCTCCACTTCTTGTCACTGCTATGTCCCATGGTATGTTGCCTGACTTGGTTTTGATTGACTTGAGTAGTGATCCCTGATTAATGTTAAAAAGTTTCATAGTGCTGTCGTTTCCTCTTGTCCAGATTTCATTGTCACTCAGACATGCCACATTGATAAGGTATTCAAACCCCGTGTCTATATTTGTAACAATCTCTGGTTCATCAAGCAGCTGTTTGACTTGAGAAGGGGATCCAGCTTCTGATGATCTCCTTTTTGGTTTCAAGCTGTAACCATTTTCATCTAATGTTAAAGAACTTGGTAATATGATTCCAAATAGTTCACCGAATTCCTCGCCTTGAACCTCTCCTGGAATGAATTTTGGTAGAGAAGGAGCTATTTTCTGTGGAAGATTACTGTAAAGATGAACATTAGAGGTGACCCTTAATAGTTTTGACATGTCATCAGCATCTATAGTTCTTTCAATTGATTTGATATCATTCCTTATGTCAGATATGTTTTTATTTATTTCATCCAGATGTTTCTGCAGCGTTTGTAACTGTGTCTTCTTCATCTTTTCAACTTTGGCTTTAAGTTTTAATGAACGTTTTTCAATTTCTGAGTGCCAGGCTCTAGCATGTTCTGTTATTGCTAAAGAAAGATCTCCATATATCTTTTCCAAATGATTCATTCTATTTTGTACATCAGAGGCAATGTGCTGGTAGGTTGGATAAATAGTCTCAGTTAGTTCATGTCGTTCTTTGAATAATTTATCCTTTTTTTCATTCACAGCTTTCATAATTTCTGACAACTTATGACTTAGATGTTGACCAGATGCGATACACATTTTACAAACAGGAATTCTACATTTGTTACAGTACATTAAACAATGTTGCTTGTTATGATATTTACATTCAGGGTAGAGGCGGTTAGGTTTCCTGAACTGATATTTGATGAGCTTGTGGTCCGTGCATCCATCAGAGATTATGTGTACTCCAACACAAGCCTTACAGAGATTGACAAGACAGGAATCACAGTGTATCTCTACCTCGATAGTCTCACAAAGGTCACATTGCGTCATTTCTGGGACTTTGGACTCTGAAGCATAAACAGGTTTTATGTTAAGACTGACTCTTGTGATTTCAAAAGTGGACATTGTGAAATCGAGATGGAGTAAAAATAAAATCAATCATACTTTTGCAATGCTTTTAAAACTAGAGATATTATGAGCAATAAGCTCACTAAATGATACCCCCGCCTCCCATATGTATATAAATTTCATATGTATATGAAAGTTTCATCAAATTTCATTCAGTGGTATGAGAGGAGTTTAAGATAAGAGATGGGTTCCCCAATGTGTAACAGACATAAGGACGGACGTACAGACTGCTAGACGGACGTACGGACAGACGGACATCCCGATTACTATATACCCTCCCGCTCTTCAAGCGGGGGGTATAATGATTGTAAAAATGGTCTTTATTATACACACCCTATTGAAAAGTGGGAGGGAATATAGTCATCGGGATGTCCTTCCGTCTGTACGTCCGTCCGTAATTCTGCAACTCCTCCTATACCAAGTTAAATCTAATGAACTTTCACAGAATCTTTGTTACATAGTGCCATTGTACACCTGCTATATTATTTTTTCAATCCGTCCGTCCGTTACGCTTTGGGGTACCAATCTCTACCTGCAACTCCACGTGTACCACTGAATGAAACTTTCAAATAATCTTTGTTAAATAGTGTCATTGTGTATCTCTAATTTTATTAAATAAAATACTTAAATACTTTTTCTAAAGAAAGGGCGTTCATCAGCAAGATTTATGTCTTTTCCTTTCTTTTTTCTTCTTAATCTCTATTTATCTTTTTTTTTTTGGGGGGGGGATAATATAAGATAATAATCAATAATATATATTGTACATGGCCAATTATTTTATATACATGTATATATATATATATATTTGTTTAAAAAGATATTATTACAGACATTGATTTTGTACCAGGTAAATGAAACTGGGCGTAAATGTTTTAGGACAAGAAGTACAAATGAATATAAAATTGATAAAAGGAAATATAAGTTTTAAATTTCTGTTAAAGTCTTTGTCATCAGGGTGTACAAAGTGTACCTACACTATTCTTTAAGGAAATATTTTAACCGAGCAAATACTAAGCCAGTTAAAATAAGTATCACCTGATAAATTCAGTCATTGAATAATTATGATTTTATTAACAGGAAGTTATTTTTATTCAAGGGAAGGAGAGTTTGATAAATTTCAGTTTTTATTGAGAAAAGAAAACTGCCTTGTTTTCGCAGTGAAAATATCAAGTGTTTGAAAATAATTTATGGAATTGATAAATTTCAGTATTTTCTGCTAAAAATCCATGAAAAATACAAAAAATATTAAAATTAAGAAAAATGTCGATTTCGAACTATTCTCAAATGTTCCAATTAACGGTGAGCAATGAACAAAATTGTATAGCAATGTATATTGTACACTAGAAAAGAAAAATTACTCCTCCTAAAAACTTTTATCTATACTAAAACTAGATTAAGAAATGAAAAAAAATTAGTCAGAAAATGAAAATATTTATCCGTCAAAGAAGTAAAAAACTTCAAACCATGAAGTCAAAAATACGTAACAAAACGAAGTATAAAAAGCAAAAATGCCGAGACTACTGTATATGATTCACATTGGAATTAAAAAGTTACTTATTATTGATTAAATCTTATATAATTGTTAATAAGTCCCAACCAAAGCTTTCTGATTATGTTAAGAAAGAGCCTTACTTAAAAAAAATTTTTAGGATAGTCATTCAAGTCTCAACCGTATATATTTGTTCAAATGTTCCTTTTTTGAGGTTGATATTTAAACTATTTAGAAGCTTTACTCCGACACATATATTCAATTCCATTTACTTCTCTGTTTTTCTAGTCGACGCATTTTTCTGTTGACGAGTTTACAACGTAATCAGAATTCAACACTTTTAAATACTATTACAAGCAAAATGCATGTCTTATCTAGAGCAAACATTCAGTGTAATGAAGTTAAGAATATCAAGTAAATTTTGAATTTCTATTACTGTAAATATAAGCTTACGTTGCGGAGTAAGGAGTTGATTCTTTCTTCGATGGTTCAAATCCCAATGCAGGACGTGGAGACAGCTCAGGTCCCGTGTCCCTTAGATGCTGGTAAAAAAAATTACTTAGTGCTTACTGTCTAAATGTGTTGCCTTTCGCCGTCAAGTGGTTGCATTCTCATAAAATTGAAAACTTCTTGAGGCCGGCGTTGAACTACAAACAAATCAAAACTGACAGGAAAGGGATGTACAAAAGCTGAAGACTGCTTAAGTATATACTTACATCAAATGATCATTTTACCTGGTTAGGATTTCATGTTCCCTGGTCTATTTTCTGACAATAATGACATTATTTTTTATTGGAGCTTATACTTCCCTTTGTTTTTTATCAATACTAGTTTATATTTAATAACTATTTATCATTATCACCTGGGTGTACAGTGTATGATTGATATGCTAGAGTATCCACGTATGCACAGTTTCTAAAAAAAAAAATGGAAAGCTATCGTCAAATCAGTTGATGAATCAAGAATATCAACAGGCTCGTCAACATTTCGTTAACTTTATTTTTCATATGATGATTTAGTCAGAAAATACAATCTATCATTAAGTCGACTGTTGATCAACGATAGACCATTATTATACCCTCGCTTGAGTCCTTATGTTCGTTCATCTGTCTGTTACCCTTTGAGGTACCTATCACTTATCCGTAATTCCTCTTATATAAATGAATGCAATACAATGAGACATTCACATTAGTGTCATTCTACTCCGAGAATTCAAACGATTAATAATGTAATAATGTAAATCCTATGTAAACTGTAGACATGCGGTGTGGCAACGCATATTGAAAAAATTACGCACTTTTTCCAAATTGCGTTAAAATTGGGACAAAATCAACGCACTTTGTAAAAAAACTTTTCAAAGTGCGTCAAATTTGGGACAATATAAACGCATTTTGAAAAAAAAATTGAAGTGTATTAAAAGTGTACATCAACATTTTGTTTAACCATGAGGACTACGTGACTTAACGCACTTTAAAAAAAATATAATTGAAATAAAATTTCCGTACTTAGATTTTAGTAATAGACAGCACTGTTTTTCTTAGATATCTTTCAAAAGCCGATGAAATGATATATCAAAGGCCTTATCGAGAATGAGAAGAAGGCAGATAAAATGACCCACAGCCCATTTCTTTATCTTTCATATCAAAATATATGTATTCATATTTATTTTTAAAAAAATAACGTAAAATAATGAAAAAAATGAATTAGGCTTTCCATAAAAATAATGTTAACGCAACCTCGTGCATTATAGAAGAGAGGCCCAGGGTCCATATCGCTGAATAATAGCCAATTGACCAAACTTTGGTCAAAGTAACTTTATACAAGAGGCCCATGGGCCCTACCCTATCACTAGAACCCCTGACCTTAGGGCCATAAAATCAAAATTTTGGAAGAGGTATTCTTGCTCATCATAACTATGTACTTAGTTTATTTTTTTACTAGGATCAGAAAAGAATTTTTCAAAGAATTCATGTAATTTCACTATATAATCTATAGAACCCCACCCTAACACCAGAACCCTGACCCTGGGGCCATAAAATTCACAATTTTGGTAGAGGCACTCTTGCACATCATAACTATGCACTTAGTTAGTTCATTTAATACCCAGGAGCAGAGAAGATGATTTTCAAAGAATTCATGTATTTTCACTCTCTAATCAATAAAGCCCCGCTCTAACAATAGAACCCCTGACCCTGGGGCCATAAAATTCACAAATTTAGTAGAGGTACTCTTGTTCATCATAACTATGTACTTAGTTAGCTTACTTTATACTCAGAAGCGAAGAAGAAGATTTTCAAAGAAATAATGCATTTTCAATATATACTTATTTATCCCCGCCCTAGCACTAGAACACCTCACCCCGGGGCCATGAATTTCACAATTTTGGTAGAGGACTCAATGCTGATTACAATCACGCAAACAGTTTGACTGCTTGATGTCCAGGAGTAAAGAAGATTTTTAAAGATTGTATTAATTTTAGTGGTTTTTGACCCACCCCCCAGGTCCCGGGGGGGGGGGGGGGGGGGGGGCAGGGACCATGAAATTCACAATTGTTGTTCCCCTTCACTGATAGATGTTTTGTGCCAAATTTGGTTGAAGTTTGTTCAGTGGTAGCAGAGAAGAAGCTGAAAATGTTTAAATGTTAACGGACAACGCACGACGCACGACGACGGACGAAAACAGATAGCAATAGGTCACCTGAGTTTACTCAGGTGACCTAAAAATCGAATACAAATCATAAATAACAATATAAAACGCATAATTTTTCATACATCATAATACGAATCTATTTAAATGATTGTTTTTAAGTCTTATTTAATGACAATAAAAAGACGTTACGTTGTGTTGGAACATTATTTACAACGAGCACAAAAACTTGGATTTCTGTATCACGAAGGGTCATATGTAAAACGTCTATATCTCAGGTCCTGAAGTGACGTCATCAACAAAAAGTTATCCAACCAGGTTGGAATAATTAATTACCCTATCTAAAATTTGCTAGAATGTTGACTACTCTAAGTCGTGCAAAATTTATTTTTTTAAAAAGTGCGTTAACTAGGTCCCAAATTTTACTCACTTTGAAAAGGTTTTTTTTCATACTGCGTAATTTTTCAAAGTGTGTGCAAAGTAACAGTACAATCATGACTTGTTTGGGGAGGAGAGCGAAGAGAACGAGGATAATATACATGTGTATAATGATCTACGTACAAGACAAATTCATATAAGGAAACTTAATGAAGCAAAGATGTGAACGGTAGGCAGGGTATGCTTACTCATCAATGGCATCTGATCCCACCTCTGATGTTTTGAAGGCCCGTGTTTGCTTTGCTGCTATTTTATATTGTTTAATAGATTGACTTTTGAGCTTGAATGCTTTTTGTAAAGAAAGAGCGTCCATCAGCAAGATTTGTTTCTTCTTTTTTTTTTTGAAATCTCAATTTTTACTTACCTATCTCTTTGGGGGATAATATAAGATAATAATCAAAATAGTATATGTTGTACATGGCTTATTATTTTATATATATATATATATATATATATATATATATATATATATATATATATATATATATATATATATATATATATATATATATATATATATATATATATATATATATATATATATATATATATATATATATATATATATATATATATATATATATATATATATATATATATATATATATATATATATACTAGGGATGTCAACGAATAGTCGACTATTCGACTGGACCATAGATCGAATAATGAAACAACATTCGAATATTAAATAACTACAAGTAAATGGGGAGATAATGAAATTTTAATCTCAAAATTGAAAAGGGTCCTTTCTCAAACTACACAACTGTATAGAGCCCATCCTCAGACGAATAAAAGCTCAAACACAGTCACAGTATATAAACAATTTTCCACATTCTTAATATGTAAAAATTAGTAATAATTACATACCGCGATAACTGTTTCTAACCACTGACTTTTTTGTTATTGTACGTAGTAAATTATGCAATGTTATTGACTTGTACCAATTATATTTATAAACTCTGTGAATTTCAAATGCTTAGGAACACACAATATTTGCATAGCCATGAAGTTTTAAAGTTCGATAATTATTAAAACAATAATTTTACATAAAAGGCATTATGATATACAGCTTGGGTAATCATAAATTAAACAAACAGTATTTAACATTTTCATCGGAGCTGTGGATTGTGTGTACGTGTGTGGTTATATTCATTTTGTACCAGGTAAATGAAACTTGGCGTAAATGTTTAAGGACAAGAAGTTTAAATGACCATAAAATGATAAAAGGAAAAATAAGTTTTAAATTTCTGTAAAATGTCTTTGTCAACAGGGTGTACAAAGTGTACCTACACTGTACCTCAAGGAAATATTTTACCCGAGCAAATACTAAGCCAGTTTTAATAAGTATCACCTGACAAATTCAGTCATTGAATAATTCTGATTTTATTATCAGGAAGTTATTTTTTATTCAAGGGAAGGAGAGTTTGATAATTTACTGTTTTCAATGAGAAAAGAAAACTGCTTGTTTTCGTAGTGAAAATATCAAGTGTTTGAAAATAATTTTATGGAATTGATAAATTTCAATAATTTTTTGCAGAAAATCCTATGAAAATTAAAAACAAAAATATCAAAATTCAAAAAAAAAAAATGTCGCTTTAAAAATACTCTCAGATGTTTTAAATTAATGTGAGCAATGATCAAAATTGTTTTAAATTAAACAAAGTATAACACTATGTATAGTGCACTAGAAAAGAAAAATTACTCCTCCTTAACTCTAAAAAAACTTTTATTAATACTAAAACTAAGTTAAGAAATGAAAAAAAATAGTAAGAAAATGAAAATATCTATCTGTCAAAGAAGTGAAAAACTTCAAACCATGAAGTCAAAAATAAATAACAAAACGAAGTATAAAAAGCAAATACCGAGATTACTGTATGTGATTCACACTGGGATTAAATGTGAATAATTATAAATTAAATCTTATATAATTGTTGATAAGTCCCAACCAAAGCTTTCTGATTATGTTAAGAAAGAGTCTTACATGTAGTTTAAAACGATTTTTAGGATAGTCATTCAAGTTCCAACCGTATAAATTTGTTCACATGTTCCGATTTTGAGGTTGATGTTTAAACCATTTAGTAGCTTTACTCAAAGACACATATATTCAATTCCAATTACTTCTCTGCTTTACTAGTCAACGCATTTTTCTGTTAACGAGTTTACAAATCAATCAGAATTCAACACGTTTAAATACTATTTCAAGCAAAATATACTCTTCAAAAAAAGAAACGCATAGTAGAATTTTAGTGACACATTGAACATAAAGATGGTTGGAAAAATGATGTATAAATAAAACAAAAATGTGGTAAGCAATAGGAATACTATCTAAATGTCATGATTACTCAACAATTTTAAAATTATAGTCAGTTTAAGGCCATTAAAGATCAATATCGGGTATGCCCCCCGCAAACACAAATGATAGCCATAAACGGCATCTAATGGAAGCAAATGTGTGTTTTAAAAACTGTATAGGAATACTCTCTCATTCCAAATGTAGAACTTTGGTCAGCTGTTGCAGAGTTTGGGGATGTGATTGTCTTTGGCAAATCATGTCAATCCATTTTGTCCAATGCTGCTTAATTTGGATTAAATCTAGCGATTTGGATGACTGTGGCTGAAACAGGTTGTTGTTTCTTTGCAAGAATAAGTGTTTCAAACGAGCCATATGTGGCTGTGTATTGTGAGATTGCAATACGGCTCTAGGATGCTGCAAAATTGAATGGGTATGTGTAGGTAGAACATGGTTAGAATACCCTTTTCCATCAAAGTCCATTGAATTCGAACCAAATCAATCTTACTTTCCTATAATACCGTTTTCCATATCATTACACTACCACCACCAACTTTTTTAACGTTCTGGAGGCAGTTATATGTCTAACATTCATTACAAAGAATTCGCACTCTTAAACTTATAAGAGGCTTTCAGATAAACATTCTAGACTAGTAGGTTAACCAAAATGTTCAGCAGTGATGCTGGGGTCATACTCTGTTGATCTGAGATCTTCGAAGTAGATATTTGGGGTGTTGTGGGGTCGGAACAATGGCATGAATAATTCTCTTGCAATAATTTGTAGTCAACTGAAAACGGTCTTGTTAGATGATCTGTGCAGTTCAGGGATAGTTAATGCTTTAGATGACGTCCTTGCATTACATTCCTGCAGTTTACGTAATCCTCGGAAGTGATGCTGTGCTGCTGATGTCACATGTAGTCTACCATATTTTTTCCAAACATCGGGTGTTCAATGTTAATGGTTTATGTTTTATAGGTTAGATATGGTCTGTGTGTAACATTAAAACCTCTTGCAATTGTAGATTGCGGTACCCCTGCTTCCAGTCGCCCATTTTCCTTTTTGTGCTACGCAACATTCAGATGCAGCAGTTTTAGGAAGTCATTTTTCAGATAAAACCAGATTCAAAATATCGAGAACCCCCGCTTTTGATAGCCACTTTGTAACTGAAGGAATTGCATTGGAATTCAACAAATGAAATTGGGATCAAAATTTTGGGGGAAATTTTGCAAAATCAGGTCTTTGTGTCTGTGAGACTTGTAGAATAGCTGTAAAGTTAACAATTGCATTAAAAGATCATGCATTTCACTCGAATACATCGTATCCATACAAGAAAAGGTATGACAAAACTATCATACGTTTTTCAGGGCATTGTTCTTACGTTTCTTTTTTTGAAGAGTATACATGTCTAATCTACAGCAAACATTCAGCGTTATGTAGTTAAGAATATCAAGTAAATTTTGAATTTCAATTACTGTGAACAAAAGCTTACGTCGCTGAGTAAGGAGTTGATCCTTTCTTCAATTGTTCAAATCCTGTTGCACGATGTGGAGACCGGTCCTTCGGATGAGTCCGTAAATACCGAGGTCCCGTGTCGCAGTAGGTGCAAAAAAGATATACCACAGCTCACTGTCCAAATTTGCAGCCTTTCGCAAGTGGTTACATTCATATACAATCGTAAATAAAAAAAATTCGAGACTGTCGTTTAACTACAAATAGTTCAAAATTGACAGGAAGGGGGTATATAAAAGTAGAAGACTCCTTAAGGGGTTGTGTACTGAAATCAAATGATCATGTTACCTGGTTACAATATCATGTTTCCTGGTCTATTTTCTAACAATAATGACATTATTTTTATTGGAGCTAATCCTTTCCTTTATAGTTTTGTACCAAAACTAGTACATGAATTTAGGTTATCTTTACTTTTCTATATAAAATGTAAAAATGCAAAAGGTCCTCTGGCTAGATCCAAACATAATTCCACTTGTATTGCAAAGCAAAATATAAGTAATTTTACCGAGTACCTTTTGAACGCTTTCTATACATTTTCCTTGGATTACAAATAAAAAAAAGAAATTATGAAATCAAATCAATATGTAATGGTTTGTTTAAAATAATTCTATAGATATCAAACTTTTAAACATTTCCATGCTGTCAAGAAAATATAAACACCTGACAGGTAGATAAAACAGGTAGCTCTGCTTCTAGATAAAAGTCCCTCGAGACAAACCGTGTAAGGAGGAGATTGGTCGACTGATTGACCAACATTGCTAAAATCAGGTAAAAATATACAAGTAACTTAATGCTTTAAAACTGGATGAACCCATTAAGATTCAATGCACATATACCCAGGTATTGTAAATAAAAAAAATTACTTGTCTACATTTATAATTGTATATTTATTTTCTTCATTTGTGTACACATTCGTAAAAACTGGTCATTTTTGTTTCAGAATCAAATCACAAAAACTTACTATGGATCCCCGTACCACTGGTCAGGACGTGATGCGATGTGACCTGTGTGAGACCGCTGTGGTTCAGATGCACTGTGTTACATGTCTTGTCAATCTGTGTAAGGCCTGTGTGGGAGAACATATGATATATGATGAATCCAAAAAACATGAAGTTGTTAGATTCTCTCTTAGAAATTCCACACCCCTCTTCCCGGGATGTAAATATCATGACAAAGAACGATGTGAAATGTACTGTTACCCGTGTGACATTCCTGTCTGCATCAGTTGCCTTGCATCCAAGCAACATTTAGGTCATGAATTATCTAAAATCTTACAAGTTCTAGGTGAAAAGAAAGAGCTGATTATTAGAGAAGGAAATATTTTAAATGAAACAATTTATCCAACCTACCAGGACATTGCTTCTGATGGATAAACAGAATGAGTCATTTAAAAAAGGAATATGGAGATCTCTCAAAAGCCATAACAAAACATGGACAAGATTGGCACAGAGAAATTGACAAACTAGTCCAGAAACTTAAAGCTGATGTTGATGAGATGAAAAAAACACAGTTACAAACTACAGAAACATTTGAATGAAATTAACAAGAAAATTTCAAACATTCAGGATGAAATCAAATCATCAATATCTATGATAGACACTTACGACATGTCAAAACTATTTTATGTTACATCAAATGCACATATATACAGAAAACTTCCAGAAAAACTTCTACCATCTTTACCCAAATTCTTTCCAGGAAAAATTCTAGGAGAAAATTTTGGAGCCTTAACGTCCAGTTCTCTAGTATCAGATGAACATGGTTACAGCATGAAGACAACACAGATATCACCAGAAGCTGGATCCTCTCCTCCAGTCAAACAACTGCTTGATAAACCTCAGACTATCATAAACATACGTACTGGGTATGTACATCCTTTCAGTGTGGCCTGTCTGAATGATGAAAATATCTGGGGTAGTGGAACTGGCAATCTTATTAAGCTCTTCAGCACCCACAATCCTGATTACCCACAACTTAAATCAATCTGTACTAGATCGAGGAACACGCCATCTGACATAACAGTGACCAAAAGTGGAGATCTAGTCTATTCTGATTTCATTAATAATACTGTGAACATTGTGAAGAATGAGAAGATAGAGGAGGTGATCAGACTAGAAAACTGGAGTCCTCAAGGTATCTGTAGTACCTGCTGTGGTGACCTCCTAGTTACCATGTTCAGTAATGATGGCAAACAAACAAAGGTTGTTCGATACTCTGGCTCCACAAAGAAACAAACCTTTCAGTTTGACGATAAAGGTAAACCTCTCTATTCATCAGGTAGGTGTGACCGATTTATAACTGAGAACAGGAACCTGGATGTCTGTGTGTCTGACAGTGATGCTGAAGCAGTAGTGGTGGTCAATCAGGCCGGGAAACTGAGATTCAGGTACACTGGACATGCTCGTCCTACCTCTTTAATTTGTGAACCTATCAGTTTACAAGGAATCACCACAGACAGTCAGAGTCATATCCTTACAGCTGATTATAACAATCACTGTGTCCACATCATAGACCAGGATGGACAGTTTCTCCGTTACATAGACTGTGTAAGTTATCCCTGGGGACTGTGTACAGATACAAATGACAATCTGTTTGTTGTTCAATGGGGAAGGCGAGATGTGAAGAAAATCAAATATCTGCAATGAAATGAGCACTTGTTGTGTTGCATTCTTTGTAATTAGCGGTCTATATACATATGTATACAATATCACTATAAAATATCAATATGCTGAAGTATTGTAACAGGCATAATATTTCAGTATTTTATCTTTAAATTATTCATCCTTTTTCATTAAAATTTATAAGTGTTATACTGTGATTCATTTATTAAGAAAATTGAAATGTTGTTGAATTTTAAAAGAATATCAGTTTTATATTGTAATTTACTGAAAAACTTAATAAGGGGTACCAGTATTTTTAATAATTTTTTGGCATGTTAAAGGAAATAGGAAACATAAATAAATGAACCCCAAAAGATCATTTTTTTTGCCAAAGATTAAACACTGGACACAGAGGTGGGAACAGGTACCATGGAAGAGTAAATACGACTGTCGATCGGTGTCGTATAGTGAGACTTTCCCCATAGTGAGGCTTCCCCCGGAAGGCTAACTATATAGTGAGTCATCCCCCGGAAGGCTGGCTATATAGTGAGCCTTCCCCCCGGAAGAATGCTTTTATAGTGAGACTTCCCCCACGGAAGTTTCAATATATATCCGTTCTTCCGGGGGGGGGGAGGCTCACTTTATAGCCAGCCTTTCCCCATTCATAGCGAGACTTCCCCCTCTTATTATAGTTTCTGGAACATTGTTTTATTATTTTAAAAAATTCTAACAGTGTTAATTTATGACGAAATTATCTTCCATATAGGTACACGTATTTATATATTTATTTTATATACATGAACAGTTTGAATATCGTTTTAACTGTTTGATATCCATTATAATATATGCATGTACATTGAGATGATATAATATACATGTATATAATATGTACATGTGTATACCCTTTCCTTTACATGTATTGATAACGAATAATTTGATTAGTTCACGAGTCACTTATATGAAATGTTCTGAATGTTTTCAGCATTGGAATAAAAAAAAATGATAGCATAGTTTTGTTTGTGTGTACAAACATTAGCTATTTACACATTAGATATGGTTCAACCGATTTAATAAAAAATGTAGCGAAAAGAAGAAACATTTATAGTACTTTAAGACTATGCGAGAAATAAAATAATTATGCTCGAATGTGAAAAATGAAACATGCATTCCAAATCTCAATTATGATTTTCTTATTTCCTAACTGTATTTATCGAAAGTTTCATGTACATAAAGTTAAAATCTACTTTAAGGATAATTTTAAGCATCATTTAATAGATATGCTGAAATGTAAAATTGATTGGAAAATATTTCATTTACTTTATTCACAGGGACGTTTACAATATTAAAGACTTCATAGAACAGTGGTTCGACAAAAATTTACACTGCAGCACATAAATCTCAGATTTTTATGGAAGGTCCGTAAATGCATATATCTTGTCAATGATTCAGGGGTGCATTTTGACTATGTCTACTCGCTGTCCAATTAAGTAATTAAAAGATTTCATGGTGATTCTCCTTGAGTTTTTGTTACTTATTTAAAAAGTTGAATGGCACATGCTGATTCAAAATTACCAGTATGTTTCGCCCCACGCATTAAAACATTGTATTCTTATTTTCAATTTGTGTGGAATAGCAAACAACTTATTGGTTTGCACATGTGTTGAAGTTAACAAATGAATTATGTTTGTTATTTTTTTTTAATTCATATTCAAATATCTTATCTCAATCAAGTAATGACTGATTCATACATGCACGCTCTGTTTTTCATCGTATAAAGTGTAAAAATATGAAATTGCGACAAACAGATCTACACACTAAAATTGACAATTAACCATCTCCGACTTTAGTGCAAAATAGTTTAGTCAAATAAGTGACAATTGCAATGCAGTATATATATATATATATTTTATTTTACGTATTTTTTATACGTGTATTCAAACATCCCATCGTCCAAACCCATTTTTAAAACACGACCAAAATGAAAAAATATTTGTATGAATTGATGTATGGGTGTGATGAGCAGGGGATGCACATATTTTCATGCAATTTTTCCGGTCATGAATTTAAAAAAAAGGGGGGGGGGATTAAGCCCAATTCATGCATCCGGTGCCTTTGCTAAAATATGCATGACAGTCAGAATTTGATTTAAAGTGTATTAGAACCCAAATCCATCTTATTTGATTTTATAGTGATGTAATTTCTTTAGTATCACGCATATTTACTTTCAAAATGAAATACAAATCCTTAAAAAAATACTTCATAAAATTTATAAAAGTTAAAAGGTCCCTTAAGCATATACATTAAATATTAAATTATGTCAATGTATATAAAATCCAAATCGAAAACCGAAGGGGGAAGATTCACTATGGTCATAATTGGGGGAAGTCTCACTATATAGACATATTTCCCCCCAGGGGGAAGACTCACTATATAGCCAGACTTCCGGGGGGAAGTCTCACTATGGCGGAAGTCTCACTATATAGACATATTTCCCCCCAGGGGGAAGACTCACTATATAGACAGACTTCCGGGGGGAAGTCTCACTATGGCGGAAGTCTCACTATATAAACATATTTCCCCCCAGGGGGAAGACTCACTATATAGACAGACTTCCGGGGGGAAGTCTCACTATGGCGGAAGTCTCACTATATAGACATATTTCCCCCAGGGGGAAGACTCACTATATAGACAGACTTCCGGGGGGAAGTCTCACTATGGCGGAAGTCTCACTATATAGACATATTTCCCCCCAGGGGGAAGACTCACTATAGACAGACTTCCGGGGGGAAGTCTCACTATGGCGGAAGTCTCACTATATGACACCGGTCCTATCTACCGTGTGATCATTGTCGTGATCAAGAAATAACCAAAAAGAAATCCATAGTGAATCTAGTATGTAAAATAATTGCCTACCAATTTGTTTGAAAAACTCAAGTTAGTATTCGACTATATAATACCGGTAATATTTTGTATTTCTAACAAGGTCATTTTATCATCAATTTAGTTTGCAAAATGCTGACTTAAATGAAACTGTTAATATTCTTGTTTCATCAACTTATTTTTCAATATTTCGTTTCGTTTAGAAATTGTTCACACTGAGGGAATGCGCTTGCTTAATGAATCAACTACGAGATATATAAACCCCATACGCGGTTGATAATAGGGTAGTATTTCAAAAGCAAAGGAAGTTGACGACAGAAAAAATTCGGTTATCAAGTTTCTCATTTTTGATGTTTTGTTATTATTTATCGTAAATGTTTTTAGGAAACCATCCAAAAAAGTATTCAAATTGTCAGACTCGGCTTTGGCTTTCTTGAATTCAAAGGAATAAGTTGAAGTAATATAGTAGTGAAAATGAAATTGTTTATAAAATACCGTCTATACTTCTAAAGGTAATATTGAAGGTCACAGCAAGAGCTTCTTTTTTTCTTTTTAAAATAAATCCTTCTTCTAATAAAAAAGTAAAGGTAACGACCAGCAACGATTTCATAAAAACTACATTCGAGTGTATATAAAAATGTTGGTCCTTGGGACAAGGATTTTACTAAAATATAGATTTAATATGAATGAATTTTATATAAAAAATTAAGAGTCATTCTCTGTAAGGATCTCGGATGCCGCTCAAACGAATTCTCAGAAGAAGCAGGGCTAGACGTTACATTTTGATAAGCCAACATTCCAAGTGGTGTGATGTGATATATAATTGGCCCTTGGGTCGCCGAGTAAGGAGTTGATCCTTTCTTCAGTGGTTCAAATCCTGGTGCACGATGCGGAGACAGGTCCTTCGGATGAGTCCGTAAAAATCGAGTTCCTGTGTCGCAGTAGGTGCAAAAAAGATCTCCCACAGCTTGACCACTGTCCAAATTTGTAGCTTTTCGCAAGTGGTTGCATTCATATACTATCGTAAATGAAAAATTCTCGAGACTGGCGTTAACCTACAAAGAAATCAAAACTGACAGGAAGAGGGTACATAAAAATAGAAGACTCCTTAAGCGATAGTTTACTACAATCAAGTGATCATTTTACCTGGTTAGGATTTCATGTTTCCTGGTCTATTTTCTAACAATAATGACATTATTTTTTATTGGAGCTAATACTGTAAAATCACCATATTTTCATCGGGTCAAATTTTCGTGGTTGAAGGAAAAAATGCTGGTTCGTGGGGATTTGATTTCGTTGGTGAAGACCTTTTTAGTAGTTGTGCATATGAAAATTTACATTTCGTGGTGGACATAAATTCGTGGGTCTCTTCATACCATGAAAACAACGAAAATTAAACCCCAACGGAAATTAGTGATTTCACAGTACTTCCCTTAGTTTTGTAGCAATACTATACATGTATTTAATAACTATTCATCATCATCACCCGGGAGGAAAGTGTATGATTAATATGCTAGAGTATCCACGTATGCACAATTTCTAAAAAAAAAAATGGAAAGTTATCGTCAAATCAGTTGATGAATCAAGGATATCAACAGCCTCGTCAACATTTCGCTTACTTTATGTTTCATATGATGATAAGTCAGTAAATACAATCTATCATTGAGTCGACTGTTGATCAATGATAGACCATTATTATACCCTCGCTTGAGTCCTTATGTTCGTCCATCTGTCTGTTATCTTTTGAGGTACCTATAACTTATCCACAACTCCTCTTATACAAATGAATGCTACTTTGAGAATTCAAACGATTAATGTTTCTGCATAACATAAATCCCATGCAAACAGCAGACATGCGGTGTTGCAACGCACATTGAAAATATTACGAACTTTTTTTTTCAAAGTGCTTTAAAATTGAGACAAAATCAACGCATTTTGTAGAGAAAAAAATTTAAAGTGCGTCGAATATTGGACAATATTAACGCACTCTGAAAAAAATTAAAGTGTGTTAAAAGTGTACATATACATTTTGTTTAACCATGGGGGCTACGTGATTTAACGCACTTTGAAAAAATATATTTGAAATAAAATTTCTGGACTTAGATTTTAGTTATAGACAGCACTATTTTTCTTAGATATCTTTCGAAAATCCGATGAAATTATATATCCAAGATCTTATCAAGATTAATGAGGAGAAGGCAGATAAGAGGACTTACAGTCTATTTATGTATCTTTCATATCAAAATATATGTATTCATATTTCTCTTTAAAAAATTAACGTGAAATAATGAAAAAAAATGAATAAAGTTTTCCATAAAAATAATGATAACACAGAAGAGAGGCCCATGGTCCATATTGCTGAATAATAGCCAATTGACGAAACTTTGGTCAAAGTAACTTTATAAAATCGAATACAAATCATAAATAACAATATAAAGCGCAATATTATTCATACATCATAATATTAACCTATTTAAATGATTGTTTAAGTCTTATTTAATGTCAATAAAAAGACGTTTCGTTGTGATGGAACGTTATTTACAACGAGCACAAAAACTTGGATTTCTGTATCACGAAAGGCCATATGTAAAACGTCAATATCTCAGGTCCTAAATAGTGACGTCATCAACAAAGAGTTATCCAACCAGGTTTGAATAATTAATTATCCTATCTAAAATTTGCTAGAATATTGACTACTCTAAGTCGTGCAAAAATTAATTTTTAAAAGTGCGTTCACTAGGTCCCAAATTTAACTCACTTTGAAAAGGTTTTTTTTTCAAACTGCGTAATTTTTCAAAGTGCGTACAAAGTAACAGTACAATCATGACTTTTTTGGAGGGGAATACCCAACCAGATATTAAGTCCCAATCAAAAACGTTTTAAACCCCCCCCCAAAAAAAATCAAGCATTATTTTCTCCAATCTGAAAACTGAAAACTATTTCTTTGGGGAGAAAGTACTTAGAAGAGTTGAGTTCATAAGTCTATATATAAATGCATTCATTTTCTCCTTTTATGTAAATATTCAAAAAAATGAATCGTTTTTGTCTCAGTGTCGGATCAGGAAAAGTCACTATGAACCCCCGTACCAGCTCCCAAGACGTGATGCGATGTGACCTGTGTGAGACTGCTGTGGTACAGATGCACTGTGATACATGTCTTGTCAAACTGTGTAGGGCCTGTGTGGGAGAACACATGGTTTCTGATGAATCCAAAAAACATGACGTTTTTAGATTCTCTCTTAGAAATTCCACACCCCTCTACCCTGGATGTAAATATCATGACAAAGAACGATGTGAAATGTACTGTTATCCATGTGACATTCCTGTCTGCATCAGCTGCCTTGCATCCAAGCATCAATTAGGTCATCAATTATCAAAAATCTTACAAGTTCTAGGTAAAAAGAAAGACATGATCATTTGTGAAAGAAATATATTAAATGAGACAATTTACCTACCAGGACATTGCATCTAATGTTCAAAACAGAATGAGTCAGTTAGAAAAGGAATATGGAGAGATATCAACAGGCATAACAAAACATGGAGAGGACTGGCACAAAGAAATTGACAAACTTGTCCAGAAACTTAAAGCTGAAGTTGATGAGATAAAAAAACACACAGTTACAAACTCTACAGAAACATCTTAATGAAATTAACAAGAAAATTTCAAACATTCAAGATGAAATCGAATCAACAAAATCTATGATAAACACTTACGACATGTCAAAACTATTTTATGTTACATCAAATGCACATATATACAGAAAACTTCCAGAAAACTTCTATTTTCTTTACCAAAATTGTTTCCAGGAAAAATCCTAAGAGAAAATTTTGGAGCCTTAACGTCTAGTTCTCTAGCATCAGATGAACACGGTTACAGCATGAAGACAACACAGAAATCACAAGAAGCTGGATCCTCTCCTCCAGTCAAACAGCTGCTTGATAAACCTCAGACTGTCATTGACATGCGTACTGGGTGGCCTGTCTGAATGATGAAAATATCTGGAGTAGTGGAACTGGCAACCGTATAAAACTCTTCAGCATACACAATCCTGATTACCCACAACTTAAGTCAATCTGTACCAGATCAGGGAACACACCATCTGACAGCATTGACCAAAAGTGGAGATTTAGTCTATACTGATTTCAATAATAATACTGTGGACATTGTGAAGAATGAGAAGATAGAAGAGGCGATCAGACTAGAAAACTGGAGTCCTCAAGGTATCTGTACGTAGTACCTCCTCTGGTGACTTCCTGGTTATCATGATCAGTGATGATGGCAAACAAACAAATTTGTTTGATACTCTGGCTTAACAGAGAAACAAACCTTTCAATTTGATGATAAAGAAAAACCCCTCTATTCATTGGGTCGATCTGAACGATTTATAACTGAGAACAGGAACCTGGATATCTGTGTGTCTGATAGTGAGGCTATATCAGTAGTGGTGGTCAATCAAGCCGGGAAACTGAGATTCAGATACACTGTACATGCTCGTCCTACCTCTTTAATTAGTAAACCTATCAGTTTACGATGAATCACCACAGACAGTCAGAGTCACATCCTTACAGCTGATTATAACAGTCACTGTATCCACATCATAGACCAGGATGGACTGTTCCTCCGTTACATAGACTGTGTAAGTTATCCCTGGGGATTGTGTAAAGATACAATTGACAATCTATTTGTTGCTCAGTGGGGAAGGCAAGATGTGAGAAAAATCAAATACCTGCAATGAAATTAGCACTTCATTGTGCTGCATTCTTTGTAATATTTATATGCAATATCACTTTAACATGATTATCAATATACTGAATTATTGTAACATGCAATAATACTCCAGTATTTTATCTTTAAATATTTATTATGAACGTTCAATACATTTTTATCAGTGTAATACTTGATTCATTTATTAATGAAATTGTAATATCAGTGTTATAGTGTAATTTGCTGAAAAACTTCCCTTAATAAGGGATACCAGTATTTTAAATAATTTTCTCTGGCATATCAATGGAATAAATGAACTCGAAGAAATCGTTTCCTGCCAAAAATTAAACACTGGTCTTCTCTAAAACAAAGAGGTGGAAACAGGAACCATGAGTAAGCATCCCCTGCCGACCGGTCACACCCACCGTATGCTCCTTGTCATGATCAAGAAATAACAAAATAAAAATCATTAGTCAATCTAGTGTGTAAATTAATTGCCTATCAATTTGTTTGAAAAACCCCAGTCAGCATTCGAATTAAAAATACTTTGTCTTTGCTGACAAGGTCATTTTTATCGACCATTTAACTTGCCAAATACTGACTTAAAGGAAACTGTTAATATTCTTGTTTCATCAATTTATTTGTCTAAATTTCGTTTCGCTTAAGAAATCGTTTGCACTGAGGGAATGTGTATGCTTTTGGATCAACTGGGAGATATATAAACCCAGATGCGGTGATAATGGAATATTGTTAAAAAAGCCAAGAAAGGTGAGGACAGAAAAATTGGGGCCATCAAGTTTCTCAAAAAGTTTTGTTATTATTTTATCGTTAACGTCTTTTTTTTAAGAAACCATCCCCAAAACTAGAAACATGACCATAGAATATGAATGCCCCGTCGAGGGTATATTATCAATGCAACATGAAAATTTCTATGAAATTTGATCAGAATATCTTGAAAAGTGATGCAGTTGAAGTGCTTCTTCAGTATGTATCATCATATGAAGATTGACACTACTTTCAAAAAAGTGAGGTCAAGGTCAAATGAAAGGTCAAGGTAAAAAATGTTGATGCAATTGAAAAGTTCTCATCAGAATATATCAGCATATAAAGTTGAAAAAAAAATATGAATGGTTTCTTTCAAACTCAAACACAGTTTGATAAAAGTGAGGTCAAGGTAAAAAATCTTGATGTAGTTGAATAGCTTACATCAGTATGTATCAGCATATTAACTTTGATGCCAATTTAGGAAAGGTAAGGTCAAGGTCAAAGTAAAGGCCAAGGTCATTGATGCAGTTGAATAGCTCTCATCAGTATTTGAAGTTTGATAAAATGTCTTGAATGGTTTCTTTCAAAGTGAGCTAAACACTAATTTAAGAAAAGTTAGGTCAAGGTCAAAGGAAAGGTCAAGGTAAAAGAAAAGTTGATGCAGTTGAATATCTCTCATTAGTATGTATCAACATGTGAATTTTGATAACACCATCTTGAATGGTTTCTTTATAACTGAACTAAACACTATTTATAGAAAGTTAGGTTAAGGTAAAAGGAAAGGGCAAGGTAAAAAAATATATGGATACAGTTGCATAGGTTTCATCAATATCTATCAGCATACGTAGTTTGATGAAAATATCTTGGATAGTGTCTATGAAACTGAGATTTGAACAAAGCTAAACACAAAGTGTAATGGAAGGACAGACGGAGGGACAGCTAGACGGAAGACGGACATGGCAAACACTATATGCCCCCGGCCATATTCATGACGGGGCATAAAGAATCCGATTTTCAGACTCAACTGTGGCTTTTTTCAATTTTAAAGAGACAAATTGAAGCAATATAGGAGTGAAAATGAAAATGTTGATAAAATATCGTCTATACATCTAAAGTTCACAGCAAAAGCTAGCTTTATAATATATATATTCTGCTTATAATGAAAAAGGTTAAGATAACAAACAGCAACGATTTCGTTAAAGCTTCAAGCAATCTAATTCTATGAAAAGTCAAAGCGGGAGCTATCTTCTGACGTTCCTAGATCATAAGTGGAAGTCTTTAAAATGCATGTTTATGTCATAAAAAAAACTATTCACAAGAGCCTATGGGTCTTAATGCTCAAAGGAGTCCCTTTAAAGAACATTTTATTGTGAATGCAGTATGCTCCCCTGTCTTAGTTTCACAGTTACCCAAGGGTCAAATATATACAATATCATACCACTTGGAATGTTGGCTTATCAAAATGATAACGTCTAGCCCTGCTTCTCTTGAGAAAATTTTAATTAATTTTTATTTTATATACATATATATATATATATATATATATATATATATATATATATATATATATATATATATATATATACATATATATATATATATATAAAAAGCACTAAAAATGACCAACGACACGAACAATAAAAATTGTCAAATTTTCGGGCCGCCCTGTCCCTTACTCAGGACAGAGAAAAAAGTTAAAAAGTGTCTCTTTTTCCTTTGTTCTTATGACTTTTTAACTTTTTTTCTTTGTCCTGAGGAATGGACAGGGCGTCCCGAAAATTTGACAATTTTTATTGTTCGTGTCGTTGGTCATTTTTAGTGCTTTATATAAATTTCCATCCATGACTTTGTATCTACTTGGTAGATCAGACATTTAGGATATACAGTGTTGTTGGTTTTTTAGTGCTTTATATATATATTCCTAGTCCCAGGGACCAACTCTTTAATATACACTCGAATGTGTACTACATGATGGTGTTGATGATAATTAATATGACAAATATGGCTTTGTTGATGTCTTACTAGCCGCCAGTGACTGTTTTCCCCGACTGTCGGCCTAGGAACAATTGAAACCTAAACAAAAAGGCTGTAGCCCGCTGATGTCATATGGTTCTAAACTGAGTTAACATTTCATTCAGTAAAGGAGTATAATGAAACAGTTGTTGACAGGATTTTCGGGAAACAGTTGACCTGTTGGACCAGAGTGCAAAATGTTTCTCGCAGCCTACGGCCTTGGGCAACAGCATGCACTTCGGTCCAACAGATCGACTGTTTCCTTCTGCCCCTGTCAACAACTGTATAATATTTTTCTTGAAAGTCTCTTTCTTGATCAACAGGTATAATTATCTGACGGGTAGATAAGTTTGTCACATGATCATAGTGACATGCACGTGTCTATCTAAAATGACTATCATTTCTTTATGTATTCAAAGTCCTTTCGATCATTAACACCTGATATAGGTACATAATCCAGGTGTGTCACATGGTCTGAATAAAGGGGTACCTTGTAGACTGTACCTAGAGGTTAGAAGACAGGACAGCCACCAATACAGGTATTGTAGGTTTTATAAATGATATATTTATCTTTGAGTAATTACTCAAGACATTTTGTGAGCAGCAGAGCTATAGCGTTGTGGTTTTATATAGTAGTCTTTGGTCAGCTAAAAAAGCACCTTAAAATTTTGTATTAATTGCTTAAAGAAGGGTATGGAGATAATAAACAGTATTAAATATCAAAGTCCATAAAGCAAAACAAAATAGGAACAGATCAAACACGGACCTTCGAAACATCAGAGGTGGGATCAGGTGACATGAAAAAAGGGCATCCCCTGCTGACCAGTCACACATGCCGTGTGCTCCCTGTCATGACCGGAAAATAACGGAAAAATCCGTCGTCAATTCAGTGTATAAATAATGGACTAACAATTAGTATGAAAAATGTCAGTCAGCATTTGTCTCAATGATAAATTGTATTTGCTGACAAGGTCATTGTATTGACCATAGAATTGACGAAATGATGACTTTAAACGAGACTGTTGATATTCTTGTTTCATCAACTTGCTTACCAATAATTAAATAATATAGTAGATTGTTGGAATACCTGGTCTCCAAAACCACATAGATATTGTCAATCAGAAACTCAAGCATCTCTATGAGGTCAACTTCAGAGTACTTGTGTGTGCAATCAGAATGTGTTTCAACAAAATAATTCTGCAAATGACCAGTGATATAGTATACAGAATGGGCGATGTCCCAAAAATCTGGTGATGTAAAGGAATAAACATAAGAAAAGGGATTTTTTAAATTTAAAATTAGTTAAAAATGATAAGAAAATCCTTATAATCTCGGTACCCTTTTGCCAACTATGGTGGACAAAATTTCAGTACCATTATCTATCTTGTATATTAGATATTTGTGCATCTATACATCTATAGATTGTAGTTGCACAACAGTACATATTCTATTTCTCCTTGTAAAAAATCAAAAAGAAAATGTGTTGAATTAAAAAGCATTCATGCTTCAGATCCACAAATCTAATGATGGACCCCCGTACCAGTGCGCAGGACGTGATGCGATGTGACCTGTGTGAGACCGCTGTGGTACAGATGCACTGTGATACATGTCTTGTCAACCTGTGTAAGGCCTGTGTTGGAGAACATACGATTTCTGTTGGATCCAAGAAACACGAAATCGTCTCATTTAAGCTTCGAAAAGCCATTCCCATATACCCTGGATGTGTATCTCATGTCAAAGAACGATGTGAAATGTACTGTAATCAATGTGACATTCCTGTATGTATCACCTGCATTACAGCTAATCATCATCTGGGTCATGAATTATCTAAAATCGCGGAATTTTTTTATAAAAGAAAGGAAATAATTATAAAAGAACGAAATGAATTAAAGGAAACAATTTCTCGAACATACCAATACATTGCCTCTGATGTGCAAAACAGAATGAGTCAGTTAAAAAAGGAATATGCAGATCTCTCTATAGCCATAACAAAACATGGAGAGGACTGGCACAGAGAAATTGACAAACGTGTCAAGAAACTTAAAGCCGAAGTTGATGAGATGAAAAACACACAGCTACAAACTCTACAGAAACATTTGGATGAAATAAACAAGAAAAATTCGCACATCAAGAATGAACTTGATTCAGTTGATGTTGTAGTGGATTCTAATGACATTTCAAAACTATTAAGTGTCAAATCAAATTTACATATTTACAAAACTCTTCCACAAAAACTTGAACCAAATTTACCCAAATTCATTCCAGGAAAAAACTTTGAAGAAGAACTTTATAAACTGTTTGGAGCCTTATCATCAAGTTCTTTAACATCAGATAAACATGGCTACAGCATGAAGACAACACAGAAATCACCAGAAGCTGGATCCTCTCCTCCAGTCAAACAGCTGCTTGATGAACCAGAGACTGTCACCACCATAGATACTGGGTATGGAGGGCTTAAAAATGTGGTCTGTCTGAGTGATGAAGAAATCTGGACAAGAGGAAGTGACACCATCATGAAACTCTACAGCATCAATCAGGGATCACTACTCAAGTCAATCACACTTAAGTCAGGAAACATAACAAAAGACATGACAGTGACAAAAAGTGGAGACTTAGTATATACTGATACCAGGGATAGAACTGTGAATATTGTGAAGAATGAGAAAATAGAGGAGTTGATCAGATTACAGAATTGGAGACCTCACGGTGTTTGTAGTACCTCCTCTGGTGACCTCCTGGTTATCATGGACAGTGATGATGACAAACAAACAAAAATTGTCCGTTACTCTGGCTCCACAGAGAAAAAAGCTATTCAGTTTGATGATAATGGTAAACCTCTCTATTCATCAGGTGGTTATTACAGATACATAATTGAGAACAGGAACCTGGATATCTGTGTGGCTGACAGTAAAGCTAAAGCAGTAGTGGTGGTCAATCAGGGTGGGAAATTGAGATTCAGGTACACTGGACATACTCCTGCTCCAAACAACAAATTCTATCCACTAGGAATCACCACAGACAGTCAGAGTCACATCCTTACAGCTGATTTGAACAATGACTGTGTCCACATCATAGACCAGGATGGACAGTTCCTCTGTTACATAGACTGTGGACTGAGTTATCCCTGGGGACTGTGTACAGATACAAATGACAATCTGTTTGTTGCTCAACATGAAAACAGACAAGTGAAGAAAATCAAATATTTTAAGTAAATACATCACTGTATTGTATATTACTATAATAAAACAACAAATTTATGAAATTACAAATTAATATTAATTTACTGATAATTATCATCTGCAACGTAAAACTTGGAGTATATCATTTTTTTTCAGGATTTTTTTTATATTATAGTTAATATTATTATAATATATATTTTGAAGGGAGTTTTAAACATTTAATTTGTTTATAAATGTTTTATCATCATACTTATTAGTAAATACTAGGGATGGCAATTTGTAACCGGTTAACCGATTACTCAGTCGGAATGATAGCAATCGGTTTGAAAATCTGAAATTGATTAGTGAGCAAAATTAAAATATATGTGAAATAAATTTTTTAAGGTAGGATTCTTCTCATATTTCTTGTATTTAAAAATCAATGAAATTTTCACAGAATCAAGAAGACAATATCAGTAAGTGATAGTTTCAGTGAAATAAATCTGACCGGTTTATATGAGAGGCAAGGTCAGGTCAACGTCATTAACTTTTTCCATGACATTTAGAATAAAAAATACTGTTGCAAATCATGTGATACCTACTTCTATTTCAAAAGGTAAAAGATTGTTCTTTATGCATAAAAAGATATTACTATATCGGGTATATAGCATGATATTACCAAAATTTCTTAAACAATGTAACTAAACTGGATATTGGCTAATCCGAATTTTCTCTGTTTTTCTGAATTTTTTAGGATATATTAGTTATTTTCATATGCTTCCTATATTTAACTTTTTCTTATTTTCACATATAATAAAGAAGTCTTAAAATACACAAAATGATACAAAAACAAAAAGTTTTGATCGTTTACTAAGAGAAAAAAAATACTTTCATGGATTTTTGGCTCAAATCTGTACTTTAATTGGAAGCATTTAAAAGCCAACATAATTCTAGTTTCTTTGAAAAATTTTATTTTATTTTATTTATTTTGAAAGTTTAGTCCCTTATCATTAATTTTACTTACATTTGAAAATTTCTTCAAGTCTTTGATGATATCAAAATTATAACTTAATTCATTGCTCTATTGTAATTTTATGAGGCAGAAAAGCAGATATTTTCATACGCCACCATTCCGCCAAAAATATAGTCCCTGCTAGTTTTCAAACGCAGTTTACCATTTCTATTTTAAGTTGTACAATTGTGATGAGGAACGAAAAATATGGTCTTTTAAATCCCGTACAGCTAAATATATCAGACATATAAGTAAATATATAAATATACTTTGAATGTTTTATCTAGTCAGAAACCAGAGAAGAATCCTACCTTAACTTATTTTTGAAAAAAAAATTATTTTTAAAATAGATATATCTGCACAAATGTTTATCACAGAAAAGTGTAGCTCAAACCAATGGTCAACTTAAATTTAATTGATTCAGTTTTATCGGAAGATTATATTATACAATTCATGTACTAAATTTTCTTGAACAGTATAGTTTTTAAATTGACCCATAATTGACTGTGAAAGGCTTGAAAGTCACGAATCATTTTAAATGAGCTTTTTATGAACTCGCAAAACTATATACAGGGAAATTTTCACTCCCATTTCATGCGCTTGCTTTTTGAATCAACTTTCTAAAATAGGACGATTTCATATAAAATTTCTTATGTGAATGGGCGATTTCAAGATACAAGGGTGCAACGCAAAATGTAATAACAAAGCAAAATGGAATAAACCTGGATTATAAATTTTGCGCATTTTGCGTCGGAAGTTGAGCGCAAAATGTAATAACGCAAAATGTAATACCAAATTACATTTTGTTGTTATTTTATAACCCGCTTTTTCGTTGTTAAATTTTGCGCTTCATTGTGTTGTATTCTTTGTAATTAAACGATAAATATATGCAATACCCGGTATCACTTTAACATTATTATCAATATGCTGAAGTATTGTAACATGCAATAATATTCCATTATTTTATCTTTAAATATTTAATATCAATGTTCATTACATTTTTATCAGTGTAATACTGTGATTCTTTCATAAATAAAATTGTAAATTTGTTGCGTTGTTAAAGAGAATATCAGTAATATATTGTAATTTGCTGAAAAACTTCCCTTAATAAGGGGTACTAGTATTTTAAATAATTTTCTCTGACATATCGATGGAAAGGTAAAAGAAATAAAATAAAAAATCATTTTCTGCCAAAAATTAAACACTGGTCTTCTCTAAAACAAAGAGGTCAAATGAAAGGTCAAGGTCACAAAATATGCTTGATGATCAAGAAATAACAAAATAAAAATTCGTAGCCAATCTAGTGTGTAAATTAATTGCCTACCAATTTGTTTGAAAAACTCCAGTCAACATTCGACTTAAAAATACTTTGTATTTGCTGACAAGGTTATTTTTATCAACCACTTAACTTGCAAAATATTGACTTACAGGAAACTGTTAATATTCTTGTTTCATCAACTTATTTGTATATATTTCGTTTCGTTTAAGAAATCGTTCGCACTAAGGGAATGCGCTTGCTTTTTGAATCAACTGGGATATATTTAAACTCCATACGCGGGTCATAATGGAATATTGTTACAAAAGCCACGGAAGTTGATCACAGATAAAATGGGGGCAATCAAGTTTCTCAAAAAGTTTTGTTGTTATTTTATCGCTAACACAATCCCCTAAACACTACATGTCTAAGAAAATGTGTGGTATATTAGTACTGCAACATGAAAATTTCAATGAAATTTGATCAGAATATCTTGAAAAGTGATGCAGTTGACTTGCTTACATCAGTATGTATCACAATATGAAGTTTGACACTAATTTCAGAAAAATTAGGTCAAGGTCAAATGAAAGGTCAAGGTCAAAAATGTTGATGCAGTTGAAAAGCTCTCATCAGAATGTTTCAATATATAAAGTTGACAAAATTATAAATAGTTTCTTTAAAACTGACATAAACACAATTTGATAAAAGTGAGGTCAAGGTAAAGTGAAAGGTCAAGGTCAAAAATGTTGATGTAGTTGAATTGCTTACATCATTATGTATCAGAATATTTAGTTTGACACTAATTTAGGAAAGGAAATACAAGGTAAAAGTAAAGGCCGAGGTCAAAATGTTGATGCAGTTGAATAGCTCTCATCAGTATATGAAGTTTAATAAAATGTCTTGCATCGTTTCTTTCAAACTGAGCTAAACACTTATATAAGAAAAGTGTGGTCAAGATCAAAGGAAAGGTTATGGACAAAAATGTTGATGCAGTTGAATAGTTCTCATCAGTATGTATTAATATATGAAGTTTGATAAAAATTTCTTGGATGGCTTCCTTAAAACTGAGCTTAACATTAATTTTTAAAAAGTGTTTTCAAGGTCAAAGGAAAGGTTCAAGGTCATAACTTTCATCACTATGTATCAACATATGAAGTTTGATAACACCATCTTAAATGGTATGTTTAAAAGTGAGCTAAACACTAATTTAAGTGAGGTTTGGAAAGGTAACAATCCATTTGAATAGCTCTCATCATTATGTATCAGTACATGAAGATTAAATAAAAATATCTTGGATGCTTTCTTTAAAACTGAGCTAAACACTAATTTAATTGTGATCAAGGTCAAAGGAAAGGTCAAGGTAAAAAAAATGTTGATGCAGTTGCATAGCTCTCATCAATATCTATCAGCATACGAAGTTTGATGAAAATATCTTGGATAGTGTCTAGTAAACTGAGCTTTGAACTGAGCTAAACACAAAGTGTGACCGAAGGACAGACGGAGGGACAGAAGGACGGAAGACTCATGGCAAACACTATATGCCCCCGGCCATATTCATGGCGGGGCATAAAGAATCCGATTTTCAGGCCCAACTGTGGCTTTTTCGAATTCAAAGAGATAAATTGAAGCAATGTAGGAGTGAAAATGAAAATGTTGATAAAATATCGTCTATACTTCTAAAGGTAAAACTGAAGGTCAAAGCAAGAGCTAGCTTTGTTTCTTTTTTAAATATTTTAAATAAATTCTGCTCATAATGAAAAAGATTAAGATAACGATCAGCAACGATTTCATTAAAGCTTCAAGCAATCTAATTCTATGAAAAATCATAGCGGGAGCAATCTTCTGACGTTCCTAGATTATAAGTGGAAGTCTCTACAATGCATGTTTACTTCATAAAAAAAAACTATTCACAAGAGGCCTCTGGGTCTCAATGCTCAACTGAGTCACTTTAAAGAAATGCATGAATTGTGTAAAATACTGAGTATGTTCCCCTGTCTTAGTTTCACAGTTTCCCAAGGGTCAAATATATACCATATCATACCACTTCGAATGTTGGCTTTTCAAAATGATAACATCTAGCCCTGGTTCTCTTGAGAATTTAAATAATTATATATTCATATAAAATCCATATTTTAGTAAAATTCTATCCCAGGGACCAACTCTTTGATATATATACTCGAATGTGTACTACATGATAGTGATGATATGACTAATATGGCATTGTTGATGTCTTACTAGCCACCAGTAATACAGAAAATATTTTATATTGCAAATCCCTTACTAGACTAGCTGATATAACAAGCAAATTCAAAGAATTGTGGTCCCCCGCTTTCGGTGACTTTGTGGATGAGATGTTATTTTTTTCTGACATATTGTGTCTAATATGAATACCCTATCATATGTCATTTATTTAGAAATTATCATTGAAGTTGATTTTCTTTTTTGAAATAATGTCAATCGTGAAGGTCAAGGTGTAAGAAATCATAGCATGCTCGGAATTATCTTGTCACAGGTAATGCACATGTCAAATATGAAAGCCTTGTCTCTTCTCAATATAAGGAACAATATAAGTTTGTGAAACACTGATGACCCCTTTGGCAAAATAACGAAGATTAAACTTTTCTTAAATGCAAATTAGATATATTATTACCCAAAGTAGGGTTTTTCTCACAAGAAATACGATTGTGAAATACAAAATCCCTAGCACCACCTGTTCAAAAATTTATAGTCGAGGATAATTTTTTTGAAAGGTAGGTCAAACTCCAAGGTGAAAGGGTTTGAGTTGTTGGTTTCTTAAGAAAGGTCTTGTCACAAGTAATA